TTTTAGAATTGTTGGCAATTTGTTTATGTTTATCCTTTTTCTTGCTGAAATTATAAATCTGAGAGTTAAATACGATATCTTCATGCTCTTTCCGTTGATCCTGCATTTTACTTTCTTTACTTTGTTCATCCTTTTTGCTATTCACTTTTTTTAAATTTTTTATGGTTTCTAGGTACTTTTTAATTTTATCTTTATCATTTTTTTGATCTTTTTCAAAGGTTTGAATTTTTTCGTTCAAATATGTTATTTTGGAAGTTTGCTGTTGTATTTTTTTTTTTAAATTTTCATTTTCCTCAATTTTATCTTTTATAATTTTATTCAATTTTTTCGTCTTTTCATCTAGTTCGAATATTTTATTATCCTTTAAATTTGTTTGTTCATTTATTTGGTCTTGTCTTTTTAAGTTGTTGATTACGTCTTGTTTCGTTTTTGTACTCTCATTCTGAAGAAGAATAATTCGTTCTTCGAGTTTTTTTACATTATCATTTAAAATATTTATTTCAAGGCATTTTGCATCCAACTCGTTTTTTAAAATGCTGATTTTATTTTCTACATCAGATATATGTGCCTTTTTGCTTTCCTTTCCCTGCAGTAATTCTTTTATATGTAGTTCCAGTTCGCCCTTTTCATTATCCCTTTTGTTTAATTCCTGTACCAGGTATTTTTCATTCTCTTTTAATTTCGCAATGTCCTTTTCTCGCGCCGATATCATGCATTGCAATTCTTTGCACTTTTTCACGAAATTTGCTACCTGGGAAAAGGGGGTAAATCCTCGCCAAATTCGTGTGAGCATTTTGTGCATGTATGCATATTCGGATGCATGTGTTTTTGTTTCATTCCGATACGTGTGACACAGCGCAAGATTGTACATACCTGTGATGAAAAAGTCTCGTTCTCTTGCTGCAGGATATTTATTTCATCCTTATTTTGTAGGAGCAATAAATTTAGTTCTTTTATTTTGTTAATTATGTTATCATTTTCTCCTGCAATTGTATTTTTACACGTCTTCACATATGAATTTCGATCGCAGATAAAATTACTACTCTTGTTCGTATTTTTTTTTATGTTGTTCACGTCCCTTTTTTCTGCTAAAAATGGAAAAATAGAAAGGGAGAAAAACATAAGAACTGGCGGCACTATAAACAATGGACCTAATGCAATCTCTCCATGCAACCAACGCTGGGAACTCTTTTATTTTATTTTGTTTTATTTAAAATCTGCTTTTTTTTTTTCTTTTTTTTTTTTTTTTTTTCCCATTTATTCGCAGCGTTTTTATTTAACTTTTTGGAGAATAGTCTGGATTTACGGATTTTTTTTTTTCTTCTTTTAATTTATTCATTTAAATTGAGAAAAAAAGAAAAAAAAGAAACATTATTATTTATATCCCTTCGTGAATGTACAAAGAAAATGAATTATCTGGAATTTCTTCACAAGTTCGTCCATGCACATTCGGAGAACTTTTTGCAAAGTTTTTACGCTGTCGTAGAAAGTTCACAGGTAAGCAGCAGAAAATAAGGTAAAAAGAAAAAGAAAAAGTTTTAATGATTTAAATCCAAGTACATATATAATTGCGTTTATACAAAGGGAAGAGATGTGCGAATTTATATTTTTTTTTTTCATCCCTCTTTTACTTGTGCTGTCACAAGACTTTATTTTTAAATTTATGCACGTGTACCTGTCTTTTTCCTTATACCCAATTATATATATTTTGTTTTTTAATTTTCTTCAGATAGAATGTCTTGAATGTCCAATTGAAAAAACCAACACGGATAATTTTCTTATCAAAATATACATAAACAATATTGTAAGTTAGAAAAATTGTATAAATTCTTTTTTCCAAGTCCCATCATATTATAGGGGGGCAGATATAAATGTGTGATCATGCCTGGTAGAGTATACTCGTGCATAATCCCTAGAAACAAAAAAAAAAAAAAGAAAAAAAAAACTTTTGATATAAGAATTTACGAGACGAAATTCATTATTCTGTAAATACCAATTTATTTCTTTATTTTTCTTTTGTCTTATTTTATTTTTTTTTCTCTGCCTCATTTTGTTTTATTTTCTGATTTTTTTTTTTTTTTTTTTTTTTTTTTTTTTTCTGTCCGGCCCTCATAAAAGATACATAATATCAGAACATTTTTATTAACTTGCCTAAGTGGATCAGTTGGGAATATACTTCATAATACAGAAATAGATAAGCAGGAAATTTGTTGTTACCTTGAGGATGATGACAATGTGGTTATATATGACGTAGAAAAGGAAGAGAGTGAAGAAGTTGTTAAAAATGATAAAAACCTCTTTAACGAGTTTTTTAACGAAAAAGACGATTTTTTAAACAAGTGTATGAATGTTCATAACATTCGAAAAAGTTTGCAGAATGCCCATGTAAAAACAAATGACACGTTCGGTTTGAATGACGACATTTTAAGGTATTACATATGGTAATTTATATGTACATGTGTGTGCTTATTTGTCTGTTCATGAGACACCAACATCTCTTCTTGGTAAGAATAAACAAGTGTGCATACATGTATGTATATATATATATATGTATATATATGTATGTATATACATGTGCACGGAGCAAAATTGGGGCTAATATGGGGATGGCTCGGTCAATCAACACGTAAAAAAAAGGAAACACAAGGGAATGACATATGGAACCATATAACATATGGCACAGCAAAGCAGTATCCCCACAGATCACAAGTTTATTTTATTATTATTTTTTTTTTTTTTTGTTGAAATGTATACGTCATCAAGACGATAATTTTTGTACTTGTTGTCAATATCTTCATCTGCCCTATTCTGAAAATTATAATTTGATGTTATATTAAAATTCATCATATTATTAACACAGTCGTAAAAATTTTCAATATTTTGCACAATGCTAGCAATTTTGTTAGTTAACAATTCCCCGAAAGATCGGGAACTGTATATTTTTCCATTAAAAATACAAAACATCTGAATAACTTTTTTACAAATAACATTTTTTACTCTATATTTATGTGTTAGAGAAATATGGAATATAGAATTTGTGTTATAGTATATATGCATACTAACTAAATCACTAGGTTCATTATTTTTTAAAATACTTAAATTATCATAAGTTATGTCGAATAGATACCCTTCATCATCATCATCATCATTAAGAATTTTCCCAACTCGAATTTTTTCATTTAAAGACATACTACTTCTACTTGTGTAAAACGGAGATGTGTAAAAATAATTTAATGCATTTTCTTTATTGTTCAAAGTGTTTTTCGACAAATATAGGTTATCAACATATTCAATTTTATTTTCCTTTTTTAGGGTAGGTTCGTAGTATTCTTCCATAGTTGTCATTTTGTTATTACATGCTTTTGAAGTAATTAAAAGGGCAAATAACAAAAAAAAAAAAAAAAAAAAAAAAAAAAAAGAGCAAGAGAGAGACTCTTAACGAGTTATTTGTCAATTTTCTTTCTCTTGATATAATGTACAAATACATGTTCCTTTAAATTTTCTCTTTTGAGACAGACACGCATTCATGTGTGAATATCATACACCCACTCATTGCACTTTCCATTTATTGTATAATTTCTCATGCGTTTTGCCCTTTCTGTTGTTCTAATTTTTACATGTTAGTATAAATATATCTTATTTTGCTACTCCCTTTAAAGTTGTTTTTATTTTATTCTATTCTTTAAAATAAATGCGTTTCACATTTTCTTCGTAGGAAGGCTTTTCAAGGATTATATCGTATGTTCAGTAAGCATGTGGTGTAAATATTAATAGGTGAATGTACCCTAACATTTGCAGAAAAATAAGGAAAATCCGTTCCAGAGGCAAAGATAGGCATAAGACCATATAACACCAAACAAGTGAAAAAAATATTTATTGTTCAGAATAATTTAAATCAGAGATATCAACACCTCTTTAAAAAAAAAATTCAGAATTTTTCCAAAGGGAGCAGATGATTTATATTTATGAAAGCTAAAAGGGTAGTTTGTTTTCTTCTTCTTTTTCTTCTTTTTTTTTTTTTTTTTTTATGCACCTTCCGATGAGCTCCCATGCTTATGCCAACCACGGAAGGGTGAATATAAAAAAAATATCAATGACAGAAAATTGTGTTAAGAAATAAAAATGGCTATTAAACAATCAATGAAATTATTTCACAAGCACGCAAAAAAAAAAAAAAATAAACAATAGTAATAAATAAAATAAAATAAAAAATTGAATGAAAATGAGTATGCCCTAATGGGATGTGAAATTAATAGGTTCTAGTAATACAACAGTGCGCACAAACCAATGCAATTATTTGCTTATATGTTACTTTTATCCCTTTTTAAAAGGTCTTGAAATAAAAAAAGGAAAAATTTGAATTGATGCCAAACCAAAAGAAAACATCGACATCACATTGATGGCATATTCCCAATGAAGTATGATAAATTCCCATCATTGAATTTATGAGACTTTAAGATGTAATTTTAATGTAGACATAATTTTTAGTTTATCCTTGTTTATACATAAATGGGTGTGTACATATTTGTGTGCTCAAGCGTAGCTCATCTTTTTATTCATTTTTTTTTTTTTTTTTTTTTTTCCTCCTGTGTTGCAACAAGTGCTAGAACAGGAAATGTGTTAAAAAAATAGGAATAAAAAAATATAAGTAGAGAAAAAAAAAAAAAAAAAAAAGAGTTCATGCTAACAATTATATATATATTTTTTTAATTATTTAACTATTAACAAACATAAGAATGTATATTTCGCACAATACTTGCGTTGGGATGAATTGCAACGTGCGCATATTAAAAAGTATGAGTTTTTATATTCATATAAGACAACATACTTTTTATATTACGAATCTCATGGGCACGTATCACTTTATCTTCTTCCTCCATCTGTTTATTCGAAATGGAAAGGAAAAAAACAACAACACGTTTATTAATGAGTGTGAAAGATGGGCACAATAAAATTAGAACGAATATACATACATGTACATATATATATATATATATATATATATCCACCATGCCTGCTCGTATTTGTAAATGGGACACATAGCGATAAATGTGTAGAGAGCATTTGTACAATATTAAAAACAGTAGGAATATAAAAGTGGTGCACAGGAACACAGACCAACTGTTGATATATAAAAAAAATAATAATAAATAAATAATACTCAAGACAAAGTAGAGATCAATGTTGAACTCCTTCCTCGTAAAAGTAAACGAAAAAAAAAAAATTATTTTATTTTAATAACTGAAGACGTAGAAAAGTGTTGAGTAAAATGAAAAAATATATAACCCAATGTAGAATGTATTGTACAAATTCATACATCCTTGTGAGTAAAAAAAAAAAAAAAAAATTTTAATTTTGAGAACTTATTTTGTTAAAAAGTTCCCTTTTCTGTTGTAGAGGTAATTTTTGAATGGCGTTGTAAATTTCATCTAAGGCTTTCTTAGAATTTAAGTCTTCGCATATTTTTTTTATGCACTTCAAAGTGCTTTCATTTAAAATTTTTTTGCATACTTCATAGTCATCTTCATCTTCATCTTCCAATGTGATGTCACTAACAAGCTTCTTGAATTCTTCACTTTGGGTCAACGTACTACCATAGGTTTTACTAAAAAGAGGTCAAATTGGTTAATTCGATAGTTATACTGATCATGTAATGTGTGGGCAGGGGGGACAAAATTACAGAAACTGAGTATGCTACATACGCGCATATATATATAATATATATATGTATGCACACGTGAATATGTATATGTACATGTACATGCATATGTACTCGTTTTTGAATGTTGAATTCTTCCCATGGTAGGTCTTACCTCAGAGTACTCATTAGCAACCGTCTCAGTAAACGATAGTAAAAGAAGGAACGTGCTTTTTCCCAGGGGATAATTTTTCTAATCACTCCCTTCGATTTCATACATTTGGATACATCGTGTAAATCAGCATATCTGTGGCATACTTGTAAATAAAACGGTAACAACTCTTTTTCCTTGTCCTCTATTTCTTTTTTTATTCTAGATATTTCTTCATTCTCCTAAGTAGAGTAGTAAAGCGATATTTTGAGATTATGTATATATGAAAAAAATTGTTATTTGTGCATCCATATTAGAAGAACATGGGCGGTGGGTGTGAAATAAAATGCGACATGTAACACCTGCAACATTCATATTACTTAATGTGAAAAACGTTCAGACAGTCGAGAAGCAAATTGTGCATACATATTGGGTAAAAAAAAAAAAAAAAAAAAAAAAAAAAACAGTGTTCGTCTTTCCCACTTCCAAGTTTCGTGCATGAACGTACGTACAAAAATACATATATATACACATACCCGAGTATTCGCTAGCCTCTGCTTCAGAGATATTATAGAGCTATCAATTGCGTGCATTAACTTTTTAATTTCTGGAAGTCTAAATTTCACCTCAACGATTCCAGGTGGTTCTAAAATTCCACCTTTACTATTTGTATCTGCATACATTTCGATTATCTGGCTATTTAAAGTTTCATCTACAACTACCCATGATCCACCTCTTAACTCTCCTAATATTGGGATGTATACAAAAACGGGATGCTTATAATTAACTAATTGTTTAACTATCATTGATCCAAATTTTAAAATACTATTAAACATATCCATTGTACCTCCTGAAAATCCTCTCCAATTTGCAAAAATAAATAAAGGTAAATTTTCTTTGTTAAAATCTTCAATCGATTGGGCAGTTTTATATGAATTATCAGGGAAAAATACACAGGGTGCATGTGTTGATTTTACTGCTTTCGTTTTTAATACTGGATCACATGGAACAACTTGAGTTACTAAATTTCTATTAACAGCAATAATTCCCACGGGGATAGAACCCAATTTTCCTCTTCCCGTTATGATTCCCTTTCCCCATTCATTCATGTATTCAAAGTAGCTGTTTTTATCTAGAAAACCTTGTTTTTCCTCCGTACCTCTTATCAAATCGGCTACATCTATATTTTCTGTATTGTCAATGTCTATGTCATTAATTCTTTCAATGTATATTTTTGAGTTTCCATTTTCATATGTCCCTTTTTTGTAGCAACTTGAATTTTCTTCCTTTATCTGATCTACTGTTGAATGTGAACTTGGTACATCTGTTTTGGTAACATGTTTGGCAACATGTTTGGAAACATGTTTGGAAACTTCCAGTTCACTCTTTTTCTCCTTATCCTTGTTAAATCTTTCTCCCAATTTGTTCACATGCTCAGCATTAGTATAATTATTTGAACCCTCCTTCATCTTCTCAATAACATCATAATAATCGAGACTTGTTTTCGGTACATAGGATAGCCATTTGAAAATTTTATCAACTCCATCTTGATCATTTTCAGCTTCGAGTTGTGATATGCCATTTCTCATCATAATCTTTACCCCACCTAGTTGTTCATTGCTAATATAGACCTTCTCACCCAATATTTTATTCAAGGCATTAAAACCTGTTAATAAAATAGATGAACCTTTTTTCTGAATAGTTCTTTTTCCAAGTCTAACTAAATAAGCACCAATCCCAACACTTCTACCTGTAACATAAGATAATGTAAATATTTCATCATATGCTTTACATGTTTCCCCAGCTATTAATCCACTACCCCTTAAATTTTCTACTCCAATGTGATTGTTTAAATTACCTACTATACCATCGATTATATATCTTTTTTCATTATTCTCGATTACTTCTTTTAAAAATATAATATCCTCTTTTGCTATTTCATTCTTAACATCTTCTGTTATATAAATATACTTATATCCTAGTTCTTTTTTTTTTTCATCTTTCCAACACACTTGAATTTTATCCATTAAGAAATTATACAACCCTATTCTTGCACCTGAGTTACAGGATATATAAATACGTGGTATTTTCTTTTCCCTTGCATAGCTTGATATGGCATAAAATAATTGATCTTCCACAACACTGAACGAACCACCATACGTCGTTATGTCATTTATTATGAATACCACATCTCTTCCTTCTTTGTATTCGTCTGTTCTTACATTTATCAGTATACCAATAACACTCATTTTGTTTCTACCCAGGTCAATCTTGTCAGAAAGGTAGAGAGATTTTCTTATCCTGATTTCCTCTTCGCTTAGGTTGTCGTGCCTCTCGAACAGTTGCTCATGTCTTTCGCACCTGTTGATATAGTTATCACTACAATGAACACTGTGATTCTGTGTCTCGAATGCTGAGAAGGCTCTTTGTTGCACACCCCGTTCTAGACTACTGTTCTTTACATCCATTAACGAATCTCCTGTGACCCGGCTTTTCTGATTTTGTAGAATGTCGAAATCTAACTTAAACTCTTTAATGCTATTAATATGGTTGAAATGATCATTTGGATTGTGACTATACATTCTGTTTAGAGATATCTCTATTATTTTAACAAAATCGTATGCATATATAGTGTCTATATCTCTTGCTCTTTTCCTTTTTAAATACAATGTGTCGACATCAAATGGTTGTACATAATCGATCTGTTCGATTACATTTTTTTCATTATTAAAAAGTACATGTAATTTTAGTACCTTCTTTGGCACTAAGTTGAAGTTTTTTTTTACATGTTCTTCTCCTTTTTTATATATACAAATGTACACATCGTTTACATAATTTTCTAACAATAATTCGTTGTACTTATTGAGGAAATTTTTAAATAATTTTTCAACTGTTCTTAATTCACTCAATTTATTAATCTCATCTAGGAATAGGTGATACGTTATATAGCTACTTACCTTGGGGTCTTGCACTTTTGGGTTCATTCGAGCTATTGCTATATCATTTACTGCTTCTTTTAACTCTTCTGTCATTAAGTCGTATATTCGCTGATCCTGTTCCATCAAACATGGTTCCTTATCCGCCTCCTCTACATCACTCAGTTTGAGGGAATAATCATCCCTTCGTTCCATTTCCGTGCATTTTTTCAAATCATTTACATCTATCACTCTTTCTGCAAACAAAGAAGTGATTTTGTTATTCTTTTTATAAATTCCAAGGACTACCTTGGTCTTTTTAAATATTTTTTCATCTACATTTTTTAGTTCATAATTTTGTAAATTCTTTTCAAAGGAAAAGATGTATCTTTCGTATGGAAGCAGGTTTGTCCTAATATCATTTTCGTTTTTATTCTCATTTTTTTTTCCAACAGTTTGTTCATCAGGCCACTGGTGTGTATCTCCATATTTATCTCCAAAGTAATTGTACACGTAAAGTTTCTTGCATATATTTTTTATATGAAGTAAACCATTTTCAACATTGTTCAGGAGATTCTCATTCTTGTTTATAATATGAATGGTATTTATATTTGAATCCATTAAGTTAATTCCTTCTTTTCTTATTAATCCTTCTACGTCTACCTTGCTATTTTCATTTAAAATTAGCAGATTGTCATCCCTAGAGTTGTTTATACAAAATTTCACACAATCTTCAGACACTCCTAGCACCTTGACGTTAAAATTTGTATACAAATTACGTGCATATATTTCTAAAAAAAAAATTTTATTTTTTGGTGTAAACAAAGATGGAAGGAACATATGGATTTTATGGGAATCCCCTAAAAAGATGTTTACTATCCGTTCACAGATTCTGTTATAATTGGAAGAAGTATAATTACTACTGAATATTTCATCCAATTTGGAGCAAATAATATTGCTATTTTTTAAACAATTGTACAATTCCTTCTTTTTTTCATCCTTAATTGTGGTCTCATCATTTAAAATGTCTTTTAGGCAGTGAATTATTTGCATATGTTCAGAAACATATACTATGAATCGTGATAACAGAATGATATTCCCAAATGATTTCGCCTTAAAATGTTTTAATATTTTTAATTTATCCAAAATAACATTTGACAGACTACTAAGCTTATTATCTAACAAATATTTTATAATTAGTTCCATAAATTTTATACTTAGGTAATTATATGTATATGCATGAATAATTTCGTATTGCTTTTTATGATCAGTAATATTGGTGTATAAAATGTCGTAAACTTCAACCTGCGTCATATTTTCTTTCTTGGCAAATAATGAATTGTATTCTATAAATTTGTCCATTATGTATATCATATTAGATTCCAGATTACCTTCCCCTTTCACTAAATCGTTAAAACATTTTTCGTAATCCTGTTCATATCCTTTTAATAAATATTCAATTCTTTTCATATTTGAAATGTCTAACAGAAATTGCGTCCTTTTCGGATCCTCACTCTGGGGAATTCTCCCCTTACGTGAATTCATCCCTGGACTGTTTCCACCTAAGTAAACAGATTCATCCGATGGAATCTTATTCACATCTTTCCAACTCAGGGAATCATTCTTCGACGTCTTTTCATTTGATATATTACTTGTCGATAGAATTTCGACCGATAAGTTATCATTATTCTTTTCCTTCTTATCAGATATGTAATCAAAGGATGGGGTCCCTTGGGCTATGTTCAGAGATGCATCGTTGGGAGTATATTCACTACTTATCGAATTATGAGCAGTTGAATTATTTCCAGAGAAGGCGTTAACCGAATCAACTTTGCCTGTATGTGAGTTGGATGACACAGTCGTGCATTCCCTGAGTTCTGTATTTGTAAATGATTTGTTTGTGTTCAGGTCTGCATCTGTCGAGGTGTTCACATCTGCTTCTACCGCGGTGTTCGGCCCTACTTCCCCCACGACGTCTGTCTCAACTTCTACTCCAGATTCTGCCCCCAATTTTATTCCAGATTCTACCCCAGATTCTACCCCAGATTCCACCTCTGGTTCCATCTCCGGTTCCACCGCTGCCTTGGCACTGGTGAGGGCGACCGAGTTTGCACAAGAAGAACTAAAACTGGAGAGGTACGTTTTTATTGAATTAAATTTGTCGTTCAAGTAACTTCCAGCTGTGCTTTCCTTCTTATCATTTGTATTTTTCATAGCAAATAAGCGAAATATACTTCTCCTTTGTTTTAAAAATAGCTTGCTCTTTCTACTTCCTTCTCTGAAGGATGCATCATCTTGTTCCTTACATGAGACGGAAGAATCATCGGGTTGGAGAATTTCCATAACATCCTTCCCCATATTTCTTTCACCCAAGTCATGATCTCCACTTAACGAATAATTTAATGCATTCCTTTGTTTTCGTATATAGTGGTGATTTATAGCAGTGTCACGATTCCTTTTTCCTACACAGTTGAATGCACTTTGATATGTGTTATTATTGCTACCCACATCGGTACTACTACTGTCTGGTATTCCATTCATAACACCATTATCATAGTGAACATCTCCTGGAATCTCATCAGATGACCGTTCCGTATAGTCCAACTCATATGCATACTTATTAGATAAATCCAAATAACCTGTAAACTGCGTAATTTTATTTTGTTCTTCTTCGTCTGTAGAATTTTTCTGTTCACTCTGTTTTTCTATGACACCTAGTAAATCTCCTACTTTGACGATAGTACCCTCAGACATCCTATGTCTCAATACCCCTGATTCAGTTGACTTAAAAGTCATAATCATTTTCATGGCCTCAACTTCTATATAATCTTCATTTTTTTCTACATGATGTCCATCTTTTATTAAATATTTTACAATTTTTCCATTAGTATTGGATATCAAATGAAATGGGTTACTAATTTTAGGAATAAAAATGTTGTCTTTCTCTAGATGCATATGGATACCTAAGGTATCTTCAGAACATGTGTATAAATAAGTTTGATTATAAAAACTTGCAAAAATTTTATTATTTTCTTTATCATATTCTGCTAATACTTCAATTTCTTGTCCATTAATTTTTAGTGTGTACAGATTTTCACCTGTATTATATGCCTTAAAATTGTATTTCACATTTTCAAATACAATTTCGAAAGTGCTGGGTTTTTTTACATTTTTTTTGGAATCAGATGTTACACTTTCTTGTGGTTTAATTCCTATGTCTTCTCTACTTAAATTATTTTCAACGTCTTCTTTTTCTTTCATAAAGTGTATGAGCATTTTAAAAATTGTGGCACATAAAATAATAATATGTATTGCACTATAATAAATATTCTTCTTCTTTTCGATAATGGTATCTAACCAATTTGTTGTTATATTGTTATCAATAAAAGGTTTGCATTCTAATATTTTCGCTAAATATTTTGTACCTGTTTTAATTTCTCCATCTATGTTTAATTTTCTCAATGCTAGTATTAAATTTTTCCTAGCTATTTCTCTTGTTTCCCCTTTTGCAAAAATATGACCAATTTGTGAATCAGAAAATTCATGAACAGATCCATCATTGATTGAAAAGTAACCCCATACAACGTTAGAATTTTGAAAATGTATTCGTTTTACTTTTCCTGAAGTTGGTTTAAAACTGTCATTACTATTTTCTGCTGTAATTCTTGCAGCGATTACGTGGTTACTAGTGTATGGCCTATTATTATAAAAGTCGAAATTTTCCATATCTATCGTTTCTGTCTCCTTTAATTTTTTATTCTTCTCTATTAGTTTGATATCACTACTTGTGGTTTGTTTAGACATCTGCAAATGGGAAGTACCTTCACTACTGCTAAAACTTCCGTTTGGTGTACTATATTCACATGTATCCTCTGGTTTATTGGTTACTTTATCATATGAACTAAAACTTGATGTCTTTCCTATTTCTTCTATGTGATATAACCTCCTTATGTCATCTATATTTTGAAGGGGTATTCCCATTGCCACCTGCATCTGAATTGCAATGAGATTAGTATTCGTTATCCCTTCAGATACAGGATGTTCCACTTGTAAACGTGGATTTAACTCTAGAAAAAAGTATGTCTGTTTCTTTTGATCATATAAATATTCAATAGTTCCTGCACCTCTATATTTTATCATTTTTGTCAAACGTATAGATGCTTTTTCCATTTCTCTAAAAATTTGTGAAGGTACAATCGAAGGGGGTCCTTCTTCAAAAATCTTTTGAAATCTTCTTTGAGTAGTACAATCTCTTCCACTTAATGAACATACATTGCCGTACATATCACCAACAACTTGTATTTCAATATGTCTAACATTGTCACATACTTTCATTAAAAATATTGGTGAATCGGGTAATTCTTTCTGAACTTGTTCATACGCTTTTTTGATTTCGTTTTCGTTTTCTACTTTCCTGATACCTTTTCCTCCTCCTCCTTGTGATGCTTTGATCATTACAGGGTAACCAATGCGTTTGCACTCCTTTATACATGCATCTAAAGAGTGTATAGTCGATTTGTTATATATATCCTCACTAATCTTATTATCAAAGTTTTCTATTTTAATGCTATCTCCACTCCATTTTACAACAGGTACATTCACACTTTGAGCAAGAATGTTGGCTGATATCTTATCTCCTAAAGCTTCCATAACTTCTCCAGTAGGTCCTATAAAAATTATGTTTTCTTTTTCCAGCATGGTGGATAATAAGGGATTTTCAGAACTATGTCCCCACCCTGGCCATACAGCATCTACATTTTCCTTTTTCGCTATATCAACAATTAGTGGTACATTAGCATAGTTATTGCAATTTTTTCCTCCAGGTACTTTTATGACTTTATTTGCCAATGAGATATACTTTGCGTTACTTGATATATCCTCTTTTGTAGCTAGAACTATTATTTTTATTAAATTTTCATCAGAAAATGTTTTAAATAGCCATTCTTTTAAGGACAAGATGCACTTTAGTGCTGCCATGCCATTATTTGCAATTAGTAACTTTTTTATAATTTTCTCATTTCTCTTTTTTAAAAAATTAAAATAAGGGTACCTTCTTTCTTCTATATAATTTGTATAATCCTGGTGTGCTTTTTTTTTGGTATTTTGTTTTTCTTCATATGTTAGAAAATATGTTGAATCGGCTTTCTCGATGGGTTTGCGAGCCCCGTCATTCTCAATTCTTTGGTGCCTTTCATGCTGTTCTTCATCTTGTTCTTCATGTTGCTCTTCATATTGCTCTCCATGTTGCTCTTCATGTTGCTCTCCATGTTGCTCTTTACGTTTCTCTCTGTGTACCCTTTTGTCTTTGAGTAAGTTTCGATCCTCTTGCTGATCGGGAGGATGGTTTACCAACACACCAGGTTTTTTCAATAATTTTTTGCTGGTGTGACATTTGACATTCCCATGTTGATAATCCTGTTGTCTGATCTGATCTACATGGAGCTCTTCTTCATCACCATTTGCATGATCTTCCCTTTTTAGTGCGAGGGAATCGTTCTTTCCTTTAAAGCTATAGTACAATCTAGTTAAATGCTTCTTCCTATTTTTTAGAATAGTCTTTTGTAATCTTCTACCATCATTTAATACATTTTCTGATTGGTCATAAGGAATGATATTATCTCTCCCTGATTTTATGGATGCACAATCCTTAATCAGACCCATCATGTAATTTACATTGTGTTCCATGTTCTCTTTATGTCTGATATTCCCGTTGAATGCATCAAAATGTGAGAAGATAATGTTTGACTTGTCTCTTAAATTATAGCTAGTTTTCTTTTTCAAATAATTATCACCACTGTTGTTAGTACCACTTTCGTTAATCATACCCTTTGTGTAATATTTATCGCTCAAACTAAAATCCATAATGTAATCATCATTCGATATGACACTGATAAAACTGTCATCTGTGTCATCTATGTCATCTGTGCCATCTGTGTCATCAGCATCATCAACATCATCAGTATCATCAGCATCATCAGCATCATCAGCATCATCAGCATCATCAGCATCATCAGCATCATCAATGCGATCGTTTTTGTTGATAGATGTATTAACATGGGGGTCACGATAAAAATACTTTTTATCAATTTGTTTATTCATACCAGGAATTTTATTCTTCTTGATGCTCTTATTTTGATCCCATTTTTGCTCGTTTGGCAAGCTGTTGTCGATGTCAGGCGTAGACTTGTTCTCATTAAGCGAAGAGGAAGATCTCTTCGAGTCATTTTTAGAAATTCTTGTTGAGTTATCTATACTCTTCGATTTTTTATTTTTAAAAAATGAGTTGAATATTTCTGTTCCCTTGGATATGAATAGCGGAACATACTTATTCCTATGATTCTCATAAAAAAGGTTCTTCGACCCTTTTATGCCACTATGGTAAGCTTCTCTGGTTTCTTTATTGACGATGTTGCTTCTACTAACATTATTATGCATGTGTATATAGGGATACTTATTTTTATTTTTTATGGGCTCTACAAGGTTTTTAAATATTAGAACAAGCAAGAGTACTGAAATAAGGCTATTAATCATTTTTCTACATTACTCCATTTACGTGCCTTAGTTGCTTGCGCGCATGTGGTGCCGCGAATACACATATGAGCGTATGTAATAATAGATATACAAGTATGTATATATGCAAGTATTAATATATACAAGTATGTATATATGCAAGTATGAATATATGCAAGTATGTATATATGCAAGTACGTATATATGCAAGTATGTATATATGCAAGTACGTATATATGCAAGTATATATATATGCAAGTATGCGTATATACAAATATATATATATGTAGGTGTGTACACACACATATGTGCCCGCCCCCCTTTTATCCTTGCGTACCTTTTTTGCTACGTGAACGTATATCCTTTTCTTACACACGGAGTGTTTTTTTCTTTTTTCTTTTTTAAACCACGTTTTAATTTTTTTTTTACCACATGCATTTGATCGTTCTTGTGACAATAAATGTTAACAGTGTGTAGAAGCACGTTTTAATTACCCATTTGGGTGCTCTTGCAACATTTTGGGTGCCTTTTGCCTGACCGTTAAGGTTAGTTTTTAATTTTTTAGTCCCTTTTGCACGAACATGATAATTACAGGAAAAAATGTGTTATTTGTAAAATAAAAAATAAGGTTGGTAGAACATAAATGGAGCAACAAGCGTACACGTGAGGTACATGCAAAAATTGTGTATACACAAATTTTATAGAAACAAAAAGTATTCAAACAAAAAGTATTCAAACAAACTGTGTGCGAGCAAATTGTATACGCACAAGTTGTATACCCACAAGTTTTATATGAACAAATTGTATAAGCACAAATTGTATAAGCACAAACTGTATATGAACAAAAGGTATAAGTACAAACTGTATGCGCACAAATTGCATGGGGTGGGGGAGAAATAATCTCATTAAAACAACTCTACAAATAATGGTGTTATACACGCTTGCACGAACGCGCGAAAACGTAAATATATTATGGATATATATACGATATCTAAGCACACTGCGTATGCTGTTGTACGATAGATTATACACCCCTTAATGTGACATAACACTAAAATATCATAACCTTTTCAGTGAATTGTTCTGTTTATAAATAAATGAAGAAAGCTCGGAAAAGTGGAGAAAAAAGAACAAGTGAGAAGAAAAGAGAACAAGAAAAAAAAAAAAAAAAAAAAAAAAAATTCATATTTGAGTAAAACAAAATTACAATTAACAATTTTGCGAATTTTATAATAATATATATATCTAAATATTCACGAATGTTGTTTCTGCTTAAATATTTTTTTTAAAAAATATACACATGTTTTATATACATTTCATCTTGATTTTGTTATTTTATAAATGTGGTTACGTTTCTTTAAATTTAATTATATTATATGTGAAAACAGTCTCTATTTCTTTCTTTTTTTTATATTGAACAAAATTTACGTCAAATGTAAAAAAAAAAAAAAATACCTTCAAGACGTTGCCTCATATGCAATGGGTAAAGTGCAAATAAAATATATAGGAGTAAAAATATATTTATACGTATGCTTATACATTACATACACATATACATATGCTTTTTTTTCAGTGGTTCTTTTTCTTTTTCCTTTTATCTTTTTTTTTATTTTTTTTGTTTCGATGTTAATGCAATTGTATGTTCTTACAAACATAGAGGGGTTATAAGAATAATTCTTCTACGTGAAAAGCATGTTTTCCATGAGTCGCTATTTTTTTGGAGGGGAAAAGTGGGAAATAATAAAAAAAAAAAAAAATGCGAAATAAAAAGAAAAAGAAAGAAAAGAAAAAAAAAAAAAAAAAAAAAATCAATTACTTTTATTTGAACAAGGGACAAATATATTAAAACTGTGTTTACATTCATGTGTATGCATGAGTGCATAAACCGTGTGTTTCCATGAATAAACAAGGATTAGACTATTTTCTTCATTTTGCGACATATAAAAAAATTATAGTGAAGGAATTGCAAAATTCTAAAGGAGCTTTTGTTGAAAAAGGGACTAATGTAGATTTTTTTTTTTTTTTTTTTCTTTCTTTTTTTCTTTTACAATTATGCAAAAATAAGTTAATTTTCGTAAAAGTAAAATGTAGATTTTTTTTTTTTTTTTTTTTTCTTTTTTCACTCTATCATTCAAACAATTGTAAAATCAGTTCATTTGTAAAATCTTTGCTTGCCTAAATGAGACAAAAAGTGAACGTATGTACACATGTCAATGAGGCATATATACAATAACACACACACATGTGTAAATTTCTTCAAGGAAATATGTTTGACTGTACCCACCTATACATAGGAACAAAGACACAGGATCTCTACATAATACATATACTCATTTGGCATATAAGTAGTACATTCATTTTTTTGTTCTTTGTCACTACCTTTACTCTTTATCAAGAACATTCGCAGTGAAGAAGTGTCTTAAGCACAGTAAAAAAAAAAAAAAAAAAAAAAAAAAAAAAAAAAAAAAAAAAAAAAAAAAAAAAAAAAAAAAAAAAAAAAAAAAAAAAAAAAAAAAAAAAAAAAAAAAAAAAAAAAAAAAAAAAATAAAAAAAAAAAAAAAAAAAAAAAAAAAAAAAAAAAAAAAAAGTATTAAAAAAAAAAAAAAAAAAAAAAAAAAAAAAAAAAAAAAAAAAACAATAAAATAGTGAAATAGTAAAACAATAAAATAGTGAAATAGTAAAATAGTGAAATAGTAAAATAGTGAAATAGTAAAATAGTGAAATAGTAAAATAGTAAAATAGTGAAATACTGAAATAATAAAATAGTGAAATACTGAAACAGCAAAATAAACACTAAAATAATAAAACAAATCCCAAATTAATAAATTTTTTTTATGCACACAGTACTACCTGTAGCATGTAACATAAAGTGCACCCTGAAAGAACCAACTCGAAAACTACAATTTTATGATTTTAAATATAGTTGAAAAAAATGAACTAAATATAAAGAAAAAAAAAAAAAAAAAAAAGTGCTATGTGCATATCAATATTTTAAGATACACTAGTGAGTAGTTACTTTTCGAGGGGAAAAAAAAAAAAAAAAAAAAATTGACGTTGGTTCTACACATCGTATTTATATACGCAGTGGACAGGGGTGATATTATGAATGTGTTTTTTCATTTCATTATAAATTTCTATGTTCCAAATTTGGATGTAGAAAATGGGGAAATTACTGCAATTTGAGAAATATGGAGGAAAAAGGCATTTTTTTTTTTTTTTTCTTATTATGTTCTCTGGGGTATTACGACAAAAAATGGGGAATTAATATAGCCTCTTGAAGCGAAGACGAGTTAAACTGAATTATTACCAATTAAGACGAATATAAAAAACGAGAAAAGCAAAGTAAAGAGTAGTGACACAATACCAAAGGGGAGAAATAAAAATCGTGCACCTCCCCGCGAATAGAACTCAACAAGTTAGGCAGTTAAATACATATATCTCAATGATACGAAAAGAATGGAGAAATAAAAAAGGATGGGGAAAAAATGGACGAGGTCAAAAAAGATGAGCAAAAAAGGATAAGCCAAAAAAAAAAATTCCTGCAACGTGAAAAAAATTTGTGACATAGGACAAACAGAGGGTCATGTATTGGAAGGGATTTGCAAAAAGGATTGCAAATTCCAGCATGGATTTGAAAAAAAAAAAAAAAAAAAAAAAAAAAAGAAAGTATGAAAAGAACTAAGAAATCATCTAACGAACTAAGAAATCATCTAACGAACTAAGAAATCATCTAACGAACTAAGAAATCATCTAACAAACCAAAAAATCACCTAACGAACCAAGAAAGCAAGAAACGAAGAAGAAAGTAAGAACGCAATAAGAGAGGCAAAACTGCAAATGCACGTCAAATTTTCAAACACTTGTAGAAAACATGAAGAGTAAATCATGCTGAACATACACAATTAATTATCACAAAATGGAATATTAACTGATAGGAACAAATTCACAAAAAAAAAAAGAACAGAAATCTCCGCATTTTTCGTTTCATATATTTAGCAACAGTATTTACGGGAACTTGTTGAACTGTTTCACTTTTCATTTTCTATACCCGGAATGCTCATATTACACCATACAAATGCATATATACAAAAAAAAAAAAAAAAAAAAAAAGAACGCACATGTATATGAAAATATATATATACATATGACCAGGTCTACGTTAATTCACACACATATACATATTCCCAAGTTCACATAAGTATATATTTGCACATAGTGTCTCTACTCAGCTTAGAACTATGAAGCATGCGGAATATTATCCAAATCAAAATATAGTGTCCATAAATATCCAGTTCAACAGCTGGACGAAGGCGTTTCTTAACTACTTACGAATCGCAGAGAATTTCGTCAGTAGCACAAAAGCGTCTATAATAATTAAAAAAAAAAAGGATGTTCGAAATTTTCATTTGTATAAAATTAAATTACGACTAATTTACGGAAATGATCTGAATGGTTCTAACACCACATTCGTAGATGAAAAGATGAAGAAATGGATTACTCCCTTGGATGATCATTTAGAGCAAAACTCCAACTTGCATTCATCCCCGCGTTCATATGAAAACCAAAATTTAATTAATCCAAATCATGATACTAAGGGAAAAATTAAAAGTAATTTAATTCATAATGAACAAAACAACGTTAGAACAAGTAGTGAGAAAGCAATCCATTTCAATAAAATTGATGAAAGAAATGATGAGATCATTGATAAAGTGATGAAACTAAATAGGTTTCAGGTTTCTACTTGGAATAAAAAAATGGATGAAAGTAAGACACAAAAAGGAACTAAATGGACATCATCATGTGTATTAAATAAAAGGGGAGACAAGGAAGTGGATAGAGATAATCTTAAAAATGCAACTAGACAATTATTAAGAGAAAAAAAAAAGGGAGATAAACATTTGGATATAGTGCATGTGTTAGTAGAAAAAAATGTAATTTCAAAAGATTTATCCATTTTTAAAAAGAAAGATTTTTCAAAATACATATTTTTACCGGCATATTTGTCATTGAAAAGTGCGAAAATAAAATCAGTCCATTTTTTATTAAATGACAAAATGAGCATAAACTTACTTCTAAACCTAATGGTAAGAAAAAGTAAAACGAATTTTCTCGAATTGAGTATAAATAAAGAATTAAATGATATGCTAAAATTGAAAAGATTTATTATTCAATGCAAATCATGTAATGAGAATGTTATGATATGTGGAAATGTTAATTTTATTTTGCCGAATATGTATTTGAATACAACTGATTTTTTGGAACATGCATTTTGTGAAGAATGCACTACTTTTACATTTGATGGTATAAAAGATATTGATCGCAATATTTTCATTTTCCCCAACTATCTATTATTTCGTTTAAGCTTAATTAAAGACAGTAACTTAGCTCTTCAAAAAAATTCAGTACACCAATACAGATTTTTATTTTTTTGTAATTTTTGTCACAATTTACTTGGTTATTTTGAAAATGAAAATCACCACACACATTCATATCATGAAAATAAAAATATGAATGATAATCTTAAAAAATTCTTATTTGATATAATTTATGAAAGCGACAAACCGGGGTATGTAAAATTGGAAACGGTTATGTTCCAATCAACTTGTCACGAGAATCCATATAGCCAAATTAATGAAAAAGATGTATTTAATTCTCAGCAGAATGGGGATGAAGTAACAAGAGTACAAAAACCATCACACAAAAGAAGTGATACAAAAGAAGGCTTAAACTTCTCCAATGAACTCATTATTCGGGAAGTAATAGACACAGAAATGTTAAACAAAGAGGAAGATACCAATATTAACCCCATTTCAAATCTCAATGACAAGTGTCAAAAATTCTGTGGGGATATCAATCCGAAGATATACCTCCTTAAGCATAAAATAAAAATGCTATTAAATGAGGAAAACATTTTTAAAAATTACAACAATGTAATATTTTTGAACGAGTATATGCATAGCAAATGTGAAAAAAAAAATATAACCATTTTTTACTTAAGAAACAATCAAAAAGGAAAAATAATTGAAGTAAGGATATTTATAAAAATGCTATATATTTGCAAAATTATGGATCCAAAAATTTGCCATAACAATTTTTTGGACTTTCAAAAAGTTATGAAAATATTATATTGTGTTATAAAAAACGAAAATAAATTCAAGTTCCCTAATTCCGAAACTATTGATATTTCCAAGCAACTTTACGAGGATATATTAAAAATGATGATCTCCTATTCCTTCAGATCAGACATCTTTAAAGGAAAATTCCTCTCTTATCTTCTCTTGATCAATTAGGAAAACTTCTAACAGGCAGGAAAAATTCCCATAATGATAAGAAAAACAAGAAAACAAACAAGAAAACAAACAAGAAAACAAACAAGAAAAAAAACAAGAAGAAAGAAAAAATTATTTTGAGATACGAAAAAAAAAAACTCCGCTGGGATGAGGAAACCCTACATTTAAATAAGCGCATGAATGTCCATGCAAACACGTCATTTATATTTGTGTATATATAACTTTTTTTTTTTTTTTTTGTACTCGCCAACACCTTCTCACCGTTTCTGTTATGGTAATCCAGTGGGTGCTGTAGATCCATTCCCATAACATAGCGCGTATGTATAATTTTGCTTAACCTGAATTCAAGTACAATTTCGTTTGTATGCTAATAAAATAACCTCTTAATTTACAAAAAATTAATAACCTTATGGTAGAACAGGAGCACAAATCTTGAAAACGAAAAATCAGTTTGAACAAACAAAAAGTTCAAGTGCATTATACAATCACACATTTGCATACATTACTTAAGCACATGCAAAACTATTAGGCTTATTTTTAATCATATGGAAACAAACTTGTTAAAAAGGACAGAAAAAAAAAAAAAAAATAAAAAATACACACATGTACATATATGTGCATATGCATACACTGATCACAAATTCGGTACGAATTAAAAGAAAATAAATTTAATTAAAGTCATATAATATTCAAATATTTGTTTTAAAAAATTGTTAAAAATGAAGGAAGGGGTGTTCTTCAATGTTTCCCTTCCATTGTACATAATTCTAATGGAGATTGAACCATTATGTGCATGATGCATCTGTGTCTTCCACATGTCTTGTAACACTGCCATATTGGCATTTCCTCCTTTATGCAGAGCTTCGCTTGGTAAAAGGTGTCCTTGGATGGGCACACACATATATATATCTATCTATCTATCTCAATATATATATATCAACTTTGCAGCCATATCGGGGTCCATTATTCCTGTTTATTCATTTCTGTAACGCACATACACAGCTAGTGCTGGGTCAATAAGCGGACGTAGAATTTTGACAAGATTACACCAACCATGATACCAAGAACAATGGCCAAATAAACAATGTTAGGGGCTAGTTTGATATACTCCTCTTTCCCTCTTTTTCTGCATATGCTAGGTATTTTTATAAATACAGAATTGGTCAATATGCCATGAAAGAATCCAAAGGAATATGAAATGAACATTAAAAAGTAATTGTTATAAAAAATGGAATTTTTATAAAGAATTAGGATAAAAAAAATGGGTAAATAAGCAATCATTAGTATTTTTATAAAAAAAAATACAGAGAATTTCATTTTCACAAAATGTGGACTCAAAACGTGAACTAAAAGATGAGCTGCTGAATCACCAAATAATAATAATCCAGATAATAGACCTTTCATTTCTTGGCTTGCTTCAATATGTATTGGAAATATAGTTGGGTACATCTGAAATGTAATAAAATTTGCTAAAAATCCAATAGCAAGATATTCCCATACTACTGCTACAGATTGAACAGAATCGACTAAAATATTTTTATTTATTACGAATCCTTTATCTTCATGTTTTTCTCTTAATCTTTTAACAAAGGACAATTTATAAATTTTTTGTAATATATAAAAGGATGTTAAAGAAAGACATATTAAGACTCCACAAAATAAACTAAACATTTTACGGAATTTGTTTATATCATCTACAAAAAAGACATAAGCTCCTAACACGTATAGTATAAAAACGACAAATCCTGATGCTGACAAACCGCACACATATGCTGTGCAGTATTGTTTTCTGAACAGCACGCAAATTTTCATAGTAGTCATTTTAATTACACATGATATTATTGTAAATGGGATAACACTGAATATCACTATTTTGTGTCCAATATAATCACTTTTAAAATGAACTGTTAGGTGTATTAATGCAAAAAAAAAAGTGGAGAATATTGGTTGATATAAATTCCATTTTAATCTATAACTTCCAATTAGATGTAAGAACACACATGCTATTAATAATACTATACTTTCCATTAGTGCAAATTCATTTATCAAAATATCTTTTACATCAAATGCGTGCCTAAAAAAATCACCCATCGACACGATTATGAAGTATGGTGCATCTGCTGTTATTGCTATTAGTGCATATGCTATTGATAACAATTTTGAATATTTCTCTTCTTCCAGTTCATCTCTTTTTTCTATATCACATTCATGTAATTCTTCAATATCTATATTCTTTTTTGTCGCTATTTCATTTGCTTCATTCATTTTGGTGCATTTCCCATCATTTATAGTTGGGGCTTTAATGCTTGATTTACTTGCCACAATTCCTCCTTTCGCCATTTTTTGAGAATATATAGTTGGGTAGGCTAGTTTTGTAAGTGAATTGGATAGATCAGTTGGATAGATGAGTCCCTTTTTTTTTTTTTTTTTTTTTTTTTTTCTTTCTCTTTTTCGTTAGTGTTACCGTTTCACAATGATCCAAGCCCCTAAGCAGTTTTTCCCCACCCCCACCTCTACACTTCTAACAATATAAAAAGGATAAACTCTAACATTAAAAAATAAAAATGTGGGAACTTGTTTTCTGCTTTATCTTTGATAAAAAAAATCACATTGATTACAGAAAAAATTTAAAAAGTTAAATAGGCTGTAAAAATTTTCTTAACACAGCCTTATTTTTATGTTCCTAAATTTTGCAAAACAACATATTTTGTGTAGTACATTAGAAAATCATGAATAAACGGCTATGAAATGAAAGGACTAAATTGGGTTTTGTACATTTTAGGGGCTGTATCTTCTTAGGTGAGATCAAGCATTCTTCTGTACGGTAAGTATGTACATTCATTTATGTTACATATACACATGTTGTGATGAGCTCATACGTATATATTTATATGTATGCATTTGCTTGTTCATGCTGGGAGATTATTCTCCACTAATGTTACTCACGTGGGTTCCATGTAATGTTTTTTTAAGAATATTTAAATGCGCAAAATGGAAGTAAAATAAAGCAAACAACAAAAAAAAAAAAAAAAAAAAAAAAAAAAAAAAAAAAATTATAAAAAAAAAAGCTAACAAAAAAGTAAAATAAAACAAACGAATAAAAAAACAAAGTAAAATAAAAACAAAGTAAAATAAAAACAAAATAAAATAAAAAATTTGTAAAATACATGCTTGTAGCATTTACAAGACCACAATACGAAAATTCAAAGTGTAATTTTAACCCGTTTTTTCTTCCGTAAGGTGCAATTTTTAAGGTCTCCCATTTTTACGTACATTTTGTTTGACGCGGGTCACGTAGCAAAACATAATTGGAACTTTTTTTCTTTTTATGAGCAATAATTCGGGATATTCCAACGTTGATCAGAGAACAGGAGAGAATGTTAAATCTTTTTTCATTACATCCCATGGGTGATTCTTTTCCTCTCATTTTAAATTTAGTAAAACTTCCGATGATTTTTTTTTTTTTTTTTTTTTTTTTTATGAACAAGGTTTATTTTTATGGCAACCCAAGCTAAGATCTTTCATACATAGGGAATTTATTTATGCGTATAGAAAAACTTATGCATCCATATGTAGTACGTTTGTATGCATACATATATATATATATGCGTAAACATTTATAAGAATATGCAACATGCACATACACTTGAACATGAAAAAAGTTTGTAACTTGTTTTTAATTTAATTGGAGATAGGCATAGGACCTGAGAAGAGATTTAGAAATTAGTTGACACACCCCGCATATAGATATATAAGTGTATTATTTAGATTACTTTATTTCATTACTTTATTTCATTACTTTATTTCATTACATTATTTTATTACTTCATTTTATTACTTCATTTTATTACTTCATTTTATTACTTCATTTTATTACTTCATTTTATTACTTCATTTTATTACTTTATTTCATTACTTTATTTCATTACTTTATTTCATTACTTTATTTCATTACTTTATTTCATTACTTTATTTCATTACTTTATTTCATTACTTTATTTCATTACCTCATTTTATTACTTTATTTCATTACTTTATTTCATTACTTTATTTCATTACTTTATTTCATTACTTCATTTTATTACTTTATTTTTGCGTTGTTGGAGCACCTTTCCATTTGGATGAGGCGTTATGCTTTATTTTGCAAATAGGAAAAGGCTACAAGGGCATAATAAATATGAACCCAATGCAAATATAAAAAAGTATTTTTAGCAATATTAAAAATTTGCAAGTAAGAAAATCAAAATGACAAAACGGATGATGAAAAAATCACCTTCCTTATCGAAGGAAAACAAGAAAGAAAAAAACAATGAGGAAAAAAAAAAAGGAGTAATAGAAGAAGAAGAAGAAGAAAAAACAAATTCTGAACAAAAAGAACAGTCTAATATTAGCAACACAAGAAATATTTTAACCCTACAAAATATTTTAGAAGAAAAACATGATAGAGAAGGTAATAAAAAGGTAAGAAATAAATTAATTATAAAAAACTCCCAAAATACTAGTAGCACTTTTAATACAAATGAAATGAGAATTATAACGATACCAAAACATCGAATCTCATCTGTAAAAACAAATTGGATGGAATTAATCAAGCCAATTGTAACCAATTTAAAATTAGAAATTCGCATGAATCGAGATAAAATACAAGTAAGGACATGTAAACTAACACAAGATAAAAACAATTTACAAAAATCATCTGATTACATAAAAGCCTACCTACTTGGTTTTAGTATAGAAGATTCATTAGCATTGCTAAGAATAGATGATTTATATATAGAAAGTTTTCAAGTGAAAGATGTTAAAATATTAAAAGGGGATCATCTGTCCAGATGTATTGGTAGAATATGTGGAAGCAACGGTGCAACTAAATATGCTATTGAAAATGCAACCAAAACTAGGATTGTAATAGCAGGTGATAAAATTCATATCTTAGGCAGTTTTAATAATATTAAAATGGCAAGATATTCTATATGTAGCTTAATACTTGGTTCAACGCAAGGGAAAATTTTTAACAAATTGAATATACTTGCCAAAAGGATGAAGGAAAGGTTCTAAAAAAAAGGATAAAAGAGAAGAAGACGAAGAAGAAGAACTTTCACCCCCTTCTGTTTGTGCTAAGTGCAGGAGAGAAACACACAGGAATACCAATTGTAATATCACACACCTTTGGGTATATATAACCAAGGGATGATGATGGAGGAGGAGAAATATCATCTATAATTGAATTTATTTACATATATTTATGTGGTATAGGTGATGTAATGTTGGTTGTGCAGTAGACCAGACATACTTTTACACGCCTAGACAGGAACATATTTGTGTGTGAATATAGAATGTACTATTTGTAAGTGAAAAGAGAAAAGAATATTTCGTCGAAAAGATGCGATATGTTAACACTTTGTAACACGTGCGTATTCTTTTTATTTTATTATTTTTTTATGTTTTTATCTTTTTACTTTTTTGTTTTTTTTTTTCTCCAAATTTTTCTTACTTTTCCCAATTTGTTTTATTTTTTTTAATTTATTTTTTTATTTTTTTTTTTATTTTTTTTTTCATATCAAATCTAAATAAACACACCGTTTGACCGTTTTGCAAATAGTAGAAGTTGTACCTCTGTTTTCAAAACATTTATTATTACTCACAGTTATGCAGTGTATATATATAGGTATACACGAATGAAAGGGATACATGAATTTCATGACAATCGGGGAAATGACACAAGTGCTATTTATGAACCCACGCACAGAATTAGATGAATGTCAACTCCAGTTTAACACAAGTTTTAATGATTCCCCATGAAAGTCATAACAAAATTGGCCTCTTCAGCATCACCATTTTGTAAATTGTAGCAGAAATTCTGCACAATCTGTACACGAGCGCAGAAGCAGAACTGTGCACGTAAAATTTGTCATAATTAAACACACATGTATTGGTGTTCATATGTGCACACATGAATGTACGCATTAAGTACATGTTGTTACGCAAATGTAACATGTACCGTGCCTGCATTTCTGACCTGCAAAAATTTCCTTTTTTAAGGAGTGAGAAAAAAAAAAAAAAGACATTTGCCATGTTGAATCATGCTTATAATTCCGCGGTGTAACATTTTTCGGTGACACACTCGAATGGTAGACGTTGTGCAAAAGTTTATCAAAATAAATTGTCATGCCAGTTTTTCCCTCTTTTTTTGCAATGTGCTTTTAAAACTTGTTCTCTATTTATTTATTTTGCTTTGTTTTGCTTTGTTTTGCTTTGTTTTGCTTTGTTTTGCTTTGTTTTACTTTGTTTTTCTTTATTTTGCTTTGTTTTGCTTTGTTTTGATTTATTTTTCATTTTATTTTTTTTTTTTTTTTCATTTTTTCCTTTTTCCCCGCGTTTTGACCTAGTACAAAACACAGCGTCCAATCTGCACTATTAACTATAAGATGTGCATTGGCCTGTGCATGCAGCGGGTCCAGACTAAAATTGTAAAATGCAAAAATAGGAGAGAAAGTGTAAAGTAAAAGAATCTTCTGGGTCTGTAATTCCCATTCTTGAATTAACCTACACATGTGTATATTTTTAGTGCGTATTTTTTTGTGCATTTTTTTTATGTTTTTGTTTGTGCATTTTTGTGCGCATTTTTTTATACACTTTTTTGTACATTTTATGCAAAAATTTTTTTTCTTCTTTTAATTTTTTTTTTTTTTTTTTTTTTTTTTTTTTTTTTTGGGGGCGTGGAGAAGTCCTCTTTTGATAGAGGTATTCTCTATGAAAATTCTTTCGTGAGCACAAATTCACATTTGCATAAGCTTATACTTACACACATGCATATGCTTAGTTACACATGGTACCTTTTTATATGTGTAAATTAAGAACTGTTAGCAGAACAAGCGCTTTTTAGACCTTAGCACACTGATTACACTTGGAAAATATTGTCTGCGTAGGATTTTTCTTTTTTTCTCTTGTCATCCAGGTGTGATTTGATCTAAACCAAATTACCTTCTTCGCAAGTCAGTTTTGATTCCACGAGATTGGCATTTGTATCAAGAGATGTGAAGTAACGATCATAAAAATGTCAAACTTGCACGTAGAATTTACCATGTCCATATATGAAGGTTGTTTTATGATTGTTCAATAGTAAAAATTTATATCTTGCTAACACATGTGAATACAAATGTAAATAAAAAGATGAATCGAGGGAGGAAAATATGCACAATGAAATTGTTCAGGGTATTGATGTACAACCCAGGATTAGTACTACTAATTCTGATATTCTCATCACTCATGTACTGCACTGAGAAAGTAAGCAAACATAACAATGGAAAAGATGATTTCGTGCTAAAAACGCTAGCAATTGATAAAAAAAAGCTAGATCCATCCTATTTTTACAAATATGATAATATAGAATGGAATGGGAAAATAATAGCTATTGGAGATATACATGGAGATATAGAAAGTTTGAAATTAATTTTAAGACATTCAAATTTGATAAATGAAAATGATGATTGGATTGGTGAAAATACATTGCTAGTACAAGTAGGAGATATACTAGATCGAGGAATTTATGGACCAATGATTTATGACTATTTATTTAAGTTACAAAAAGAAGCGATTTTTAAAAATAGTAAAATTATTTTAATACTTGGAAATCATGAACAGTTAAATTTATGTGGTTATTTTGATTATGTAAATAAAAAAGAAGTGGAATTATTTTTTAAAAATAATTATAACTATAGATTATACCATTTTGTACACAAGAAAGGGAAATATTTTCAAAAATTAATTCGTCTACCAGCAATAGCAAAGGTAAATGACATTTTATTTGTTCATGCAGGGATAAGTAAATACATATCTTTATTTAGCTTAAATACCATACGTTTAAAAACAAGGTTACAAGTAGAAAATATGTGTAATGTGTTACCATATGATAAATCACACAATTATGTAACACGTGATGGGGTGCTATGGTATGATTATGTTTCACGCACAGTACCGTATAATCATAAAGAAGCATGTTCAATTTTATCTCACGTTTTTAAACAATACAAGGCGAAATATTTAGTGGTTGGCCATACAAAACAATCATCACATGAAATTAGCTACTACTGTAATCATAGATTTTTTCTTATCGACACTGGAATGAGCCTTTTTATGAACAATGGTCAGCATTATCCCAATTATCTTGTCATTCAAGATGGAGTATTCAAAGCAATCCATTTAGATGTTGAGAAAAAGAACAAAAAAAAAATCTGTGATTCGATGGAAATAGAGTTGAGCAACCCTAACAAGCAGAGTTTCTGTGTTCAGTCCAAAGAAACCAACCTTTCTCCATCTCTTATCAGCTGAATTTCTCCTGATTCTTTTTTTTTAGTGCTACGTCTGTTTTGGACGAGTTTTTATTTTATTTTTTTTTTTTTTAATTTCGATTAGGAGGGTGTGTCTCTCTCTGTGTGTGTGATTACCCATCAGTTTAAAAATATATTGGTATAGAACACACATGTCAAATACATACCCAAGAACAAACTCGTATAAGTACGTGCGTCCATTACATAAGGTATATATGCACGATGTGTCATTCCACTTTCACGCTTATACATATGTAAATATTCTTAACTATGACTAAAATACATCTAAATCGTTTTAAATTATAAAATGTTTCATTCATCAAAATACAAAAAAAAAAAAAAAAAAAGAAGAAAAAAAAGAACTGAACCAAATAATATAACATTATATGAACCCGTTCTTCTTCTTTATAACATACATATGCAAGCTTGCACGTGTGAATCATACCTCTAAAAAAGGGGAAAAAATAAAATTATGGTTCACACATGAAGCAACATTTACATATTATTATTTTATTTTTTCTGCTTATACTTCTATGCAGCGAAGACAAAAAAGTTTTAATTAGTTAATAAATTAGTTAAATAATTAGTTAAATAATTAGTTAATTAATTAGTTAAATAATTAGTTAAATAAATAATTATTTATTTTAAAATACAAATTTTACAGCTTGCCCTGATTCGTTGAATGTTTTACGATAAAACTGAGGGAAAGGAAGGAGGGACGCATTCTTTTTTTCCCTCCAAAAAAAGCAGCTCATTCAGTGGGGATCAAGTGTCGTAATATGGTTTCCATTTAGTATGTCCATTAATTGTAGCTCACAGTTTGCTTATCTTACATGACATATTTCATATTTGTTCGCTTTTTAACGTGTGGAATCCTACCATAGTCTCATCTAGTTTGATTTGCTTTGCATTCATAAGACTATGTCCCTACTTGGTTCATCTGGTCATGTAGATCCGTTTGTGTATAAAATACCTTCAAATTAATTACATCTCTCCGTCTACTGCAAGAATATATATATGTGTATATATTCAATATCTGTAGAGAGTGGAGTCTACCTTAACACAAAAAAAAGGAATATAAAAGATGCAATGGTAATGGAGAGAATGATCATCCTTTTGGTAGTGTAGTACTTAATATTTTTCAGAATTTTTTGAATTTTTGGCAGTTGATCATTTAAAAGCTTAATTTTTTTCATTTGCTGTGTGATATTATAATTTTGTAATTTTAACCTCCAGTTTGTTTCTCGTCCAATATAAATCATATTATCCAATTCAGTGATAGAATGTTGTAAAGCACTTCTCTCTTTAATGACATTATTAATTTCATTATTTTTAATAAGTACAGATGGAGATTCTCTTTGTTGATAAAAATGACTACTATTGTGTAGACATATTTTATCAAATATATTTTTCAAATTCTGCAGTTGAATTCTAAATTTATCAAAAATGCTGAAAAATCTAGAAATTTCTATATCATATGTTTTATTATGACTAAAATAATTCTTCATTATATCTAAGTTCTGAATTCCATTTTTATACAAATTTTCTAATTCACTTATTCTTTTTTTATTATTTGAGAAGAATTCTGACATGCTGTCAGCATGTACATTTTTTCTCTGCATATCGTTCTCATAATATACTAAATTTTCCTTAAGTTCACTTAATATCCGTTCAGAGTTTATCTGTATATTTCGAATATTCTTTTTGTATTCTCTGTATCGTATACCTTCATTGCAATCGTTAACTTGATCTTCATCTTTTAGGACGCTGTAATTTTTCTTCATCTTTTTTTTTTTTCTCCCTTTATTTTTTTCTCCTCTTTTTTTTTTTTCTCTTACTTCTCTCTCCTTATGGTCCTTTATAGGCGCACTACCTAACTGTATATGTATATGTATGGCAATTCCCACGCGCTTACATGTAAACTACACATAGGAGTTATAAGTGCAAAACATACTTATGCACAGACCCATACATTGGAAATATACCACCTTTTGCACATTATCAGATTTTTTTTTTTTTTTTTTTTTTTTTTTTTTTCCTCCACTGTTCTCGTCCTCTTCTTGTACCAGTTCTAGACAAACACCAATTTCATCGTTCAGCTAAATGTTAAAAGGTAATGGTTTTCTTACTACCATTGATCCTTTTGTGTGCCTCAATCGTGAATATTTTGGGGTTTACAACCTTTACCTGTTCTCTCACTACTTCTCTGTTACATATTTTTAAAAAGCATTCGCGTGACCAAGCTGAATTAAAAAACATTCCTCCCCCCACCTCAAATAGAGCTATCTTTTGCTTGTATGTTTGTATGTATATATGTATGTATGCACGTATGCATGTACATATGTATACATATAACATGCTTATATATAATATATGTATGCCTCTTAAACGTAGCAGGAGGAAAAAAGAAAAAAAAAAAAAAAAAAAAAAAAAAAAAAGGATTGCGTACTCCTTATTAGGCATAATAATATGTATAAATAAAAGTTGCACAGATATGACGAATTCCGGATATAAGAACCTCGTGACAAATTCTTTTCTTTTTTTTTTTTTTTTTTTTTTTTTTAATAACATTGGGACGATGGAAAATGCTCCATATTTTTAAAAGCTTATATCAGGAGGTGACGTATGCATGCATATGTTCTATAGTACTTGACTGTATGAAATAAATTCCCCTAGATGGTTAGAATGCCAATATGGGATAATTGCCCTTCATAATATTTGTCATACCCCCCAGCGTTTAATGCAAATCGTTAATAAGTTTCTCCGTTAGGAAGCATTAACATGTATCATTAAATGTGGACGGACACTATGAATTCCATGTGTATGTCAGTTGAATGGAACAAAACATTCACATATTACATTTCCTCCTGAACAAATATTACACTACAGGAAAAGGAATTCTGACATATGTGGAAAAGAGACTCCACTTGAGGATGCAAAAAGTTTTAACAAAGATAGAACACAGCGGAAAAAAAAAAAAAAAAAAAAAGAGGGAGAGCTCGGGAACGAGCATCAGATAGATAAATTCCTTTCCTCAATCGTGGAAGAAACATCACATAATATAAAAGCTCATGTAAATGAGAAATCACACCGGACTTCAATGAGGGGACTATGAACCGTTTCATACGTTCACGCCTAAGGTGAATTCTTTTATTTTCACCCCATTTTGAATATTTTGATTTATTTCGCCTATTTTCTTTTATTTTATTTGACTTATTCCATTCGGTTTGCTCCATTCGTTTGTTCCATTCGTTTATTCAACCCCGCTTGTGTCATTTTTTTTTCCTCATTTTTACCCGTTGGTTGATGCGAAAGAGCAGCCAAGTCGAATGTATACCAAAAACCCCACTCATGCAAAAGGGATAGATTGGCAAAAAAACAAATCAAGCATGGGCAAATGAAACATAAAATGAGATATTATTCCTCCTATTCACTGCCTTCCACAGTGATGTCGTAAACTTATTTATACTTGAACGAATACCATAGACACTCACGAAGCCTTTTTATACTCTCCACGATACGCGAAAATAGCAAAAAGGAAAAAAAAAAAAAAAAAAAAAATTTTCTAAAAGAGGATTATAATAAAAATTATTCTACTTTACAACAAAACTGATATATCCGATATAGTTCTTCACAGACACCAATACAATTTTGTCAAAAATTCCATATGTACCAAAAAGTCCTACTCCTTTTCATCCTCTTTATATATACTTTCCGAGATTCCACCAATGCATTAACCCGTAAGAATAACCTTTTCATAAATGAAATCTATAACAATGTAGATACATTTAGAAGACATTGTGGTTCAGGATTTAACAAGAATAAATGTAAAGTTAGAAACAAGACAAAATGCAAACAAAAGAGTAATAAGTTTAACCAGATATATAACAAATTCAAAGATTTCCACGCTACAAAAGAAAATGACGTAATAGAAATGAATGGAATAGTTGACGAATGTTTAGCAAACACCAATTTTGTGGTTCGAATTCCAAATGGTGAAAAATTTCTATGTTTCATTTCAGGAAAGTTAAGAATTAATAAAGTAAAAATTAATCTAGGGGATACTGTCAAAATACAAATTCATAAGTTAAACTTTGAGAAACGTAGAGGAAAAATTGTATTCAGGTATTTGCAACACGCCCCTCTGGGAAATAAAAAGTGAACTTTCTTGAAAGGTAAGAAAAAGTGGAAGAAAAAGGATTTTGTCTCAAAATGGGCGAACACATTATATATGGATCCATTTTCAGAAATTAGGAAAATGGAAAAGAATCTTATATGCGCAAATATGTATATACTCTGGAGTGACACCATTCCATATATAACAGTCACGACATATGAGAAATGAAATTATCACAGTTGTATTTTTATGTACTATTATATACTATTATATATTATTATATATTTTTATTATATTATTATATACTATTATATACTATTATATATTTTTTTCACGCAACACATATTTATTTCATTTAAAAATTTTTGTTATCAGCACGTTTTCATGACTACACCTTTGACCATATTTTCCTTTAATGCTACACTAATGTGCAACCTAGATTTGTCTTTTACATCCCATCGTTTGATTTCTGATGTGTCATCATTTTATTACCATTTCTGTATACTAAACTTCTCACCTAACCCCATTCTCCATGACATGCATGTTTACATTTATCTAGATGAGGAACATAAAACAAATCATAGAATAATTTGAATCTGTATATATAATTACAAATGATTCAATTTAGGATTTTTACATAAAAGGAATAGCGTATATCTCATTTTTTTTTTTTTTTTTTTTTTTTTTCCTTTATTTTATTCTCTACAAATGTTAAAAAGGTAGTAGAGCAAAACGGGATAGCACTTCTTTCTTTTATTCAAAAAAACTTATAATTACATTTACATTCCTTTGGTTACAATTTTGCCTCTAATTTTGGTACTCCCATTTTGCACACAATGTACCGATCAAATGGAAGAATATTTCTCTTTACAAAGTACTGGCATACAAACAATTTTTTGCAAAGCCTATAATAAAATATATGTTAAAGCGTAGCAACAATATGTGATCGATTTGTGAACTAAAAAGATGACCAAGTGTGGAGAAATCAAATAGGTGAATATATCTTCTCCTTAAGTTCGAATTTGAACTTGACAGCCTCATGGAAGTGATGTTCAAATAAAATGAGATGAAATCAAGTGCAGAGATTGTAAAAATGGAGATCAGTACAGAGAAACGTTGGAAAAAAATCTTAAATTCAAAAATATCGAGTTCCATGTGTACAATATTTTAAGGCCACCATTTTCCCATTCATACAAAGTTACAAATGTGCTTAACACTGTTCAACTATTTTTTTTTTTTTAGTATATTAAAACGTTAATGTTATTATAACGATATAGGACTAATGAAAACTGCTTATAAATTTGAAAATTCAAAGAATATGAAGCATAATTAATAAAGTTATACAAGGTAAAAGGCAAATTTGCAGTATTGCAATATTGCAATATTGCAGTAATGCGTGATGAATCATAAGTGGTGATGAAAAATCTGCGTTCTGCTTTTACAATGTGCGATTGGTTAACCAGGTCATGCAAACGTGATGTTCTATTCTTAAATTTCCGGAGGTCATTCGTAATTAGAAGCATATAGCACACTTGCATACAACCGCATGTTAATATATATGTAAAAACTTTTTAGTCTTTTAATAGAGCAGAAACAACAAAGAACAATAGGATGATCATGATATACTTGCATGTATAGTAAGTGTATGTCATAAAACCGTAAATTATGTGTGTAATCTCTATTTCAACTTCGCTAACTAGGAAAAAAAAAAAAAAAAGGTAAAATGCGTAAACTTGTACACACAATACGTGACAAATAGGTCGTGCTTGAATCTTAAAAAAAGGTTTTCATATCAATAAAACAGTACGGGTGAATCGCACACACATTTTTGTGGTTTCAAACGGTTATAATAAAAAATTTTACGTATAATTTTAAGCATAATTTTATGCATATAAATTTACTCATAATTTTACGCAATTTTATGTTCCTTGTTCTTCTTCACCTTCTCCTTCCTTTTTGTTGCTTAATTTGTAAAGTTTTTATGACATTTCCACAACGGTGGCACATAATTTCGGGGTGCTAGTAACCCATTTAGTCCCTTTTTTTTTTTTTTTTTTTATTCTAAGGTAAAAATTGGGGAGATCCACAACATTTTGATCTTATGTATGTATTATACACATATGTTGTTATTCTCTTGTGCTTAACTTTCAATGGGTGGCGAAAACCATTCTGCCTCTGAAACTTTTTATATTAAATTTTTATGTGGATCCTATTTTTCATAGTCACATTGTATTTTATAGTGCACCCAACTGTTAAGGAGACTTTTTTTCCATTTTCATTTATTTTTTCTTTTTTGCCTCAGCTAACCATCCATACAAAAGGGAAGCAAAAAATAAAAAAGGATAAGCATGAAATGGTAAGAAAGAAATGGTTAGCAAGAAAGTATATAAGCATAGAATGATCAGGAAAAAAGAAAAAAAAAAAAAAAAAAAAGTAGTAACTTTAATGTATGACATTTTGCTTGATAGATAATGACTCTACTGAATTTTATCCCTTTTTTTTTTTTTTTTTTTTTTTTCATATTTCCTGATACTCATGTAGGTGCTCCTATCTGCTACGCATTCATCGAGAATACCAAATAAGATATATGGTAAATTTTTTCACATAACTGCAACATTGTGATATTTGAAGAGTAGGAATTTTTTATTATATAATATCCCACCCCGAGTTCCACTTTCAGCAGAGGAAAACAATTAGAAGGGGTGTTTTTTCCCCATCTCTGAAACGAGGATGGTCATTTCACTTTTTACCAGTACGTATTTCGCACACATATTAAATTAGGTTTAGTTAATATTGGCAAAAAAGTGGTTTGAAAAGTGGTTTGAAAAGTGGTTTGAAAAGTGGTTTGAAAAGTGGTTTGAAAAGTGATTTGAAAAGTGGTTTGAAAAGTGGTTTGAAAAGTGATTTGAAAATTGGCTTGAAAATTGGCTTGAAAATTGGTTTGAAAATTGGTTTGAAAATTGGTTTGAAAAGTGACCTAAAAGTGACCTGAAAATTGTCGTGAAAAATACCCGAACACCAAAGGCATCGCAAAAAAAAAAACTTGAATACTCGATAAAAAAAATGAAAGAACCAAATGACGAGAAAACCAATGAAAGGAAGAGGAAGAAGCCGGATTGTAATGCTGAGGAAAGTAAGGAATCCAGCAAATCCAAAAAAAAGATAGAATTTGAAAATGATGATGAGTTTGAAAAATACCTTTTGGATAATTTCAAGAAGAGTTATGACCAAGCAGGAGAAACTTGGAACAATAGTAAAACCGAAAGACTATATGAAAGTCGCAATGAGTCTGAGTACTCCCTTTCGGATATGATAAAAAGCTTCTACAATGAAGTAAAGAAATATAAAACAGTTGATGACATGGCAAATGAAATAAAAAAATTGGCAACACAGAATATTAAGAAAAATCTAGATATTATATGTAATAACGAATGCACAAGCTCATTTTTTGTGGAAAAATATCGCGTAAAATATATGAACGAACAGACAGAACTGAACATAAAATCAGCTCAAAATTACTTCAAGGAATTCATGATACTTTACAATAATAACAATTTTGATGATTTCAGCTTGGAAATTAACACCAACTTGGAGAAGAACTCCGTGGAGGAGAACATCGTAGAGGAAGGAGAAAAAAGGAAAAAGGGAGACGAAACAGATGACGATACAGAAAATGATACAGCAGAAAAGAACGCAAAGGCGAAGATTATGCAAAATGGGAACGGTGAAAATGATGATGATAAAAGCAAAGAATCGAGTTCTAAAAAAAAAAAGGAGGGAAAAAATAAACATCCCCCAAATGAAATGTATACAACAGACATATGGAAGGAAAAAATAAAATGCAAAATCGAAAATATAAATGAAAACACAAACATTTTAATTAAAATTGTAAACTATTTAGCCAATACATCATTGCACATAGATCACGTACCACTAAACATAAAAAAATTCGACATTCTGAAAAAATTAAATGAACTGGATTATGATATACTAAATGCAAACATATGGGATACGTACAGTTCTAAAGAAACTAGACCTTTCTCTTTATCTATATCATCATCCCCATCCTTCTATAGAAAGGCAAATATATATTTTAAAAAGCATAACAAGACAAATGATATACTAAATACATTACGTGAAAAACCTTTAAGTGTATATATCAAAGGATGGTACTTAAGTAACCTTAAAAGAAATAATTACAATTATTTGGACTTAAGAATATGCCCCCCCATATGTTCTCATATTGAAATAATAAAAATGGATTATGAAAATGCAAAAACATTAGTCAGAAAATTGGACACTTCTTGTCATATTGATTTGGATCTACAACACCGTTTAGGAGAGGAAGTTCATTTCGAAAGTATGCATAAGAAGAGAAAAATCGATGAGGAATCACACACCCATGATGTTGAATCAACCAATGAGAAACAGACTCTCCCTGTTGATCAGAATTGTGATAACATTAATAAGAACAGAAATAATACAAATATTGTATGTAACAACGAACTAAGTGAAAGTCCAATTATTCAAATTATTGAAGAAAATAAAAAGTTAAGTATAATGAATAAATTAGATATCCTAGTACTGTATCTTCGATTTGTACATAACTTTTGTTATTATTCAGCACGAAAATTTAATACGTATGATGAAATGACGAGAGAATGTGGACACTTTTACCTAAGAGTGAATATGGAAAATAAATTTTACAAAAATCTTATTCCCATATTTTATGAAAATTTTAATATAAAAAAGTTAGAACACTATGTGCATGAGGATTTTGGATATAGTAATTCCAACACTGAAAATTATGTGATAGGAGAAAATTCCACAATCGGGAACACTTATAAAGATAGAACTAATAGTGGTAATAATGATAACACTCTTGAAGAAGAAAACTGTGGCATGGAAGAAGGACGAGGTGACATTGTCAATCAAACAACCAAACCAAATAGAGAGAATGGTGATTACTTTAATCTATGCAGGTTAAAAAATACATATCTTAATGATTTAGACGAAGTTTCAGATTATCAATTAAAATGGCTTCTGAACTTTGAGACTGAAATTAAGGATGCAATAAAAGCTAACTATAATGAACATATTGAAATTGAAAAAACAAAGGAATTTTTAGAAATTTTGAAAAATAATTATATTTTAAAACCAACACATAATAATAGCACAAATACTGATGGAAAAAGCGAAATAAGATGTGCCAAATGTAAAAAGCTTTTTAACAATATTAAAGACGTGCCCAATCACATTTTCATAAAACATAACCAAGTTAAAATGAAATTAATTACGGAAGCTGAAGCACAAATTATGAAAAAATGTTTTTATGAATCTCCACATAGTTTTCAATTTCTTTTTATGATGGAAAAAAAATATAATTCCAACCATTCAAAGAATTATTTAAATAAAAGTATTTTTAAAAAGACAAAAAATTACAAAAACCACAATTTTCACGTACTACCCAATAGCGTTAAAAGTGATTATAAAGATTTTGACGATCCCACTTTAAACGTTTTCGAAAATGTAAAACAGACCGAAAGAAAGAAGAACGATTTTTATGATGATACTTAAACTGAAGTACTTCAAGCGGAGGGCGAGATGATCAAAATGTAAAAAATTCACCTACTCCACGCGCTTCCTTCAGGTGCACAATGTTGTCTATGTTTCACAGCACACATATAAATAAATATATAACTTAAAGTTGTGTTTCCCCTCCTTTTTCTTCATTCATTTGATATAATCATCGAAGGAATTTATCGCTTACATATGTGCATTCAAAGATGGAAGAGGAAAAAAAGAAAAAAAAAGAAAAGTAAAGAACAGTTCTTACTGAACGCTAGCTAACGTTGTGTATATACACACTTCTTAGCCAGGGTTTCTATATATCATATTTTCATGAACATTAAATAAGTGTGTGTGCAACAAAAGCTACCTCTAAAAATGGGACAGTTTTTCGAATTCCTTTTTATTTTTTTTTTTTATTTGTAATAATGGGAATATTATAAAAATGGTCTTTATGTATATATATATATATGTATATATTTATATTCATTTCAACTTATTTTAACCACGTATCCCTTTCTCTTTAAAGGTGCCTGTAGCACACGAGCGTGTGTGTTATTTTGTCAGTTTGATTAAATTCGATATAAGAATTAATTTTTTAAAATTTGTTTTATTTATTTTTTTTTTTTTTTTAAAAAAAAATGTACTTTTGTAGAAAATTTTTTGGAAAATGTTTAAATCGAGGTAATTCTTTATGGTAATCTCTCATTTTTTTAAACGTTAAAAAATTAGCAAATTGGTCTTCTTTTAAAAAAATAGTTCGCATGCAAGACTCAACTTTTTTTTTTTTATTTATATATTTTGCATGTCGTTCTTATGAAAAGAGAACCCCCCCCCCCCCTTTTATTTTGTTTATTTATTTTACTATCTTTTTTTATTTTTATTATTTTTTTTACTTTTTATATATTTTGTTTCTTTTTTAAGATTGTTTACCTTGGACCCCAGTATTATTATTTGTGGCGTAATAAAAAACATACTGTTTTTTTTTCACCTATTTAAATTTTTGATTTTAGGAGATTTTATCTACAATGCAGTAATGTCAAGTAAACAATGTCAAATGTAACACCAACGGGTGATCTCTTTAACATAAATGGCAACCTTCCTGTTGTGGTGAAATTTACATGTTAAACAAAACAACTAATTAGAGGTCTTTGAATACTCTCAATGGGGATTGACCAAGAGAAGCGGAATTATTGTGCATATGTACAAAAATAACAATTCACTATTATAGATACCGTCATATGATGTTATATATGAATATAATGTGTAAAAAAAATATATATCTTGATATTGTTAAAGAAAATAATATTCAAATCCCTTTTATTTTAATGAAATGTTTTCCATCTTGGTATGAAACCAGGTACACCTTTTGCAATAGTAATAATAATAAAAAAAACCAAAAAATATAAAGAAAAGTAAAAAAAAAAAAAAAAAAAGTGTAAAAATATAAATTTCATAAATATAGAAAAGTGTATCATAACAAAATAAGTAAAGTTTCGATTTCCCTGTTTTTTTGTTATTTTTTAGTAAATAGTAGAAGAGGGGATGGGGGAAGAAAAAAACATATATTTCTTTAACCATACTTTTTTTTTCTTTTTTTTATCTTTTTTTTTTTTTTAATATTTTTATTAATACGTGTAACACATGTATAAAAGTTTACATATGTACACGTATTCATATACATTAGCATCCGTTTTAATACACCCATTGTGTATATATAAATCGAGAACCACATTTTTAGTTTTCCATTTTCTCACCAATATGGAAAATACAATCACATAGAGTTAACAGAACGTCGAATTTTTTTTTTTTTTTTTTTTTTTTTTTTTTTGTTTCCCACTGATATATATGAAATATATGATATATGAATAACATATCATCATTATTTTTTATTATTGTTTTATTCTTGTTTTTTTATTTTTATTTTATTTTACTTTTTTTTTTTTTCAATAAGAAAAAAGTAAGGAAATATTTTATCCGTAGGAAAATATAAATAGTTATGGTTACATGGAGGTGACGCGGAAATGAAATTTTGCAGGGTTTATAATTTGTATGTAGTGCATCACATATGTATCATATATATATATATATATACATTTGTTCATATATATACATGAGGGACATTCTCGTATGTACAATTTACATACAAAGCGTATGTCATATCTAGCATACATGGACGCCTACATATATAACGTTCACGCTTACGTTTACATGTGCCTTTTCAATTCCTTTCCTTTCCCTTTTCTTTTCTTTTCTTTATCATTTCTGGTAACCTCATTCATATGGTAAAGCACAATATAGCATAATTAAGTAAAAACTCTCTTCTATAATCATCAGATGAACAGAAAAAAAAAAAAAAAAAAAAAAAAAAAAAAAAAAAAAAAAAAAAAAAAAAAAAAAAAAAAAAAAAAAAAAAAAAAAAAAAAAAAAAAAAAAAAAAAAAAAAAAAAAAAAAAAAAAAAAAAAAAAAAAAAAAAAAAAAAAAAAAAAAAAAAAAAAAAAAAAAAAAAAAAAAAAAAAAAAAAAAAAAAAAAAGATGCATGTAAAATATGAACATTTATGAAAAATATTAAAGAAAAAGTCGTGAACAGCTAATCAAATAGCACAGAAGGTGGATTCAAAAAAAAAAAAAAAATAATAAAAGAATTCAAGCAGATAGGTAGTGAACCAATGAACCAGTAAAAAAATACACATATATAAAGCAGAATTGCACAAAATAAAAAAGCCTCGTAATCCAAGTGGAAAAGATACCAACACGCATATTAAATCTGCTGGGAAAATAAGTTCGCGCAAAAAAGAAAAATATATATATATATATATATACATACATATGTACAAATTTCCACAAAAGAGGAAAAAGTAATGTGGAGAAAAGCAGTTGGAAGCTATTTCAGTAGCAAAGGCAAAGAGGAGAAGGACGATGATGGCCCGTCTGATAGTGAACTAAATAATGAAAATGCAGAGAATGCAGATAGTGTGGACAAAGTTGATAAAGCTGATAAAGACGAGTCTAATGACGAAGAAACATCAAAGTCAAAAAGAACACGAAGAGGCAGAGGGCCAACAAAGAAAACATCAAAGGGAGAGGATAATAAGTGTGAAAATGGCATATTAGAAAATAATGAATCTGATGATTATATTAATAAACATAGTAGTGGAGAAAATCATGACAATAATGATGATAATCCTAGTACCTCCACAAAAGAAAAGAGCATAATTCTGGAAGAAAATGATGATATCGATAAAAATTTTAAAAACAAAAAAACAAATAAAGTAGAAGAGGAGGAGGAGGAGGACGAGGACGAGGACGAGGACGATGATGATGATACAAACGAGGTACATCACAAAAGACGATCTAAACCTTACAACAAAAAAGACGAACTTAATAAAAATGAAAGTTCAACAGAAAAGAATCAATCGGACGAAAAAAAGGGCAGAGAAAAAATTAGAGAAGAACAAAATAGTGACCTACATGAAAAAATGAAATTAATTAAGGAGAAGATGAAATCGAGTGAACTGAATCAAGCAGAAAATGCAAAAGGACCAAGGGACAGAAGCAAGCAGAGGGGTAGGAGTAGAGAAGTGGATAAACACAAAAGAAAGCATAAGAACTTATCATCCAGTAGTGATGAAGCCCATTCGTCTAAAAGGAAGAGGAGGAGTGGGGAGAGAACCATAGAGGAGAAGGTCGAGCGTGCAGGTAGGCACAGACATAAAAGCAAAGAAAGGGACAGAAGTAAAGAAGCTATTAGAAGTAAAGAAGTTATTAGAAGTAAAGAAGTTATTAGAAGCACAGAAAGGGACAGAAGTATAGAAAGAATTCAAAGCAAAGAATTGGGAAGGAGCAGAGGGAGACACAGAAGCAGAAGTAGACATAGAAGTAGACACAGAAGTAGACACAGAAGTAGAGAAAGAAGCAGAGACAGAAGTAGAGACAGAAGCAGAAGTAGACACAGAAGCAGGCATAGCAGGCGCAGAAGAGATAGGAGTAAAAGGATTAACAGCAGTAATAGCGATGATAGCAGCGATGAGAGACATCATCGTAGCCATCACAGGTCAAGAAGAAGAACAAAAAAAAGAAGTTCGAGAAACAGTAGTGATAGGGAAAAATCGAGTGAAAGTGCTAAAAATAAAAATGGATATGATAAAAAGGATAGATCAACTTCAAGTGAAAGAAGAAGCAAAGACTCAAAAAAAAAAAAGAAGACAAAATGGGATACAGTTGATGAGAATTTATTGAAAAATGGCTTATTAGATAACAATTCGAATGGGTTACTTCAACAACAAAATTTAGCATTAGCAAATAACTTGGGTGCAAATAATAAAATTACCCCATTAGGAAGAAATCCGTATGAAGTAGAAGGTGATAAAAAGCAAAGAAAATTATACATAGGTAATATTCCTCCAACTTCAAAACAAGAAGAGTTAATGGAATTTTTCAATAGTACATTAGCATCAATTATAAAAGATTCAAGTTTAGAAATAAAAATTGGAGATATTGTATTGCAGCCCATACTAAAATGTGAAATATTTAATGCCGAATCACGATTTTGTTTTCTAGAATTTAGAAGCTTAGAAATTACATGGCTATGTCTAAGGTTAGATGGTATTTCGTTCAACAATTTTGCATTAAGAATAGCAAGACCACATGATTTTGTTCCACCAACGGGGGTAGATCCAGCCTTAACTGCTGTTTTTACAGATATTAATATGGAAGTATATGAAATGGTAAAACCGGTTAAAATTGCACCAGTAAGAAGCACAGGGGATGATGATAATAAATTATATATACAAAATTTACCACACGATTTAAAGGATGATCAATTAAGAGATTTGTTACAACAATTCGGGAAATTAAAAGGATTTAATGTTATAAAAGATCCGAATACTGGATATAATAAAGGGTATGGATTCTTCGAATATGAAGATCCTAGTTGTACACAAGTTGCTATGCATGCTTTAAATGGTTTTGTGTGTGGACAGAATATACTTAATGTTAAAAAAGCTACATTTGGTAAAAGCCAAAGTACTGCACAAAACGCAAATAACGTAATCATACAACCCAGCATTGTAGATTTACCAGTGTCACTTTTACCAAACTCTATTTCACAAAAAATTCTAAGTAATTCCATTATAGGCTTACAAATTCAAGCATCCAGAAAAATAGGTGAAAAATCATCTCGTGTGGTTCAGTTAACGAATGCTGTTTTTCAGGAAGATTTGCTTATTGATAGTCAATATGAAGAAATACTAAGGGATATTAAGGAAGAAGCTGAAAAATATGGACCGCTTCAAAATATTGTAATTCCAAAACCAAGCAAGGATTTGTCCTATACAGAAGGAGTCGGAAAAATTTTTCTTCATTATGCAGATGAAACTACTGCAAGAAAGGCTCAGTATATGTTTAATGGTAGACTTTTTGAAAAAAGAGTAGTATGTGCTGCATTTTACTCTGAAGAAAAATTTCTAGCAGGCAAATATGTCTTATCATAACATAATTTGTTACCAAATCGGTACGTAATATTTTACCGATTACATTGATAATCGTAGGAGAAAATATTCCAAATGTATAACAGTTTAACAAATTTTATTCTTTCATCGTTTTGTAATTGTTAAAACATATATATTTAAAAAAAAAGAAAAAAAAAAAAAAATCTGGCTCCTTTTTTGATTACATGTACTCATCAGAACTTTTAGCTGTGATCATAGCTACCCAAAAAACAAAAAAAAAAAAAAAAAAAAAACTAGCTATAATACATTTTAGCTAGCCCAAATCATAAAGTTTAGCTGGAAGTAGCAGAGAAGAATAGAATATTTGAAAAAAAAAAAAAAATCATCTCAGTCGGGAACATCCTGTGAAGAGAAAAACAAAACAAAATAAAACATAACTCCTTGTTTAAACGGATGTAAATTAAAAAAATTACATGGCATGCCCGCCGAATATAATAAAATTCATAAATGCGCATCTCTTTTTTTGTAATAAAAGCATATGAACGATACAATGTGAATACATATATATATATGTATATATATGTAGACATGTGCATGTGAATGTTCATAGGTATACTTATATATGTACACATAAATCTATATGCCAAAAAAAGAGCACCAATTGTATTTTTTCTCCTCTTCATAGGCATTTCCATTTGTGTATATTCGCGTAAAGATATAACCAGAAATTTTTTATCTATAATAATTAAGAAAAAAACCAAAAACATATTTTACATTTAAAAGAACAAAATGTGTTTTTCATGTTAAATCATTGTCTTATAATATTGGACGCAGAGATCATGCATTAGAAATTTTTCTTAAATTACGCACTTAAAGCATGAGACAGAATAGGTAACTATGAACGGGGTGAACTGTTAGGATGGTGCCTTTTTTCTTTTTCGTCGTTCGAAAATATATGTTTGGAGAAATCAATAATTAAATATTATTTTATATTATTTTATTATTATTAATTTTTTTTTTTTTTTTTCTTGTTCATATAAAACATGGTCAGTTATTAACCATGTGAAAAGTTTCATGAAACAAAATGAATATAAAAATTAACTCATATAAGTTGGGGATGTTTATATATATTTCTAAATATCTTTCATTGGTAATTTACTGTAAAATAAACGTGTCAACAAAACTTATGTTACCTGTGCATGTACTTATATATATGCAATATATTTGAATGTTATTGCTTCAAATATCATGCGAGGGAACCGATCACTGGGATATGTACAAAATTTCTAATTATTTTATTTTTTTTTTTTTTCATGCTTTTTGTAATACACATATGAACGATCATCTAGCGACAAAATTATTCCAATTAGTCGCATATGCTTATCATTTATATATTGCACACAAATTGTGACAGTTTACTGTTTGTTATCAACATTGTTTTAAGCCACACCTACACACTACACCTATTCCATTCATTCTATTTACGAAATAAAATAAATTTTTTTATAAGATACATTGTGAGCTTCAGTTTTTTTTTTTTTTTTTTTTTTTTTTTCTCCTGTTTATTAAATTAATGTAACATAATATGTGATCTGTATATATATTCTTTTAAAAAAAATAAATAAAACTTTAAAATAAATATGTGCATGTATCTATCTTTATATATATGCATTTATATATATATATATATATATATATATATATATATATATATATATATATATATAAATATGTATATATATATAGATATATATATTATATGTACTTAAGTGAAAGTTAATTCAAAGATGAGAGAAGCTCATAACAAATTAAAAATATTAAACATCCTATTCTTTTTGTTCATATATATGTGTATATATACATATGTGTAACACAAAAGTATATACACTCAACGTATATGTATATATATGCAACGTGCAGATATACACATATATACATAAACATTTACATACGCATGCGCATATTCAATATTGTTATATAATAAAAACACTAGTTTCTAATTTGAAAAATATATATAGGTATATATATATATAAAAAGCTCTTTTTTTTTTTTCTTCTATATATATATATATATGTAGCAATTAATATATATAATATTTCTTTGATCTTTAAAAGGTGATTTGTACGTTAACACACGTATTAAATTTTTATTTCTTGGAAAAAAAAAAAAAAAAAAAAAAAAAAAAAAAAAAAGTAGCTTTACAAATAGTCCGCAACCTGAAAGAAAAGGGGGGAAAAAAAAAGAAAAAGGGAGAAAAATTACTTATAGATATACATAATATATAAACGTAAAAACATTCAGAATATACGTTTACTCAAATAATATGTAAAAAGATGCAAGCTTGAGTCAAATAATACACTTTATTTTTTTCACAAAATATAGAGCACATAATTTTTTTCTTCTTTTTTGTAATTACTTCTAAAGGCATTTCTTCTATTTGTGTACTGTAGTAGGATTCGATTTTCTTCAATTTATCCTTTTCCTTGTCATCATTTGTAACAAAATTAATAGCAACTCCCTTACGACCAAATCGACCTGAACGACCAATTCTGTGAATATACGTGTCAGGTGAGCAAGGTAGGTCATAATTAATAACTAATGAAACTTGCTGAACGTCAATACCTCTAGCTAACAAATCAGTAGTAACCAAAACTCTTGTGGAACCGGATCTAAATTCTCTCATAATTAAATCTCTGTCTTTTTGGTCCATATCACCATGCATACAAGAAACAGTAAAGAGTCGATTATGCATTTCTTGGGTTAGAATATCGACCTTTTTTCTCGTGTTACAATAAATAATAGATTGCGTAATAGTTAAAGTTTCATATAAATCACATAATGTATCTAATTTCCATTCTTCCTTTTCTACAGCAACATAAAATTGTCTTATACCTTCTAAGGTTAATTCATCTTTTTTAACTAATATAGTTTTGGGATCTCTCATAAATCTAGTTGTTAATTCTAAGATTTCTTGTGGCATAGTAGCAGAAAATAAGGCAACTTGAATATCTGGGACTAACTTTTTAAATACTTCATATATTTGAGCCTTAAATCCTCTTGATAACATTTCATCAGCTTCATCTAAAATGAATAACTTCAACCTATCAACACCCAAGTGCCTCTTGTCAATCATATCGTACACTCTACCTGGGGTACCAACAACCATATGTACACCTTGCTTCAATTTGTCGATATCTTCTCTTACAACGGTTCCTCCTACACATGCATGACACTTAACCTTGAGGTAGTCTCCTAGGGCAAGAACAACCTACGATGGAAAAAATAATGTGATAAGAGAGAGGGAGGAAAAAAAACAGGAAATAAAATTAAGCAGCTTGGTTTTGTTTCATTGTTCGTTCTGACGACGTGTATATATATGTATATATGTATGTACATATTGCAGCTAATCCATATGAAAAGTAAACACGCAGTACACATTGAAATTTATGAGCATGCAAATTTTTTTTTTTTTTTTTTTCTTGACTTCATACCTTTTGAATTTGTTGAGCCAATTCACGCGTGGGAGCTAAAATTAAAGCCTGGCATGCAACATAATCATAATTTATTAACTGCAATGAGGAAATAACAAAAGTTGCAGTTTTTCCAGTTCCAGACTGTGCTTGACCAATCGTGTCGTAACCATTCAATATTGGTTTAATGCCTCTTTGTTGAATAGCTGATGGTTTTTCAAAACCATAAGAATAAATACCTCTTAACAATTTTTCATTCAAACCAAGTGCATCAAAAGTGTCAACAATTTCTTCTGTGTTTCCTTCAATGTCGTTTTCATTGGTAAATTTTTCGTCTTTCGTGCTCATTTTTACTTAATCTGAAACATAAGACATACACATGGGCATGATAATGGCAGGAAAAACAAAAAAAAAAAAAAAAAATATGACTTGATCAAAAAATATATTAACAAATAAATGGAAACAATACAAGTACTTATGTATCGAATATTAACATGTTCGACAATCAGGGGGCATGTGAATAACTCTTGAATGATAAATAAACCATGCTCGCGATTTTAAATGCATGAACGAATGTGTCATCTACTTAATTATGTAATAATTATGTGATCACAATACGTATATGCAAAAAGCGTGTGACACACAGCACGTGGTCACTTATTATTCATAAACATATGTACAAAGAAATGTGAACTCTGCAAAAGGGCAATCTAAGCATTTTACTAAACCATACATATGCTTTAAGAAAAAAAAAAAAAGGAACGTTCACAAAATGAATAGATGTAACAGCATAGATTTGCACACCCCCCGTTGGCATGTGAAATGCAAAAACATATATATGTAGGCATATATGTACATATATGTGTAAACATTCAGCTAAGCATGCATGATATACGGTATAGAAAGCAAATGGAAACGCTCTCATTCCGTGTTATATTTTTCTACATGTATTAACGTACAATGGTGTAAATATGTGTGGGGATTAATAAGCATATGGAACATATATATATATATATATATAACGTGAACAATTGGGATTGCAACATGGAAAAACATATATACATGCATTCATATGTAAGCATTTGTTTTACCTGTATATAAATATGTGTGCTCCTCGAGATTTTGTTAATGTAAAGGATATAACTGCTTGCGTAGAAAACAATAACGTTGTTTTACTTCGTAAGCGTTATTATTTTGTACGTTTTTATAAGGGGAACCACCTCTTTTATATTTAAAAAAGGGAATTTTTTTTCTTTTAAAATATGTATGTGCTCCAAATGTAAAGCTGCTGAACAGTTTTGTGATATATAATATAACAAGTTGCGTACGTAAGGTTTATGTATTATATACATTAAACCACATATATATATTACATGTATATATATATGTAAAATAGATTCAGCTTTTAAGTAGTATATGAAAAAAAAAAAAAAAAAAAAAAAAAAAAAAAAAAAAAATAGAGATAACTGTAAATGGTAGAAAATAAAAGGCAAAATGAATTTAACAATGTAATTCCTTTTATGAAAGTAGTATGCACATAAATCGTATTTTTGTAAAAACACATAAACGTAAGAAAATGTATATGCTTTTTGCATGTATACATTAAAAGGTATAACAATTTATATATATAAAATATACAAAATATGAACGCTAAGGTTATTGTGAAAAAGTATATGTTTTCTTATGTACAACAAAACTTTCTTTTGTTTTTATTTTATTTTTTAACTTTTCATAAAAGAACACATGTAATTAAAAAATGTGGTAAGGGGGGGAGGGTATTGTGGAATGCATATCTATATTGTGCAAGTATTTATATATAATAACGATTTATGAATAACATATATTTTAATTGAAACATGGTGCGGGTTGGGTTAAATATTGAAGGAGGGATTTTTCAACGTTTTGTTTTATTGTATATTTTTTTTTTTTGGTTGAGGGGGGGGGGAAGGAAAAAATATGTTTAAAATTTATTCTTTTTCTGTAAAAAAGGATATTGTAAATAAAAGTAAAGATGGTAGGAGAAGTTGAAAAAAAAAAAATAAAATAAAATTAAAATAAAAAAAGCCAACGACTTTATGCACTTTTGGGGGTTGTTATTTTGCAGCTAAAATTGATGTACTTTTTTAGCAAGTTTACTAAATAAGTGTTTCTGTTTAAGTATATATATGAACCAGTTAATTATATGTCGAGCATACCCCGTTGTGCATGTATGTATATATATTTATATATATATATATATATATATATATATATATATATATAGAATATACTAACTTGTTGATTTATTTTTTCATTTTTACATGTGCATATGACATATGTATATATAAATATATACAAACACTTCTTGTAACCCCGCTATCGCACAATACTCTATACGTTACCTTTTTTTCAAAAAATTGAAGAAAATTTTTAGTTACAAAAGGGTGTTTAAGTGCTTGCTGTATCCATTAAGTAAACTTAAATATATATATTGACGAAAACATACGAGGACCAAAGGTTAATGCACATGAATTTGTGTTCATGTTGTGCCCATTATATACATATATACAACATGTTTGTTTTTTTTTTCCGGATCCATTGTAATGTATACATATATATATGTAGCTATTCCTGGTCAATAATAACTCTTACACCCCACCTCCTCCCCCATGCTTTTCACCCTTCCTACATTTTAATTAAATTTATATGGTGCCTTTCAGCCATTTATATATGCGAGTATATATATTTATGTTCATATTAAAGTGAACCAAATTATTTAATTGGAAACAAAAAAGAAGAATCGGGAAAAAGGAAAAGTTCGGTAGTGAAAAAATAAACCAAGGGAGCACACAAGGGCGAAAAATATAAAAAAAGAGGGTAAGTGTTTTAAATGGTAATAACTGTACCAATCTGTAACAAACAGAACGAAATAGCGGAAAAAGAAAAGAGGGGGGGGGGGGAGATGGAGGAGGACCTACATATATGTATATATATAATATCCCTATGCACCAAACAATACTTATAAGGAATAGCCATTTGGGGAAAAATAGAGCCAAAAAAAAAAAAAAAAAAAATTAAAATAACCTAACCTCTTTTTTTTTTAAGGTACAATTTCTATAAAAAGGTGGCCTTATTATTACATTCCGTTTTTTTTTTTTTAGCCTTTTTTATTACTTTATTCTTTTTTTTTTTTTTTTTTTTTTCACAACACAAACCCGATTATTTTAAATATAAATTCGTTAATTTTATGAAGAATGGTTAATTGTTTTATTTCAGTCAAATTGTCTAAACAACGAATTCTTAAATTCTTTTTTATCTTTACGTATTTGTGTGTTCCATTTCGCGAAAGGCTTCCATTTCAACATGAAGTATTTGCCTATAAAACCACAGGAGGGAAATTCTTGGCGCACATGCACATCAGTATATATATATATGCCTATTTAATATGGTAAGAAATATACAAAAAGGAAACAATTTAAAAACTCTCCTTTCCCTATTCCTTGCCATATGTAAGATTTTCCATAGACTTTTTAAAAATTGTAATTATTTGTTTTTCCCAGTTAAAAGCCAAGATATTTTAAATAAAAAAAAAAAAAAATTGTATAAAAATTACCCAATTACCTAGTACTCATTTTGCACATCATTTTAACACATGACAAAATTTTGTAACGTTCATTTTTTTCTTTTCTTTTACACTATTATTCTAAAGCAATTGGAGTAAAAAGTGGTCTACCCTTTTTTTTTTTTTTTTTTTTTTTTTTAAACCCTAATCTTCTACTTGTTTAAAAAAATTATGAAAATGTTTCTTTTCATTTGAATCCTTATCATTAAAAAGGTGAAGAAAAATATGGATGCACAACATTTAATGAAAACAAAATATAGAAAAAAAAAAAAAAAAAAAAAAAAAAAAAAAATCCTAAATGTTTCATCATATTTGTATAAAATAACAAATGAGAGTAACAAATCATCGTACAAAAAAGGGAAAGAATAAAGAGTTGTTTTATATATACATCAATGAGGCTATTTTATTTTATTTTTTGTCAAAGCTTTTTTTCTTATTCTTAAAAAGTTGATATGAACAAATTTAAAAAATTTAAAAAAAAAAAAAGGTATAATTTAATAATTAGGATAAGATTAAAAACACTGACAGGATGGAAAAGCCAACTGATTGTATATATACATATGTGAACCATGCATATGCAAGGATGTAGAAATAATATATGCATACACACACAATTATGTATCCGACAATACATTTTATTATATAAATAAACATGGACACATGTACACATATTTTTCACTTATAAGAGGTATTATCCAACTTCATCCTTTTCTTAATTCCTCTTACTCGTAGAAGAATTTGTTGTCACACCAAATGGGGGGAATATATATATATATATATATATATATATATATATATCCATTGGGTACGCAAAAATTCTTCCCTCTTCTTTTTGACTAATTTTGCTTTTGGACTCTTTTTTTTTTTTCTTTTTTTTCGTATTTATGAAAAGAAGAAACACCGCCAAGTGAAGAATTCAAACTCCCAATATAAAGAATTTGATGACTATTTGAATACAAACTTTGAAGAGAATTCTTCATATGCTTAAATGTTGAAATCTTCGACCCCTTTATGAAATTTTTCCATGCATAATATACAACAAGTGGTACATTAACAACACTAAGAGTGATTGTAATGTATATACAAATCGTAAAAATGAATTTAAACAAATATACAAAATGGAAACGATGTAATATGTGTAACATTACAACATAGGAAAGAAATGTGAAAATGAATAATAATGCATATTGGTTGAAATAGCAATTTCTTCTTGGTGTGGGCAAAAAAAACAGTGTTTGCAACATGTGAGTAATAAATAAAGGGGTTAACATGTACGCTTTGTTTTGGATGTCTAAAACACAAAGACAATCCAATTGCCTGGCGTAGTACTCGTAATTGTAGTTATAATTGGAGTAATAGATTCTGATGAATAAGATAAAGGATTGATATAACGACAGCCATAAGACTACAAATATCCATTTTAAAGAAAACAATTTTTTTTGTAAACTTTTCATACGCATTGCATTATTCTGTAAAAAATTGTAGTTAGTCCTACCTGTATGATCCATACAAGTTTCATCATTGTGTGATATGGTAATTGTCACAATTGAAATGATGAAAAAAAGAGAAAAAAAAATGAGGAGACAAATGTTAGATAACATGGATAACCAACTATTAAAAAAATAAGAAAAAAAAAATTGTAAAAATAGGAATGCAAACCCTCTGTAATAGCTAATCATAATGAAGGAATTAATATTTTCATAAATTCTATATCCATATAAAAAAAATACATTTCCTATATCTTCAAATGATTCTATATGTATATCTGCATATAAATTACTTATATTCTTCTTACTATTGTTATTTACGCTTATGGCTATATCAGACTCGATCAACATGTTTAAATCTTTTGCATGATTACCAACTGAACATATAAAACGATCCTCCACCCCTGTATTTTTTCTTAAACATTTTGTTATTTCCCCCTTTTGAATAGAATTGCAGTCGTAGAATAATGTACATCGAGATTCTGCAAGAGCACATATAAATTCTCTTTTAGCGTATTTAATGAAATAGTCGATTATGTCACCCCTGACGATGTACACACAATTTTCCTTTTTCTGGTAGTTCAAAGAGTTCTTTTGCATATCAACAGTTCCTTTATTATAGCATTGTGAAGTGTTGTTCCTCTTTTGGCATTGAATTTCTAGTCTCTTTTTCTTTTCCACACTTTTAAATGCACTACTGAACTGATGTAACATTGTCTTCAATGCACTTTCAATGCTCTCATTTCTGTGTAATGAAATTTTATTTCCTACATTTTCTTTCATTTTGCCCTTCACACTTTTCTGCACATTTTCGGGAACTTTTGTTCCACCATGATATTTGGCTAACCCGATTCTGGAGGTACAATACGCATCAAAGGTATTTCCCAATTCTCCTCTCACAGAATTCACACATGTATTGTTATATGCCTCTCTATGGATGATAGATGTGTTCATGTTCCTTGAATTCTGTATGGATATCTTTGGGGAATTCCCCCAGTTTGCATTTCCCCTTTTGTCAAGTATATTAGGTTGATCCAAGAAGAATTTCTCGCTATATTTATTCTTCTTGATCATATGTGTACACTCCTCACAAGTGTATTTTTCATCACAACTGTGCTTGGTATCACATTTATAAGGTACCCCCAACTGGACCCCGCTGCCACACCTCACTAATGATTTCTTCCTTATTGCTAAACCACTTGAGGTATAGGGTTGATCTAAGTGAAAATCGCAAAAAGAGATCCTATCGGACACAAAAATTTTCGAAAAGCCATTAGGTGGCGTCGGTTTGCCATGAACCATCTGCGCTAGCTTTTTCCTACTTAAATGACAAAGGTGGCTCTTTTGATTAAGGAGATGCAAAGATTTGGAAGCAGATATAACATTTTCCTTGTTGTCACCAGAAAGAATCCACGTTTTGATTTTCGCCTTTTTAAACAAATCTAAACATTTTTTTGCATTTTTTTGAATATTTTCCTTGAGTGTCACAATGGCTAGCACATTTAATTTATTTCTAAAAGAATTTTTTAAAAATTGTTTCTTGTAAAATTTATCACTAACCTTTTTGTATGCTTCTAATTCGCTTTGAGAAACTTCTCTATATGCAAATAAGACTATACGAAATCCTTCAGCATAAAAAGGAGTGAAAATTGTTTTAAGTCTTTTTTTACTTTTTTCACAAGATAACATATTAGCTATTTTTTCGCCCGGTCCTTTAATCAGGTTGAATATTTTCTCATTATATGAGACCATTGTGCATATAACTTGATTATTACTATCTAGAGACAATCCATCTAAAATCTCAAAATTGTATGTCTTCACTTTGTTCCTTCGCCCTTTATTCTTTCCAAAGGTTGCGCGACAGCGATCATGTCGGCCATTTATCTTCACTCCCTTAGTTCCACTTCTCCCTCGCCCGCTACTGCATCTTCTGACACCACTGCTTCCTCGTCTGCTACTGCTGCTTCTGATTCCAGCTTTGGGGCTAGCCCCACTTGGTACCCTCGTGTAGGGCACATTGGGCTCCTTGTCACACACCCTGAATTGATTACACTTTAGAATACCCTTGTCCATTTTTTCTGCCACATTAGACAACTTAAAAATGCCATTATTTTGTAGTGAGTTTTTAAAATACCAGCATTTCTGTCCGAACTGATCATAATTGTTTTGTTTTGTTCTATGAGCCCTCCTCCCATCAGAAGTACGTTCATCTGAGCTGTTAACTATATATCTGTCTTTTTTATTTTTCCTTTTAATTCTACACTGTTTATATTGTTTGGTTCTATTATTACTATCCTCATTTTCCATCATGTGTTTCTTTTTTTTGTCGTGTTTAATAGTGAGAGTCAAAATTCCAACGGAAATTCTGGATGAATTTTTTTTTAAAATGTCCATACCGCATGATTTCACAAAGTTTATTAAAACATTTTCTTCCAAACTCGTTGAGTAAATAGAATCCCATTGTATGTGATGAGTTCTGTTCGTTTTTTTTTTTTTTTTCTTATAACTTATTTCCCGAATAACTGCAACATTACAAAATAATATACACAAAAGTGTTAAATATATTTTATTAATTTGATCCGTTGTTTGATTTAAAATATTGCTATATATCTTTTGGCATACTTTTTGTGTCTTGTCAGCTTTGTTTTTACCATCCAAAGCGTGTTTGATCAATTCTATGTTTTCCAAAACATTGTAGTTTTTCATCTTCCCTTCTGTTTGGGGACACGAAAACGGGTTGAAATTGGTTACATTTAAGAAAACTTGGAGGAATAGCTTGCAGTAGGCAAGGTTATCCCTGTGATTGACCTTTGTCCGATTAATGATTTCGTGTCTTATTTGGTTAGAAGAATCACATCTAGAATCATTTCTTAACCCTTGCATGAGATCCACCAAGTAGCTACAGCTGTTTGGCACTTGAAAATCTTCAAACAAAAAATACACTCCACAAATCTTCAGCCCCTCTTTTATTATCATTTCGTTTTTGTCACACAAAAGGAAAGACGTATTACAAATCTTATCTATGATATTACTATTGAGGAGAGAAATAGTGTTCCCCATCTTTTTTTTTCTTTCTATATGAAAAGAAATTTTACTGAATAAATAAATGTGCAATATATTGGCATAAGGCATATAAGGGAGTAGTAAGAGGACGTATCTTATAAAAGATATGAAGATGTTTACTCCAAGTGTGGTTTTATGTTGTAACGATAGATAGAAGCATATGATTAATAGGAAAACCAACCATATATTCATTATTGTTCCCCACTTTTTGTTACAATCCCCATCATATATGTATTTTCTTTTACTCATTGTAACTTTTGTTTTTTTGTCTGACCCTGCATAAGCAACCAGTCCATACACTCTCCCCTTTACTATTTTGTTACTGCACCATATGATATTTTCTATCCCAATTTTTTCTTTATATTTTACCACATTGCTTTCAATTACACTTTCCTGTGAATTTTGCGAGAAAAACTTGTTCATACCATTTTCGTAATGTTTCTCCTGCTTTTCTCTACATAAGTTTGTAGCAAGGACGAGATTGGCAAGATCCACATTGGTAGAATTTACGCTACGATGTGCCTTCTCAGTTGGGGGTGCATTTCCATTGTGCAGAAGGGAAGAAGCATGATGTGGATTTCTGATCATGGTTGAATCAATTGGCTGATTCTCGAACGGAGTAAAAGAAAATTTTATCAAAAAATCGACACACTGGTAAGCCTTCTCAATATAAGTGTCTTCAATTAGATAGTTAAAAATATCGTTATAATGCACAGATTGTAGAGGCCCATTTTTGTAAAAAACATTTTGCAAAGATGCCAAGTCGTTATACATACTTTTAATAAACTCACAATAGTTCATATGAATAAACAACCCGTTCATCTTGTCAAAACTTTTATGTGGTTTTTCAATCATTATCTTTATTTTTAACCTAAAGAGGTCATAAATGTTTGCCAAATGGGATGTAAACACAAGGCTTTTTTTTATTTTCATATCTGTCTTTCCTTCCAAATCTTTTGAACAGATATATACATCATCATCTCCCTTATTCGTTCCACATTTTAGAAGAATCAGATCAGCGGGACTTTCTTCGTTTTCTTCTAGGTATACTACATCTCCTACCTTAAATGAGGGAATGCGACAAGGAGCAATGGAGAAGCTGTGTCATGTAGACTAAACATGTCCATTTGAGTTATTGAAAAAATTAATGTGAAGAAAAAGAGGGCATGCAGAAAAAGAGGAGATGCAGCTTTTCTAAATGTATAGCTCTCAAAAGAAAAGAAACCTACCTTAACCTCATCGAACGGGACATCCACCAAACCAAGCGGTGTTACCCTCTTGCAAGTTTTCTCATTAACTGCACGTTCAAGCTGAATCCTCTTAGCTATTGTGTGTATATCTTTAAAGACAGAAAAGACAAAGAGGAAGCAAAAACTAAGTGCAAAATATGTATAATTACTTGCCCGGAAAATAGGTATTTGTTGCAAGAGAAACGATGTAAAAAAAGCAAAAAAATAAAAATTTGTAAGTCGATTACTTATAACATGAAATATCAAATGATGTCTATTCTTATAATGCACGGAACTATTTTCTCTATTATTAGTACTTTTTAGAGGGGTACAATTTTCTACATAATATGTTTTAACACATTGTTTTTCATAATCCCTTATTTTAGATAAATTCGTTGTTTCTTTCATTTCTCTTTTGTCATAATGATAATTTGGATATGAATTATCTCTAATCATAATTTTCTTTATTAAAGATTCATCACTTATGTATAGATTATTTTCAGAATTAAATGCTTTCAAATTGTTAACTTTATGAATATACATTTTCTTCATTTTTGTAATTTCTTTGCATTCTTTATAATTTCTCTCCCCATTGTTATTTCCAAAATTATGTATGTAAAACAATACATTTGATAGATAATTCTTGCATATTTGTATGATGTGTCGATTTGATATATTATCTGTTGTTCCATCAAGCAGTATACATCGATCTAGTTTATTTTGAATAGCTTCATTTTCTTCTTCTATTCTTTCTTGACCTTTCCCTTTTGTGATATTTTTCTCATTTTGAAATCGTACTACACTAGTTATATTTGTCCATATATAAGAAAAAATATCAATCCATTTTAACAATCTCCCTATGGTTTTCCTTATCTTGTTATTTACAAATGTACACACAGGGTAGAAAAATATTGTCACAATAATATTTTTTCTATTTGCACTTGCACTTTCATCATCATTGTAGTATAGTGTACACGACTTTTTGGATTTCTTATATTTCCCTATATTCCAAAATTTTGTCTTTATGGCATACAGGAAACATTGCACTTTATTTAAGATTTTTTTTTTTTCTTCTCTCTCTCTTTGTATGTTCAAAGCTATGTCTTTTATGTACGCATGCATTTTTTCATATGTATGACGTGATGAAATATGGATATATTCCCTTAATTAGGTTTGGGCTTACGCACAATTAATCCGTAAAAATGGACACTCAAAGCAGGCATACAGAAAATGTTCCCGTGCCGATAGAGGAGGAAAAAAAAAAAAAAAAAAAAAAAAGAAAAAACATGTTCACCAAATGAGTGCCTAGACAAGTGATTCGTTTAGGAGAATCGAAAATTGATTATCAATGTCACACCTGGAAGAAGAAGAAGAAGAAGAAGAAGAAGAACATAGGAAAATTAAAGAAAATTTTAGGAATAATTAGACAACACTAAGGAGAAAATAGGGGAAAAAAAGAAGAGGTATACCTACTTTTTCTACAAAACATGGAGAATTAATAACAAGACGCTATTATTGTGAGCAAAAGAAGAAAAAAAAAAAAAAAAAAAGACGAAAAAAAAAAAAAAAAAAAAGACAAAAAAAAGGTAATATTTGCAATAGAAATGTATATGAACCTTTTCTTGCCTCAAAACTTAGTAATCACACACATGTGCATATATTTTCCCCCTTTTTTAAAAAAATTAAAACAGATATTTCCTATCGTAGAATAAATGCTAAATGTAGAATAATCGTCTGACAATTACTCGGTTCGCCGCCTTCGCCACATTATATGCTGTCACCTCAATTTCGACGTAGGACAATTCATCCCTTTTTATTCCTACCTATTCGATTCTATTCCCACCTATTCGATTCTATTCCCACCTATTCGTTTCTATTTTTACTTCACATTTTTACCTGAATAAGTCATGTTTTTTAAGCGTCATGCGACCCGTTAAAAAGGGGAGATTAAACGAAAACAGAGCCAACATCCCTATGGGAGAGATTCGCATCTTTTTCTCTTCCTATCCATTTTCGGTTTTCTTTTCCCCTTCAGTCTATGCATACACACAAATGAGTAAGTAATGCACATTGCATAATAGTAAACATGAGAGACGTATAAACGGAGACTCCTTCAGGTTAACCTGAACAAAATTTTGTTATACTTTTCTTACGTATGAATAAAAAAAAAAAAAAAAAAAATCATTTTGAGCCAATTAAATTAACTAAAATGAGAAGCTATAATGTGAATACGAATTTATCCACGGGGCAAAGGGATATCAAATTTTTTCATTTCATTACATATGCGGGGAAATTGGTCTAAATGTATTTTCACACCAGGAGACGTCTCCATCTTTTTTCCTCCCATCTAACGTGTTTAGTCTGCCTTGTTAAGTTAACATTTTTCTTTTTTTTTCATTTTTTCCTCATCGAATATATGTATTTACACCGTTTGGGCTGTCCCAAATGTTCTTATGAGAGACATACTTGAAAAGGAAACACAGTGAGCAGTGCCCCTCGGGCAAATTCATTCGTGTAAGCACATGAAACCCCATTTATGCATCGCCACTTGTATTGATGGGATTTGTTGAACATTCATTCTTGTGTGGAATGGAAGATGGTGGTGGTGGATAGGACCTTTTCATATACCTCTTTGATTTGTAAAATGTACATATAATATATAATTAAGATGGCAGAGTGGAATTTTTTTCCTTCAATCGTTTCATCGGCAAATGAAAAAAAAAAAAAAAAAAAGGAATAAACAACATAAACAGGAATATAAAAAGATGCTTAGTAGTAGCGAGTGGCATACGCATATAACAGATATGTATTTATAAAAAGGTTTATTTTAATCATTTCAAATCTGCAAGGAAGTATACACATGCGTTTAGATATATATGTGTGCATCAACTGAGTTTAATTATTATTTCCTTTTAAACTTGTGCTTTGCTTAACCCGTCTGAAATAATTCACCATTTTTCCTGTATTGTAAAGGTACAAAAAAAAAAAAAAAAAAAAAAAAAAAAAAAAAAAAAAATTTAATTCGCATTCAATGATTACAGTAAAAGTGGAAATTAAATTGATTAAAAAAATTATAAGGTAAATGTTTTCCATCCCATTTTTTGGGGGCATAATTAAGAGCCAAAAAATAAGAAAGGAACAAATTTAACGCAAAAGTTGAGGAAAAATTTAAAAAAAAAAAAAGAGTTTTTTTGCTCAAAATGTACCATGTGAATGAAAAAATTTGACACCATCATGTGATAAAAAAATATAAATGATTATTATCCACGTTATCCATTTTTTTTTTTTTTCCTCTTTCGAAAGAGCTTTCTATTTTTTTTTTTTTTTTTTTTTTCGTAAACACATAAATAATTCAAGAGGAGGAGGGCTAAGAGCCTATTTTGTTGTAACTGTATATGTATATATATATATATATGCATGAAATGGAAATGCAATTTTTTAAATGAATATTTCAAAAAAAGGGATCACTCAAGCATTTTGAAAATTTCAGCATTCTTTATAAAAAGGCGCAGAAAAAGGAGTAACGACAAATTTGGAAAAACGATTCACACACAAGATTGAATAACAAAAGTTTAACAAAATTTAGAGGTTGCTACGGGTAGGTTTGGATATTTAGAAGCCCAGGAAGAGAACTAAGATCTATTGTCAATTTTTTACAAATTAAGCGCCTGGTATATTTGGCCTAAATTTTTATTTTTTTTAAGATATCAATCAGCAACAGAAAAAAAAAAAAAAAAAAAAAAAAAAAGGAGAAAATGGTTCAGCTGGGAGATCTCTTAAGTACCATTCCGGTAATAACTCGTCTATACCTTATTCTATCTTCTATTTTGATGGTACTATGTTCCCTTGATGTTATATCACCATTGAGTTTATACTTGAACTGGAACTTGGTCTTGACAGAACATCAGGTAAATGTGGAAAAATAGAGACCACTACATATTATGATACACCTAAATTTCTGTAGGAACGCGATTCTGTATTTTCCTCCATTTGGATATATCATTTATTTTTTTTTTCACTTATATTATTATATATCCCAAAGGGGTGTTATGCAATTTTCGTATTTGTCTTTTTTTCACAACTGTGCATAAGCCTATTGATATATGTATATCTACATGATCATATTAATCACATGTGTGCACTATCACGCCTTTTACATATGCTATGTCCTATACATGTCGTGCATACCAAATTTCTTTACATCTTAACCCACATCTCATCCCCTTGTTTCAGTACTGGAGACTCATCACCTGCTTCTTGTATTTCGGGTCCTTCGGACTTCATTTTTTTTGGGATGCCTACGTTTTGTAATTATAGCAACATGATAAATAGAATTCGAATGAGAGAGGGGGTTAAACAAACTAAGTTCTCCTCTCCCAGTGCTCAAAGAAAAAAAAAAAAAAAAAAAAAACTACACACACATATTCGCATACACATATGCATAAACACATGTTTGCATACTCATGTGACACTATGTCTACTATGACATATCCGCACTTCTGCACCAAATTCATCATATGATGAGAGTATATTACTACCAATTTTAAATTTCCCTGCATATATTACATCACCCCTTACTGAAAAAAAAAATGTTATGTACTTTTTATTTACAGAATATACTACTGCAGCTCATTAGAAGATGTTACCTTCAGAAATAACTCAGCTGATTTTCTCTGGATGATTATTGTGTCTTGTATGATGCTATTGGTACTGCCATTGCATGCAAATATTTACAGCAAAACTTTTATAGTTCAACAAAGAATATTTTTTAAAAAAGGAAAACGAAAACGTAAAATCATGGCGCAAAGAAATAAGGCCATTTTTTCAAAAATATAGGAAACAAAAAAAAAAAAAAAATTTTTTTTTTCATATTACTGTTCATATTATTTTCCGATTTTTCCCCCACGTACAGGGCGTTTCATACATATTTGGAGGGGTCTACTTTTATAGCAGCTGCATAATAAATGTCATCACATATGTATGGAGCAAGAACAATTCTTCAACGAGGCTAACCATTTTTTTTTTTACAATAAAAGCATCCTATCTTCCATGGTATTCCATCCGCGCACGAGGGCAATGTGTTCTTGTCTATCTGTCTACACATTTGTTTCTGCACCGATACAGACATACAGATGTATAGACACTTAAAACTATGCTGTTTCCATGTCATATCTGTTCGTTCATTATATGTTCAGCTGTTTCCATGTCATATCTGTTCGTTCATTATATGTTCAGCTGTTTCCATGTCATATCTGTTCGTTCATTATATGTTCAGCTGTTTCCATGTCATATCTGTTCGTTCATTATATGTTCAGCTGTTTCCATGTCATATCTGTTCGTTCATTATAAGTTCAGCTGTTTCCATGTCATATCTGTTTGTTCATTATACGTTCAACTTTTTCTATGTCATATACGTTCGTTCATTTTGCGTTCTGCTTTTTCCACATCTCATCATCTCTTTTTCTCTTCCTTTACCCCATTACAGGGTCCTAACGGTGCTGTCCTTAATTGTCGACTACAACTCAAATGACAATTTTTTTGGTATTTTAGTAGGACACATATACTTTTTTTTCACCAGCATATTTCCCCTTATGCCTGTCTCAAAGAACACACAAATTTTTAAGACCCCCCAAATTTTGTTAGTAAAAAAAAATAAAAAATATTAATGGAAATAATCGAAATTTTCACACTTTTATCATTATATAATTTTTCGAATATTTTACATGACTAATTTCTTTTTTTCTTTTTTTCTTGTTTAGGAAATGGCTGCTTAAGCAGGAGCAATGAGTATATCTCTTGTTTTTTCCTCATTACGAAAATTAGTGCATTTTTGTGTTTGTTTTTAAAAATAAAAATATGGAGGATTTTTTTTTTTTTTTTTTTTTTTTTTTTTTGTGATATATACACATACGTCACTATGTTCCTCCATTTAATTATACTCTATGCCCATATAATTAAAATTTTTGTTTGTTTTTACATTAAATTTTTAAGTACCATTTTTGTTGCATGCCTGTATATCTTTCCTCGCGCATGCACATGAAGATGGACGTCTGTGAATACACACAACCTTTTATGTGCCCTTCTTCCCAATGTGCGAAAAATCATCCATGCATTCATTCAGGAGTTAATATAAAAGTAAATAAAACAACTGCATAAATTTATTAGTTTCATTTCAATTTTTGCCTACTTTTTGTAACGGTACATCATACTTGTAACGCTGAAGGGGTACTATACTTGTCTGATCCTTCATTTTTTCATTTATCCATCCTGTTTTTTTTTTTTTTTCTTTTTTTTGTTAACTCTTTTACTTTTTTGTTAACTCTTTTACTTTTTTGTTAACTTTTTTACTTTTTTGATAACTCTTTTACTTTTTTGATAACTCTTTTACTTTTTTGATAACTCATTTACTTTTTTGTTAACTCATTTACTTTTTTGTTAACTTTTTTACGTTTTTGTTAACTTTTTTACTTTTTTTTAAACCTCTTTTTCTTTTTTTTTACAAAATTCAATTAAAAACTTGAGTTAATTGATAAGTTTATAAATACAAAATTTATACAACGGATTAATAATAATTATTTTTTTTAAAAAATGATGAACTTTTTTTTAATTTTTTTTTAAGTATGAAATGTAAAAAAGTTACACATAAAAAAAAAGAAGACAATTAGATAAAATCTAAGTAAATAAGGGTTCTTAAATAATGACATAAAAACGAATAAAAAAAGGACAAATATGCAGATTTGCACATCCTTGGGTTTGTCATCCTTATTATTTTAATTTCTCTATTTTTGTGATGTGGGCTGTGTGGACTATATGCATGTGTGTATGTATGTATAGGCACACATGCATCCACCATTTTTTTTTTTTTTTTTCTTTTTTTTAAATGACAAAATTGTATGCATATTTTTTATACAGCACGGGAGTGCATCTATTTGTGCTCTTCAGTTTGTGTAGGCTTTTCAGTGGGAGTTTCGTGAAAGGAGGCTTAACTAATCGCTGACTTCGGTGTTTTTACATCATTACTGAGAACACACATGGAACAAATTGATCCTCGCACAGGATGGTGTGAGGAGTTATATACACAGAAAAAAAAAGAAAACAAAAGAAAAAAAAAGCTTTCTGCTTGGAAAAAACGATAGATTATTTATTTTATTTTAATTTCTTTTATTTTTATTTTAATTTTTTTTTTTTTTTTTTCTTTCAGCTTATATATCTCTTCTCCCCTCTGCAACTCATTTGGTATATGTTTGCAGGTTTACACATTTCGATGTTTCATATTTTTTTGTTAAGTCTTGTCCTGCTACTACACCAGAAAAAATTTTTTAACATGCTCACACCTACAACATTCTTTCCTCTAGACATTCCCAAAAATAAAGAATCAGGTGTACTATTATATTATCATTCCGAAAGAAAAGAAAAGAAGGATACGAACGGCTGTTGTGTCAGAATTTTATCTGTATTATCTTTTGTTTCTGTAAAATTCAGGTTGTCATTGTTTAAGTTATAATAATCCAGAAAATGTAAATCTTTGGAATTTTCCTCATCCCCATTCATGTTGTTCCCTTCCTCTTGCGCATTCATGTTGGTCTTTTCCTCTTCCACATTCATGTTGGTCTTTTCCTCTTCCACATTCATGTTGGTCTTTTCCTCTTCCACATTCATATTGGTCTCTTCTTCCTCTTCTCTATTCGAGATAACCATTTCACTAATCGTACTTAATGGAGGGGAAAATGTTTTCGTCTTCAGATTAAACAAATCGAAATTGCTTTTGCCACTTAAATAACTTTCCTTCCTGGTCTCATTATACAGATTCAGTATATGACTCTCCTCATTGATATCCATCACCATACTGTTTATATCCAATATGTCTTTTTTTTTATTTTCTAAGTAAATCTTCATTCTGTTCAACCCTAAATTTTCCAACTCGTTGATGTCACAGAGATCTACGATTTCTTCCTTCTTCATTTTTGTACTATTTTCTACATTTAACTCTCCTCGTTGACTTTTATCATTTTGATCCTTCACATGAACATCACCTAAAGTATTGATATGCCTCATCATCATTAGATTTTTATCGAACATATCTGAGGATTTATTTCTATCCGAATTTATCTCTTCTTCCCTCTTGGGAACATCGAAAGAATATTGTTTTCTGTTCGCATTGGTAACATCATATTTTAGCTTGTCAGTGTTCCTTTTTAATTTTAGAACTCGATTAAATTCCACAACACCAACAATTTCGTATGTAATCTGAGCAATATTGTCCCACTGTTCCGGGGAAAAAACTAAATTTCCTTTCATAATACGTTCATATAAATTTTTCAAACATTTTATAATTTCCAACAAATTAATTTCGCTGTTATTTCTTTCCTCATCTGTATCCTTCACACTGCAGCAGGGTTTGTATTGGGCACTTCCTCTCTTGCAGCTTTGTTCGTTTTGTTCTTTCTGTCCATAATTTGTGTTTCCACCCATGCAGTGAAAATTGAAATTGGTATTCCCATCTTCATTTTGGTGCACATATTGGCATTCACTTCCACTTCCATTTTGCACCCTTCCAGGGTTATCATTTGTATTATGCAGTAGTGTGTTCATAGGATAGTTATCCAATTCCTCCTCTTCATCGTCTATTAAGTCATCACTTGTAACATCATGTTCAGTAAAATTTAGTTCATGTGCAGCAGTACTACAACTTGAGTAGTTTTGCTTCAGTTTTAACATATTATAATAACTGTTCCAGTTTTTATTTGTGTTCATATTTTCCGTAGGTTCCGTGGACACCTTCGAATTAATACATAAGTGATTATGGCCCTTTTGCATTTTCACTCCATTTATGTTATCTGTAAATAATTCATTATAATGGGTACATGGTACCATATTATGTGATGATCTTGTTATTTCTGTTTTGGTTCCATGAGTATACGTAGGCAATAATGTCTGATGATCAAAATTAGTAAAGGAATTAATAGAATTTCTCATTCCGTCTTTGGCATAAGTTTCAAAATTGTCAAAAGAATTTTCATGATTGAACATGTTCATACTTTTTTTTAAATCTTCTTCTGAATAATGCATTAAATTGTCATTAAAGGGTAGAGAACCCTTTCCAGTATTCATTTTACATGCATTTGTGGTACTGTTCCTTATTGAATCTATGGATGAGTAAGCAGTAGATGCCATATAATTACTGAACTTTTCATATTTCATATCATTATCTGTTACACTGTCAGCTGGCTTTAGTTCATTTCTTCTCTTAACCGATATCATGTTCTTTACATATTTATCATTACAACTTATGTTACTATTCCCTTTACTTGTTATGTCAATTTTGTCCACAATAATTACATTTGGAATATTGGGTATGTTTATTCCATTCGTGAATGGTAATTTATAAGTTCCAGGATTTCTAGTTTCAGCTAACCCGTGAATAAAAGGACAATAGTATGTATTACACGATCCCTTTTTATAGTCTTCACACCTCTTTGTCTTATAGTACAATGGATGATATAAAATTTCTTCAGATGAATGTGCAAAAGGGCATTCTCCACCTCTCTGACAGAGACTATTAATCGATCCATCACTTTTCGTTTCTACATCTGGACACATAACTGTTATATAACGAATAAATGAAGAATCACTTAAATAAAATGGACATCGTCGATTCCAAAATTCATTATGACTATACTGACATCTATCGATTCCAAAATTACATCCTCCGTTCAGCAGTCTCTTGCACTGCTTAGTCCTGAAGCGGCTTAAGTCTTCTTCGCTCAATAGTGTAGCGTATACCATGATTTTAAAATATATGGATATATTAAATCTATTAATATGTGTTTGCTTCTTCAGATGATGCACAGTGGATTCTGCAATGCCTAGCGATTGCTCCTCTTAAGGATTCTTGGTTTGGAGATGCGTTCAGGCTTCACTTGGAAGGTATTTTGTACAAGAGGAAAAGATGGACAAAAATGAGGCCAAAAATAAGGTCAAAAATGGAAGGAAAAGAAGAGAGACACATAAAACCCTTTCTATGCTTACTAAACAGGTTCTACAACCTAAAATATGTAGAAAGTGGTATTCAAAAAAAAAAAAAAAAAAAAAAAAAAAAAATGGAAAGTTAAAACAAAAATTATATTATTTAAAAAATAAATATTATAATAAACTAAGATGAAAGGACACACAAGTATATCAAAATAAAAAAGAAATTTATATATATGCATATATACATAATTTCCCTTCTGAAACGTTCAATTAAAAATAAATCTTAAAGTAAATGCAAATAGTTAAAATTGTGAAGCTGCACAGTTGTAATGTTGTAAAAGCGTGTGTAGGGGGAGTACATCACATGAAAAAAAAACAAAACGATATGGAGAGGGTGGAAAAGTGGACTTTGTGTAAAATGAAGAGTTATTCAAACTGTAGATTTTTTTTTCTTTTTTCTTTCGCTACTGCGCAACTTGACACACAACCACGTGATATGCATACGTAAGGTGTAGATGCACTCAAGAACGTTGTTTACAATATGCAGAAAATATATAATACACATGTGTATTTGATTATGCAATAATTTAATCCAAAATAAAAAAAAAAACAGAAGCATAGACCAAGTGCAAATGTTATATACATACACACACAGGAATGTGTATTTGCAAGCACGTATATGTGGAATACATTTAAAAAAAAAAAAAAAAAACAAAAAAAAAAAAAATTCAAAGGGAAAAAACAAAAAAGTTTACTTGTTATATTTTTTTTTCTCTTTTTTCTTTTCCTTTGGTGTAAACAAATATCATAATAAGTATATTAAAGATAAAATTTGAAATAAGTGGCGAGGCTTAGAAAGGGAAATGAAATATACCAACACAAACTAGTATGATACAGTACAGTCGTCGTGTGTAAAAAAAAAAAAAAAAAAAAAAGGTTAACAAAAAGGGCTAGCAAAAGGAGCTATTTTAAAAGGATAACATAAGGGGTTAAGAAAAAAAAAAATTCAAAATTTAAATGGCGAAATTGTAAATTTTAATTTGTATGTTGTAGATCGTGCATGAAGACTGAAGAAAAGGCGCGAGTAATAGACAAAGCGCACAAATCTCATAAAATATTAATACGCGTATGTATTTGTCTGTGTATATATATATATATATATATGTGTGTGTGTGTGTTTTTTTTTTTTTTTTTTTTTTTTTTATTTATTAAAAAATGAGTACTGAAACCAAAATGAGTATAAATAGCAAAGCGAAACAAATTGCTGTGTTCGAATATGTTCGCCGCAACACATTCAACCACAGAGGCTACTGATGTTCTATTAAAAAAACAAAATAGATAAAATAGAATAAATAAAATAGAATAAATAAAATCAGATAAAAATAAAAAGACTTAATTTGATTAAGTTTACGCAGTGTTTTTGCTTGCCTCCCTGCATGTATGTGTGGAAAAGGGAAGAGATTCACCACTTAACATGAATACACGGTAATATAACACATACGTATGTTCGTTCATAAATATTTATGTTCGGATATGTACATATAAATATACACCACTTGTAACCATATGGAATTCTTACTCTCTCTTGGGTAGAAGAATTATTTCACATATGTATGTACACATATGTTAGGAGTTCCCATAAATACATAAGCTAAACAAAAAAAAAGAAAAAAAAAAAAAAAGAAAAAAAAAAAAATTAAATTGCAAAATGGAATAAAGATTAAAGTACACGAATGAATATTTTCTGGACGTCAAATTTCATTTTCTCTATTTCTTTTTTTTTCGTAACGCCACTTTGGTAACTCCTTTTTCGTTATCTTGTTCTCTACTTGTATGTAATTCTCTGTCTAACACGATAAGCCACATGTACAATCAATATGACAATTGGAGGTTCATATATTTTGCATCCCATATATTAGTTCATCGCACAAAAGTGGGAAATTATGCATATGATATATAAGCAGAATACCTATATATGAGTATTCAAGCGTTTAAAAAGATAAATTTTGGTTAATCAATTTTGCATAAAGAACATGTATGTGTAAGTTGGTGGGTGTGTTGACAACAATTAAGGATGTAATGAATGTGTGGTCGTACGAATATGTGTGAATATATGCATACATCTTTTGTTACACTGTGAAGTAAAGCTTCTTCCTGTTATATGTATTTTTATTTATTTTAATGTTTTTTTTTACTTTTTTTTTATTTATTAAAAATCATTTAAAATGTATAATTAAATATTAGTGAAGTAATTGAAAAATAAATCTATATGGTCTTAATAATTAAAAAAAAAAAAAAAAAAAAAAATGATATTAAAACTTTTTTTTCGGTCTAGGCAGTTGTTCTGTAGAGAAGGAATAAAATGTGGTTAAACAATGGTTAAGTGAATTTTCACAAAATGTAAAAAATGAAAGAGAAACGAATAAACATAATGTGAGGTTGAGATAAATGTTTAATTATAGGAAGTACATGTATGAAATGTGTAAAAAGAACACGAAAAAAAAAAAAAAAAAAGAATAAAAGAATAAAAAAATGAAAGAATGAAAGAAGAAGAAAAATGAAAAGAAAAGTGTTAAATGTGCACGGAAAAATAAAAATGCGGGGAAGACATGTACTAAGACAGGCTCTACAAAATTCAGTTAATGACATGTAGTTAAAAATTAATATATGAATTCATCAGACTTTTTAAACTTTGCCTTTTGAAACTAAATGGAGAAATTCATGGAGAGGCGCATGTCCAGTTGTAAACATGCATAAACAGATGTTTATATATATACGCATAGAACAATTATAACTGTTATGTTTATATATTTATACGCACACAAATAAAACGATTGTTCCAATTTTTTCTGACATGTAATGAACTAGATGGGAAATTAAAAAAAAAAAAATGCACATAAAAAATAAATAACACAGTAAATGTATTTATATAAACACTTAAGGATGTATTAATGTGTTATGCAACTTAACAGGAAAAATTCAAAAGGGATTATTGTGGAAAGGTGTGGGAGGTGGGGATGTACTAAATCTAAAATTCTGTTAAAAAAAAAAAATCATTACAATTTTTTTAAAATTATTTTTTCTTTTTTTTTTTTTTTTTTTTTTTTTTAACACCATTTTAACGTCGTTTTAACATCGATTTAGCATCTTTTTAGCTTTTTTGAACTTGTTTTTAAATTTGTCTATACAGAAGAAGCAAAAAAAAAAAAAAAAAAAATTATTATCTTCTTAAATGCAAATCATGAATCCATAAAGATTTGCTACATTAGGGGGAGTTGTAGGAAATTAAAAAAAAAGCAAATAAAATACAAAAAACGGATAATAAAGGAAATGAACGAATGAATGAACGAATTATTAAACGGATGCTCACACAGACGGAGTTCAGTTATGTTGCATGACAAAAAAAATTACAGAGATGCTAATTTAAATGGTTCTTCGGTGTTTTCTGAAAATGGAATGAAATGCACGTGCAGTTAAAAAAAAAAAAAAAAAAAAAAAAAAACGCGTAAATGATGTAACAGTAAACGCCAGATTTAAGAGTGCATAAATGTAAAAAACAAAAAAATTAAATCAATTTAATCTAAAGTGAAATTAGGGAAAATTAATTGTGAAGAGAAGTAGGAAAAAAAAAAAAATTATTGAAAACAGATGGCGCAGAAAAATAATTTAAAAAAAAAGATGGTGTAGGAAAATAATTAAAAAAAAAATGATAGCGTAGGAAAATAATTTAAAAAAAAAGATGGTGTAGGAAAATAATTAAAAAAAAAGACGGCGCATAAAAATTGTTAAAAAAAGATAGTATAGAAAAATAATTAAAAAAAAAAGATGTTGTAGAAAAATTCTAATAGGAAAGGGAAATAGGTGAAAGTGCAAATTATTCTGAGGTGAAATTTATGCTTATCCATTTGCTCGTCAAATTCGTTATATTTCAAACCCATGGAATAAAGAAAAATCAAACAAAAACATTAAAATAAAATGGTCTGAAGAGAAATAAAAAAAAAAACAAAAAAAAACAAACGATTGTCCTTAGACAGAACCGCTGTATAATTTATGTTATGTGTGTGATGCGAGTATTTACACACAAATGAATTAGAAGCCATTTTCTTTTGAATTTCCTCTTCATTCAGATTTATGCCACACACACACACCTCCACCAAAAAAAAAAAAAAAAAAAAAAAAAAAAACGCAAGTCAAAAAAATTTACACGAGTTAACGAGTTAAAACGTCCAAATGGATTTTCACTCATATGTTCCGATGGAAACGTAAAATGGTATGCAAAAAATAATATGTGGAAATGCATGTGTATAGCATCCCATTTGAAAAATGACATTACTAGCAAATTCACGACACATTTGTGTTTACATTGGAAACGAAAGTCTTATCAACTTCATCCATGTAGTGACGTACACACACACTTGTGAAGATGTGTATATATATATATATATATACACGTATTTTCGATAGGTATGTAAACATTACTTAATACACTTGTTCAAACTTCCCTAATCTTCGGTCAAGTCAAGTACAGGAATGTAATGTTTTATGTAATCACCTGAGAACTCGGTCATGCGGATGTTAAATGAAACAGTTTACACAACACATTCGCGAATATTTTTCTGTTCTGTAAGTTGTAAGTAGTCAAAAAAAAAAAAAAAAAAAAAAAAATGCATGTAAAATTCTTTGCATATTTAAAGAGCAAACTGTTTGTTCAACCCAATTTTTTGTGATTTTTTTTTTCTTAATTTCTTCTTTGTAAAATGAAAAATGTGAAAAAAAATTATACCAAATTGATAAATCATCAAATTAATCAACCGACCAATAAACGCGTTAATGTGTTGTAGTTTGGGAAAGTCCAAACTGTAAATGTAGTTGTTGCCGATGTTCAAAAAGAGATCAGGTAAGAGGAATAAAAATTGCAAACCAATTCATATAATGAAAACTTTAATTCATTCTACATTTATAAAAATTTGAATTAATCATTATTAAAAAAAAGAAAAAAAAAAAAAAATAATAATAATAAAAAAAATAATAAAATTATAAAAAAATTAAGATTAAACGTATTTTATATTTACTAATCGTAATAAGTTTGCTATTGCGTTTAATTCAGGAAAAAATGTAAGAGAAAGTTCAATATGAGCACATTTTTCTCATATGAAAACAGATGTTGTGAGGGTCATATTTTACTTATGTCTATAAAAAGATGGTTTACATGTATAAGAATATATATACTTATGACATGTGTCTTTATAAACTTATGTTTTTTCCAACTAATATATATATTATGGAAGAATTTCTCAAAATAACACTCGACTGTATGACCTGTGGACTTGGGCATCAAACATGCGTCACGGATGCGTGCATGAATATGTATATGCCTATCCTTTGTGTAAATATATGTATGTGTATATATATGCGACACGTGGTCATATTACTCATTCTACATACATATGCTATCTCTTATACGTTTATACGTGTTTGCAATTGTTCAGTACGGATTGGTAATGGAAAAAAACAATATTTGGATAAAGACAAAATTTGGAGCTCAACATAGTGGTCTTTTTTTTTATTTTATTTTTCTTAATTCACCACATAACATTTTAATGAAATAAATCTTTTATGTGAGGGAATAAAACACATTATTGATGCTTTGTTCTTTCTTAATATGGCTATATATATTTTTAACATTGTCTAATAAGTTATAAATTGTTCTCGTAAAATTGTGATACATTTATTTCAAACGTTGTGCGGAAGAAGAAAAAAAAAAAAATAAAATAAAATAAAAAAGCATAAAAATTTTGAATATGTCAAAACAAAAATGAACAAAATAAGATGTAAAAATTATGAACATGTCAGAAAAAAATGAACAAAATAAAAATGACGAATTAATGAATAAATTTATACATTTTATATATCAAAAATCCATTACCTTTAAACTTTCTTTTTTTTTTTTTTTTTTTTTTTTTTGTGTAAGCGGAAAGCTCCTTGTGTGGTGAAAAGAAAGAAGGGAATACACACTTGCATGTAAATTCATTGTGTATGTACAATGAAAGGGATTTGGTCTTTTTATCCTTTTTTCGTAGATTTGTTAGGAAATAAGAACTATTCTCAGCTTACGCACTCATTTGTTTTAAATTTTTCTGTCCATATAAACATCATTGCTCAATTACTTTTTTTTTTTTTTTTTTTTTACTTTTTGCTTATCTTTTTATTTAAAGAAGTACAAATTTTTACTTCACATGTATTCACAGCATGCACAATTATTAACATAAAAAATAAAAATTTGGTATTTAAATCTGTAGCCTTAAAATGAAAAAAAAAAAAAAAAAAATGTTTTCCTCATTAACTTAAGTCGCATGCAAAATATTGCCACTTCTGTTATTGTTTAAAATGTGCATGTAAGGCTATAACCTACATTTTAGAAAGTGAAAGGAAAAAAAAAAAAAAAAAAATTTGCTTCTTTTTTTTCTAGCCTTGCCTAATTATGTAATCGCAAGGAATAAACATCTGTCTTATATATGCGGACTGGGTACTAATACGCATTTTTATTCATGTTACATTGTTGCCTTGTTCATGCTAAAAAAAATTGAAAAAACAATGGTGTATATGCAATACTTTTTTTTATTAAAAATGTGAACAAAGAAGGTAATTATTCAGGTATACAAAAATATATATGTAACTGTGCAAGTTGTATCTGGGTGCGATTATACATATATATATATATATATACATATATGTATGCTTACACCAATAGAATCTTCTTTAGGGGGAGAAAGTTTTAAAATTCGTAACAGTACGTTCGAGGAAGCAGAAAAGGGCTAAAATTGTTGTAGGCCAAATTTTTCCATAAGAGAGGGAATAAGTAAAATTGAGAAATGGAAAAATGGACAGACAAATGATGTAACAAAATTTACAAAACAAAAATATGTCCCCAATTTGTGTAAATTTCACACCAAGTTAAACTTATACTTGTGCGTGTTAAACGCAATTTCTGATTTGTTCTTTTCAATTTTTGTGATGTCGTGAAAATCTAGGGACTTTATTTGGGGTAGGTAATGAATAACGAATGGCCTGAGAAATTTGACAAAGAGCATATGATTATTGTAATTTGGGAAAAATTAAAAAATAAAAAAAAACGCAGATGATTATAAGAAGAAGAGAAATAAATGATGGGTAAAACAAAGGTAAAGACAAATGTAGGCCAAATTAAACACACAAACATAAATTTAGAAAAAAAAAAAAAATAAAAAATAAATAAATAAAAGCATTTTTTTTATCTGCATATTATAACCGATAAAACTTGCCGTATAGGTTCATAATTGGGTTATTCCCCAAAGTTAGCTTTTTTAATTTAGGCAAAGAAATAAGTTTATGAATTTCGCTAATGTTTTCTATTTTATTTGAATGTAAGTATAAAATTTTGAGCTTATTTAATGTGAGTAAATTATCATGTATTTGGACCAGGTTGTTAAATGATATGTCCAATGAAATAATATTCGAATAATTAATTGGTGTCTGGATTCTTGTTTTCTGGTATATGTAATTTATAAGGTCATTAAGGAAGTCCAGATTTTCTAAATTGTTACCACTTATATTTAAAACTTTCAAATTTGTTGAGAGATTAATATCTTTGTTATTATGTTTATAGATTATTTTGTTCAACTCATGTGCATCTTTTTGCTTGTAATGAATCATTTCATTTGTTCCTGCCCATATTTTGATGGTACTTTCTAGCTTAATATACTTTTCTACTCGATGATTCTCTTCATTGTTAATGTTCTCATCTAAACTTTTTTTTCTCTTTTCAGAGCTGTCGGATTCTTCATTTGATTCTGCGCTCTTGTGGAGATGTATTCGTGGTTCCATGGATCAGTGAATCACGTTTTGGAATTCAATATTTGTGTATGATTTTCTTACTACATTTAGATGTATTAATACAAATCTATGTGCATGCAATGAGCACAAGGGCACTAAGACATAGCACAATATGGATTTATTACAACGAAGAAGTCTTTTTATTTTATTTTTTTTTATTTTTCTTTTGGACTCATTTTCACATTACCAAAGAATCATTAGCTTCATAATATCTAGGTGCACTACCATAATCCCGATATATTGATTCCACCGAATTTAAGCTATCCATTTTCTGACGAAGGGTAAGGTTCTAAGTATCCCCTACTCACTGATACATGTAAGAATACATCTACTTGTGTGCATACGTTACACATGCATCTGAACATATGTCGATATTATGATGGGTCTCCTTTTACACATAGGAATTGCTTAATTTCTTTTTTCTTTTTAACAAAATAAAATGATTCAATTATACGCGAATAAGTCTAGGGGTTATTTTAATCTGCATTGGGGAACGGACCATGGAGAAGAAGTGAAGAGTAGCTGAATGACGTGGCTCAAAATGGGACGTCTCAAATTGGGTTACCCCAAAATTAAGTGCACTAAAAGGTCTATTTTGAAGAGGAAATTCCTAATGAATTGCGTTTCCACAAATAATGAAATAATTTTTGTCGTTTAATGAAAGGAAAAAAAAAAAAAAAAAAAAAAACGCAGACACGCGTTTGGAACTCGTTTGAGAAATAAGTAATGACTCAAAAAAATTTAATTAAAATGTTTTTTTTTTTTTTTTTTTTACAATCTTTATTTCTATACAGAAAAAGAGATAAAGAAAAAAAAAAAATATAAGTGCAAAAAAGGAGGGAACGAAAAAAATAATGCGAGAGGGGGTGAGCATTTCATGTCCCTCATCGCATAAAAATTAATAAACTATCCACAGGATCTCTTTTAATTCGTTTCAAAATGGTGTGAATATATATATATATAAGAAAAAAAAAAAAAAAAAAAACTAAAGCCTAGATTTATTAATGCTGAAATAGAAGAGGTGAAGAAGGGGGAGGAATTATGTAATATGGGACAATGTCAACTAAAGGGCTTTTCCATTTGCATTACATCCAGAAACATGTCGTGAGACATTCCTCTCTCCATGGTTTGTCTTAGACGGGAATCCCTTTAAGTGGTCCAATCGATGAATCTTAAAAAAGACCCCTCCCTAACATGCATATGTCGTTTTTAAATATACGGACTATGAGCACATTTGTCTATGTACGTACGTGTGTATATGTATAAACGAATACATATACACATCTATATATATGTGGATACATATACATACACAGATAATGATAAATGCAGAACTTGGGCTGATGGTGGTGGTAAAAAAAAAAAAAAAAAAAAAAAAAAAACCTTCCAACATTTTAAATGTTGAGAAATTTTGCCCTTTTCAAAAGTTTCCTCTTCAACTTTTCCGTTTCTTCTATATTTTTTAGTTTCACTTGGATGGGAAGAGGTACTTCAGTAATACCAGTAATACAATTCAACTTTTCCGGATTACTATTAACAGAATTTTTTACTTTCAAATGATCCGATATTTTGTACAAATCTTTGGACAAATTATAATCACTATTTCCACCATTATCACTACTATCCTGTTCATTATTTATTTTATAATTTTTCGTGTTTGTGTCTTGATAATACTCTTTCATATTTTTTTTTATAAAATTTTCTATATGTGCTTCTTCAATTTCCTTTTCGGTAATATTTTTTGTAAAATGTTTTTCTAATAACTTCTTTTCATTTTCTTCATCCTGTGTTATTTTTGTGTCGTAATTCAAATTTTCTGCATTTATTCCCTTCTTTTTTAATCTTATATTTTGTAGCAATTTCAAATTTTGGGAAGTTTTTAATTTATATAATTTCTTTTCTTCTTCACTGCTAGTATTTTCCTTTATTCTTTCCTCCATCAGAGGTGCATTAAGTTCTGCATCTTTTTCAAATGGAACTCTCCTCTTTCCCCCCGTTCCATCTATTTTTACTTTCCGTTTTTTAATCATTATTTTGGTTACACTAACGTAGTGCAATGGGTCTAACAAAGTGATCTATGTAGTATGTCTGATGTTTTGTTTTGTCTCGTTCCTTCTTCGCCTTGTAAGTTTTTTTTTAGTAAGACGACTTTAAATCTGTGTTCTTGCATAAATGTCACTTTATAATGTTTTCTATTCGTCAAAGTGAGTTCTTAAAAAGAAAATACATGTTTTTTTTTTTTTTTTTTCCCTCCCCATTTGTATCTATACGTACAGTAAAAACTTCATAAAATCATTTGCATTTTTCAAATAAATCAAAGATCTGCACAATAGAACAATTTTATTGCACTAGCAAAATATTTCCCTTTTTCTCATGATCTCTTCTTCATCATGTTTCAGGTTCCAAAAAAAAAAAATATAGGGGAACTTTTTGTCAATTTTCTATCCACTTCTCTACATGTGATAAATCAGTTCAAAATATATATGTGGGATGAGAAAAAAAATAATTTATATTTTTATCTTTTCTATGTGAGAAGAAGTTTTCTCTTTTGCTTTTCGTTGTGAAGTAAACGTTTCTAAATTTTTTTTTTTTTTTTTTTTTGTCTATGTTAAAAGATTTGCTTGCACATCCGTTCGAACGAAAGTGGTTGAGCGAGAAAAGGAAAACAGTTACATACATGTATTGTAGACGCAAAATAAAAAAAAAAAAAAAAAAAACATTTTCATCAAATATTTTTGGATGATTGAACAACTTAGTGGATTTTCTAATAAATTTCAGGGGCACGAGAAAAAAAAAAAAAAAAAAAAAAAAAAAAACATTCCAGCCTTCAAAAATTCACATAAATGTGAGTAATTTAATTAAGGATGGAATGTGTAAAATTGATCAGCACCCCTGCATTTTATTTTTCTACATCCATCTCTCTGTTCTTATGTTTAATATGTATATGGTGTAAGTATATCTCTACATGTTGCTCAAGCTTTGCACGATGCATTCACCCGCTATGATGAAGTGGCCCAAGAAGTTTCCTCTACTCGTGTTGCAGTGAATGCCATAGGAGGGCGTTAACATTTACGAAGCCCCTTACTTTTTTTGTTTATTTTAAAACTCATGTGAAGTATGACAAAAAGGACACAATATGTTTTTTTTTTTTTTTTTTTTTTTTTTTTTTTTGTTGTTGTTGTAGCTTAAAATTCATCAAATGTAAGGCGCCATTTTTTTTTTTTTTTAATTTTCCTAAACGCGCGAATGTGCTATTTTTTGTATATTATTGCATTGCGATGATCGAAAGGTGCCACAAATTTATCGCAAGTCGGTCAAAAATTACCGTAAAATCGGTCAAAAATTACCGCAAAGTCGGTCAAAAATTACCGTAAAATCGGTCAAAAATTACCGCAAAGTCGGTCAAAAATTACCGCAAAGTCGGTCAAAAATTACCGCAAAGTCGGTCAAAAATTAGCGTAAAATCGGTCAAAAATTAGCGTAAAATCTGTCACAGAATTATTATCAATTCGTTGCGCCATTAGAACTATCGCAAAATTGCATACGCATTAAGCGCACTTGAATATGCTATGGATGGGGGGAGGGGAAAAAAAAAAATTCGGTAACTTCAATTTTTGCAAGTGTCAAGATTTATCCTTTTATGCATTTATTTAACTACAGATTAGTCCCCCTCCTCACTTTCACTAATTTTTTCTTTCCAAGAGCATGAAACGTATTGATCTTTTAACCCTCTGTTTTTTCCGTTTTTTTTTTTTTTTTTTTTTTTATGGTTTCCCGTCAATATATTTCCAAACATTAAAATAAAATTCATTTATACCATATCACCAAAAAAAGTTGATACTTTTATGTCTAATCATATTTATGCATACGGACATTAAGCAGAACATCTTTATGTCATCTTTATATATTCGCTTTTTTTTTTTTTTTTTTTTTTTTTTTTTTCCCCCTCTCTGATGTTCAGTTCAGAAAAATTTTACCCTTTTCGTTGCATAAAGTGTTTTTTCTCAAGTTTGATTTTTCAGGCAATGAATGTGAAAAGTTTATTTATATTCGTACGGATATTACACTCATGTTTGTGTGTGTGCAATATATGTTCAATATGTCTGAATAAATTAGAAGAAATTTTTTAGTAATTTTAAAGCTTTTTTATTATTGCACATTGGGATGAAAAGATTGTGTGAAATAACTAGTACATTTTACGTGTCTATTTCAAGTTTCACAATATTTTATAAGAAAAAAAACTTGTTGCAATGAAAATATGTTAAATTTACACACTAGCATATAATGCCATATATATGTGTAATTGTAATACTCAAGAATGTGTGCATATGAATGCGACCCTAACGGAGCGTAAACAAATGATCACACTTTGCACATGCACCATTGGAAAAATTGGTGCGGTAAAAAAAAAAAAAAAAAAAAAAAAAAGTACCAAATGTTAACACAGCTTTATATTCGAAATAACTGTATACCAAGCAGCAGTAGCAGTAACGCCACACCATTGAACTTACCATAGTCCCATTGATCATAATATGAATGGTCATGTGAATAAGCACAAGAGTGGTGAACTTAAATGAGCACGGAAAAAAAAGGGGGAATAACTAAAAGAGAGGAAGAAATATAATTTAAAAAAAAAAAAAAAAAAAAAAAGGAAAAGGCATAAATAGGAGCTTACCAAAAAAAAGGGAAAAAAAAAATTAATTTGTATTACTTCAAATTTTTTTTATTACCATTTTTGCATCCTCTTGTTTATTTTTTTTTTTCATTATTTCAGTTGATTAAATAAATCACATATATACATAATATCAATTAAATGGTTCCATTTAATAAATCCACTACCACCAATATACCCATGTCACATATGGTTAAACATTTGGCACCATATATATAAAACAATTAATTCTATATAACTGGTATATATATGTAATATTTTTTTCTTAACTCCAAGGAATGGGTTAAGGATAAAAATATTTTTTATTCTTGGATAAAGGAAAACGAATTGTCTTTGAGACAATGAAGAATTCTTACATAAAGTGGGCGAGAAAATTCAAAAAAGAAAAAAAAAAAAAAAAAAAGCATTTATCGTACAGGTATATATACATTATTATATGTAACATAATATACCTGTACAATTTGAATGGTCTGAAGAAGTGGAATTTTTTTTTTTTTTTTTTTTTGGGCTTCTTCTCGTGGTGTCATATCGGATGTATGCATTTGTTTTGCATTGCAACTATTCGTAAGACAAATATCTACGAAAATTATGCAGATTATTCTGCGCTTAAACTTAAAACTGAAAATATGTAACAATACTAAATACACAAATAAGGTTTATTCTGTTCAGCACATGTACGCAAAAAATAGGATTCTTTTATTTCTTTTTTTTTTTTTCTATTTTTTGTTTTTTTCGCATTCCTCGTTTTTTCTTTGTGCTTTTAAAATTACATCCCTTTCGTCGTCTTTGCAAAAAATTTTGAATTGCAAGCCATTCAATGTAAACTTAGACTGTACTATATATAGGAATAGGATGTAAGAACAAATACTCTACAGTATAGGAAACAGAAAAAGATTCCCCACCCCAGTATGTAGATTTATAAGTACATAAGGCTAACACCATATACACATAAAGAAATTGAGGGGGGGAGGACGGTAAGAAAATTCAGCTTTTCCAAAAGGTGGAAAAAACTTTAAGGAGTCCAAAAAAAAAAAAAAAAAAAATGGCATCTCAAAGAAAAATAGGAAAATCTAATTTTCAACAAAAAAATAAGAAAATCCATCCAAAAAAAAAAAAAAAAAAAGAAGCATTTCTTTGGTGCACATTTGGTTTGCATTATCTAATAGGCAGGCATATTATATAAGCTCAACTACAACTTCTAACTTTTTTGTTAATAGAAAAAGGTAAATTTTATATTATCATCTTAGGCGTTACTTCACCCTATTTCGCGTCAAATACGAAATGCTCATCTGTACAATTGGATGTATTTACCTATGGTAAATGCAAATATATGTGCAAATATATACGTAAATATAAATACATATATATAGTATTATATACGTACAAATTATATTATATAATTTGTATACGTATAATATAACTCCCTGGAACCATGAATTTTTGGCATGCGATACGAGATGCAAACCACCCCTCACCTCCAAAAAATACACTACAATATTGTATTCATTAATTTATTCACATTTGATGAATTGTCGAATCGTCGTATACATATATATATATATATATTTAAATTAGGAAAAAAAAAAAAAAAATTAACCCCCCACGATCGTTAACAACTTTTTCTCAAGCGGATTTTTTTTTCTATATTTATTTGTGACATGTGGTAAAAATTCCATATACATAATAAACATATTTAATACTATTTATATATATACATATTTGTAATATTCATTACGCATATTCATTCAAGAGAGTAATTTGTTTGAACATTTACAATTTTGCTGATGCGTGTTGCAATACGAATATATTGCAAGTATACACGAAATTATTTTCTCATGTGCACTTATATAAAATATATAAAAAAGGCAAAAGTATATGGTCTAAAAATATTTAAGGAGCAATATTTGCATTGCATGTGCGCATATATAACTATAGGTGGCATATAATGTTAATCATTCTTATATATATAAAAATATACAATTTTGTATATAAAATTTAAAACGATTTGTATATATATTTAAAGTATATATGCATTATATATATGCATTATGTATGTATTATATATTTGTATCTTTTTTTAAAAAGTTCCCATACGTGTTATTTTACATATACATGTGACAATAAATATACGTATTGTTTTACATATGTATGAAACGTGAGAATAATTTTTTTTTCTTGAAATTTTTTTTTTTTATCATTTTCACATTTTTATTTTTTCCATCTTTTCATCATATTTTTTTTTTTAAATTGGCTAAGAATACATGTAATTTGTATATCCTGGAAAAATAGCATTTTTTAAAAAAGAAATACAATTTTTTTTATATAAAAAGGAAATTAAAAAAAAATAAAAAAGGAAAAATGACAAGTTTATTCAAATGGAACATATATAATTATGGACTAAGGTTTTAAAAAAAAATTATGTTCACATTGCAATACACGTGAGCACTGAATATATGAGCACGACAATTGTTATATGTGAATAAATGCGTATCATTCACAATGTATGTATATATTTTTCATATTAATTGTATATTTTATATTTCATATACGTTTTACCATTTCGTTTGTTTTATGTAATAACATATGCTATCCCATGTTAAATTCACCCAGCTCACGTACAATATATATATATATATATATATATATATATATATATACATATACGTATGTGAGTATTTTATATATATGTACGACAAAAATATTCATATTCCATTTATTGTTATAAAATACGAGTGTTAGATTTTGTAAAAAAACTATATGATAAAAAAATACCTTTTCACTTTACCAATTCTTGAAGTCTTTTCTTCCAACTACTATTATATGAAAACCTTTTTCTTTCTTTCATTCTTTCTTTCTTTTTTTTTCTTTTTTTCCTTTTTACATTTTGTTCTTGCAATGATACGTTAAAAAAGTACATCATTTTAATAAGAATGGTCCTTTTTTAAGTATTATTTGAAAAAAAATCCGTATGTTTTTTTATATGTATATAAATATACAATAAATAGTACACGTGCATAATCTTGCCAAGGTACATAATACACGTATACATTTTTTATAAACTTCATATTATATATATGTACACATATTTTTATGTACGCCTTATACATTTATTGATATATTTTTATATACACCTATTTATTACGATTGCATGACTTCATTAGTCACATGCATATATTTGAGGAATGCACGCATTTCTCATTTGGTATTATTTGTGAATATCTCTATTCTTACCATATTAATTTTACTATTTTTTTTTTTTTTTTTCAATTTCCCTTTATTTTTTTTTTTTTTTTTTTTTTTCTCATTTCCCATCCTTTTTTTTTTTTTTTTTTTTTTTTTTTTTCACCCCTCACCCCGCCAATGATTATGTTGTGCGAATTAATGCTTATTATTACATTACACCGTCAAATATGAAATTGTGACATTTAACAAGAGTACGTGACACAACAGATAAAAGTTGGTACCTAAAAAGAAACATCTCTTTTGTTTCATGTAAATTGGCATATATGTTTATATCCACGCATTGCATGTGCGTGTCGGAATATGCAATAATATACTTATGTATACATATACAAATTTATTCTATATATTGTATATACAAAAAAAAAATACATGTCACCTACGTACGTATGTTTTTATTTTATTTTATTACTTTTTTTTTTTCATTACGCAACATTTTAACAATTTTTATGCATGAACACGGGATGATTACTTACTCCCCTTACACACCCATCCCCCCCCAAAAAAAAAAAAAAGAAAAAGTACCAATATACAAATAATAATACATTAGTAGTAAATATTTTTATGTGCTCATAGATAACTTTACACATGTAACTTCTATGTACAAAATATATGACACCTGTACATGTAAAATATGTGTATGTTGCTATTTGTACATGTAACATATGCCTACGTTACCATTGGTATAAGCTTTTTTATATATAACACAAGTATAATTTGACTAATCCTAGCTATATACACAGTCCCCCCCCCCCCCCCTACACACATCCCTCCATTATGTACTTCAAAACACCGGTGATATTGTGTTAAGAAAATAATTGTATGAATAATCAGTGTAGCTATTTTATTTTTAAATGAACTGTTCAATATCCCAAGTAATTATATTTCTGCATAGGTGTAAGCATTTCTCCCACAAATTTAAAAGCTCTCCTACGCATATGTATACAAATATGTATAAATGTGTACGTGTTTATGTGCAAGTGTATACATATGCGTATATATACATATATATATTCGTTTATATATTTTAATATATTTTGTGCTAACGCAGAACATACATATTTTACCATTTTGATTAACACATATTCATATAAAGTATGCATTTTACGAATTCCATCCATTTTATCTGTTTCTATTTCTTCCACCCCCCTTCACAATTTATTATTTTGATAATTTCAATTTTGTTACGTTATTTTATGTTACTTTTAAACAATATTTTTATATATGTATATTTTTGGAACAAAAATAAAGTTCAGAAAAAAAAAAAAAAAAAAAAAAAAAAAAACAAATCATGAGAAAAATCACGACATGCCTAATATAAACATATTCATGCCCATATACAAACGCTGAAATTTTTGTTAAACATGCAAATGTTGTAATCTTACAAATACCATTTGCCTCACATCCCCGCATGAAGTATGTCTTATTTCAGCATTTTCCTTTTATGCTGCATACATTTAGATACATAAGGAATGAAGCAAAAACATAAAATTGTTTACACACATAACGCGTGAGATCAAAATATGTATATAATTGTATACACATATATATATACATACATATACATATCTATATTTTTTTTTTTTTTTTTCACGGAGTTCGTTCATATGTACATATACATGTACATTTGCATTCATTTATCCCTTGTGTCCATATATGTACATAAAGGTACTTATAAATATACACAATGTAATTTCCCCCCATTTTTACGCAATTTCTTCTTATCATTCCTCCTCCGTGGATATTCAAGCCGCACAAAATTTTCCATACATTTTGAAAAAAGTCTTTATATATCAGTACCTACATACTAAAATTGTTCATTGTGTTACATTAAGCTTGTAAATATTAACATGTCATTTTTATTACACTATAATATAAGTTTTCACAATAATTTTGTTTTTTTAAGCCTTGTAATATATATATATATTTTCCCACACTAGCCCCTTTTTGATATTTTGTTTTTGTTTAAAACAAAATATTATGAACAAATGAATCAACAATAATTAAGAAAAAAATTGAATGTAAGAGTAAATATACGTTGGGCGCTCTAGAGTTGCACAAAATTTTGAATGTTTTTTTTTTTTTTTTTTTACATTTTTTCCCCGCAGACGAGTTTGTAAAATAGGGTGCAGATATTTATACAGAGAGAACCACGTTTAAATTTGTATGTATTTACATATATTTAAATTATTTGCTGATCATTATATGTACAACATAATTATCAATCCTGTTTCTCCTCAATACCAATACGAATATTCGCACTTGCAATCACGCACAAGGCTATCAACGTGTCCCTGCTTCCATTTCGAAAGTGGATTTAGCACACATCGTATGTTAACAATAAGAGATAGAAATAAAGTAGAAACAAATACAAAGAGATAGATAAACAGAGGAAGAGAGGAGGAAAACCAAAAAAATAAAAAGGGACAAAGACAATAAAAATAAAATACATTTATATGAGTCTATTATGATCATATAAATAAATGGATCAAAATTTTATGACATTTTATATAAATTATTATTAAATTTTAATTACGAATTTTTTTTTTTTTTTTTTTTTTTTTTGTGTGTGTGTAAATAATAAGAATAGAAAAGTGAGGAGAAAATTATAAGATGAATAAAAATTTTAACATTTCGAATTATAATTTAGATTTAATCAAATGTTTGCAAAATGATTCAGGAATTTATTTCATATTAGACCCAACGAAAGCAATAAACGATAAAAAAAGTTCCGAAGTATATGATATTTTTATACCTGAAAATAGTGATGGTGTTACCTTGCATGTTCAGAAAATAAATGAGGAGTACAAGTGCATAGGTGTAAGTATAACAAAGAAAGGAATAGACATCAACACTGGTACCCGAATCTTTAACACCAAAATTGCCGATTGGTTGGAACAACTCTTTCATTTTAATAAAACCTTATCAAGCAACAAGGCTCCATCAAACGGCAACATCAGTGTAAAGAGTGATACAAATAAGGACGGAAATTTTGGAACAAACGTCAATATCAGTAGAAACAATAACAATAACAATAACATTAATAGACTTAAACGAATCAACAGCAATAACTCAGGCACACCTGAGAGTAATAGCATATTAAGTGCTTCCACATCAACAATCATAAATAACTTTAATAAAGGATCTAATGCTGCCATCGGTTATCCGAATGATAGCACAAAGGGTACTAACAGCAGTAGTAATAATATTAGTAATAACAATAACAACGGAAGTGGTAACAAATTGAATGTTTATAACAATATAAGACAAGCGTCATTAGTTGATATGCAGCAAGGACAAATTACAAACTTAATCAAAAATCCTCAAAGTAATTTCGACAATTTTGAAAATAACGAGAATTGCAACCCTACAGCTGGTGGTAATAAGAAAAGTAATAATAAGATGGTAAATCAATCAAGTTGCAATTTGAATCAAAGTAACGGTACAAATAATGTCTTAACGCACATTGTACCGTCCACAAATCTGTCAACTTTTACTCAATCGAAGGATAATAATAATAATAATAATAGCACCAATAATAGCGGTAATAGTAATAGTAACAACAATAGTAACAACAATAGTAACAACAATAGTAACAGTAACAGCAACAGTAACAGCAACGCAGCAGCAGTTTCACACATACAACAAGCACAGCACACGAAGCAGATAATATTGAACCAGATGAATGCAAATCATTCTCATAAATCACATTTGATGCCACATCATAATTCAAATTATGATGACAAGAATAGCAAATTGTATAATAGCATGAATGTGAACAACATGAATGGGACAAATGTCAACGTTAGTTCTCTAAGCGTTAGTAATGTGAATAACAAAAATAATGCACACGGCGGAAGTTCAACGAATCTAGGGATTGTAGGATCTCCAGGAAATGTGCAAATGACATCCAATACAAACAATGAAATGGTGAAGAATAATAAGATTGGGTGTACGAATAGACAAAAAAGCGTGAACCACCATATGCATGGCCATCATCATTTGAGTCATTCCCCAAATCAGCCACTTAACCATTTGTCTAACCATCCATCGAATCACCAACACGGGAGTGATTCGTTATACAGCACTCAAAATTCACATCCAAATAACAATCATATATACAATAATCAGAAATCTCAACAACAGTCTTATAACGAAAATTATGGTTATAGACCCACCTTATTTAACTTGTTAGAGGTTTTAGCAAATCATAACATTACCACTCCAGATCAGAGGGTATGCATAAGAGGTATAGTAACTGATTTTTTAAATAATGAATTACCTCATGGGAAAATATATGCATACATAGGTGCAGTGGTAGGACATGATATTTTGCATGACATAATAAGGAAATTAGAAAAAGATCCTAATCGAAACGTAGTACCAGATGCATCCGGATTGGCAAGAATTGAAGCGGCATTTGGTTTAAGTAAATCGTCTTATGATTTTATGAATCATAATTCAAATAATTCAAGTGTAAACAATATTCCAAATGTGCTATTTAACCATAGAAATTTAAATAGCGCCCTTTTGAATAATCATATATATTCCAATATCTTATCCAATGTAAATAATAATAACAGCAATGTCAGTGGAGGAGCAGCAGGAGCAGTTGGCGTGAATAATTGTGGAGACAATAATAACGGAAGCATGGGTGGAAATTTATCTGCAAGAAGCCGCGATCGAATAAGTTTAGAAAATGAAAAAATGTTAAATAATGCAAAAACGCAAGCAGAAATAAACAATTTGTTGAAATATGCCAAGAGTAATGATAAGTATGCATTGTCATGTAACAATTTGCTAAATTTGAATAAGAAAAAAGCATCAAATATAAGTAACCTTTTGAATTTACGACAAGATGGTGTTTTTAATAATAGTATAGGAACCCTAGATAATAACAACATTGGTGCATTAAATCAGAAAAATATCCTGAATTCACATGATTATCTTTGCATGTCTAGAAATCTAAACATGCAATGTAGTAACAATTTGAACAATAGAACTAGTATTTCAGATGATGAAGAAGAATTAATGAAAGTTATTAAAAAAAATATTGAAACGTATAAGATGAATAATATAAAGAATATACTAATATCATCTGTTTTTGGAAGAATAAAGTGGCTAAAAATTATGAACGAATCACCACATGCATATTTATATGGACATAGTATAGTTAAATTTGGAAATAAATTATATATGTTTGGAGGTACAAATAGTAAGCATAAAAAGGTACCATTCAATCATACATTAACCTTTAGTCTTATCTATTACAATTATAAATTATTACCATTAGGAGGAAATTATCCAGAAGAAAGAGATGGACATACCACTCATTTAATTTCATTGAAGAATGGATTATGTGTTTTTTTATTCGGTGGTAGTAATGAAAGTACCTATTTTAATGATATTTATTTACTTGATATGGAAACAAGAAAATGGAGTCAAAGGATTACAAAGGGAAAAATACCTCTTCCAAGAGATCAACATTGTTCACTTGTTTATCCAGCGAAAAGTGAACATGTAAGAGGTGAAAAATCAAATTTAACTGAAGGAGTAATTATATTTGGTGGTAAATGTCTTTACAATAATAATATTGTCAATTTGAATGATATGTGGATCTTTTTATTTCAATTAAATATGTGGATACGTATCAATTATACTAGTCAAGAATCTCCCATTGGAAGATATGGTATGAATTTTGTATGGTCAGACACCAATACCTTATGTTTATTTGGTGGGGAATATTTTGATGCCAATAAAAATTCTAGGGAAAGAAAGTTACTTGATGATATGTGGACATTTCGTATTAATACACCATCAGTTCCAAATCCGTTATCTGTTAATGGAAATGTAGGAACTGCTTCTGCATCAAGCAATAGTGGAAATGCATTTAAAAATTTCATTTATAGCCCACAATCTAGTGCAACAGATGCAGCATTGTTTAATAATTCCATGGATATAATGGCAGGAGAATTGTCTAATAATCCAATTGGGGATAATATTGGTTCTATTGGATCGATTGGTTCTATCGGTTCCATTGGAGGAGGTGGTGGTGTGGGTAGCGGTGTCGGTGTCGGTGTAAATGGTTGCAGTAGCAACAATAGCCCTGAAGGAAACGACAGGATGCAGTTCCAAAACAATGTAGGATTGAATCAATCCACAAGTAAAAACAACACTGCCTGTGAAAATACGAACAATTTAACGAACAATGGAGTTTTGGATAAAAATATGACGAAGGCTCCATCTAATGTGAAGGAAAAGAATAATAATTCTGATAACGAGGCAGATAATGTGAAGAATATTTTAAGCAAAGTAAAAATTACAGGTTCATGGCAACGAGAAATATATGAAGGGAAGATAGGCTGTAGATCTAACTATAGTAGCATTTTCATAACACAGAGACATCAAGATTTTAAAGGTTCTGAACCCAAAACGATTGAAAAGTTGATGCTTCTGTGTAGTGGAATAACATATACCAATAAGGATAATAAAATAAAAATTGTTTCAAGTGACGAAATATATGTTTATTTTTTTTCACAAAAAAGATGGTATTTATTAAGAGGGAAATTGTACAATGAAGAATTTATATATAATGCAAGACAAAGACATGTAGGTTGTTTTTTCGAATCAAAGAATGTTTTAGGAAGGGCAAATAAGAACCCAGTACCGTGTATATTTATACAGGGAGGATTTAAAAAAAATTCCATTTTTGGAGATGCTTGGTTATTATCACTTACAGGGGATAACCCTTTAAGAATACATGAATATGACACATCGAGAGAAAAAATATCAACGACTCAGATGCCACTCTACTACTTTAGAGATACACATTCTATTAGTTTATTATACAGTTTCTGTACTTTGCAAAAATGGCTATTTGGTGCCTTTGCAAACTTGGTAGATAATTGTGTACATGCACTAAATCCAGCAGAAAATGTATTTATAAAATATGAATTAACACCAGAACACGACGGAATGTTATCTATTCAGGATGATGGGGAGGGTCTAGATTTCAACGCAATGAATAGAATTCTCAGACTTTATGGAAATTACAAAAATTACGATAGTAATAGTTTGTACAACAATGAAAACGCTAGTAATAGCAATGTGAAGAAGCATGGCATACCCACTAGTGACTTTATGAACACCAATCGTATTGATGATTACAGTGATGATGAAGATGAGGAAGAAGAAGAAGAAGATGACGAGGGTGACGACACTGCCAATTGTCATGATGAGGAGGAAGATGGGGGTCAAGAAGCAGAGGGCAGAAGAACCCAAGGAGTAAATAAAAGGAGGAACAACAATACGAGTGCCCATGGAAAGGGAAGCCACAACGACAAGGGCAACAACGTCGATAGCACCGATAACAATCATAACAATCATAACAATCATAACAATGACAACAATGAGAACAAAGGTAGCATCGATTGCATCGATAACAGTAAGAAGGATGAGAACAATGGAGACGAAGAACGTGGAAATGGAAAGGACAATGGTGTGAATAGTGCAGGTGCTGAGAACACTGCAGCAGCGAATAATAATTGTGGTGTGACTACCGCACCGGGGGTTTTGAGTAAACAAAATAATTGCCAGAATAACATCTCGAGTGATAGCAAGAAGAAGAAGAAGAAAAAGAAAAAAAAGAAAAAAAATTCATTCAATGAGAGTTATTATCATAAAAACTATGATCAAGAATTTTTCTACAATGAAAATGCAAATGGAATATTTGATATAAAATATGGAGTAGGATTTAAAATGTCTTTCGCTCGTATATCATCCAGTTGTGCTATAATGTCAAGAACTATAAACACAATTGGAATAGGGTTACTATCCCTAGAATTAATGAATCATTGTGATGCTAAAGAGTTGGCTACACCATTATGTATGTGGAAATTACCCAATAAGGAATTAATAAACAGAAATATTGCAAATAAATCTGAACATCGACATCATCAAAAATTACTCATGTCATATACTCCATTTAATAGTCCAAGCCTTTTAGCAGAACAAATAAATATACTTGGAACTTACAGTGGTACCAGATTACTTTACTGGGATTTCAGGGACGATATGGATTTTATTGTATTCTCCCCGGCCAACAATAATATATACCTTAGTAGCTCTCCACTCAGTATTGATGAAATTAAATGTACAAAAAAGAGAAAAGGTATAACAACAACGACTGGGTTCGATACATTAAATAAATTGCATTGTGTTGAAGATATCAAATTGAACAACAGAGAAATCAAAAGGAAAGCTCATTTTTTAGAACATACACAGCAGGGAGAAGACAAGAATAAGAGAACCAAATTCATGGAATCGAGTGAAAAATACACACACACACATGATGTAGGTAATAATGGAAGAGGAGGAGGAGACGTCCACGACCGAAACGATCAGAATGGAAGAGACAATCCAGCAGAATTTTCCATAGAAAACAAGGACCAATCTGCAGAGGTTAAAGAGGAGGAGGGTGTAAATATTAATGATGTTAATAAGGGTGAGGAGATTAAGAATGAAATGGTTGATGCGAACGATCACCACTCCACTGATGATGAAAGTGGGAAAATGGAGTGCAACAGGAGGAACGGCAGCATTGGCAATGATGGAAATTTATCTAAGAGTAGAAGCACACACATTGAGAATCATACGGCAGAAGGAAAAATGGGAGACAGCTGTAATGTCAATGAAGAAGACGAAGCAGGACGAGTGGGTGGTGGTGAAGCTAGTGAAAAATGTCATAATGGAATTAGCATTAGTAATAATAATGATCAAGCAACGACGAAATCGGAGAAGAGCGAAAGAAATGTAGAAAGAGCAATGAATAATGGGATGAATAAAAAAAATGATGAGAATGGAGCAAAAGGAGTAACAACCAAGTTGTCATCATCACAAATACTCGCATCCACGTCAGCTGTGGAATCCTCTTCATCATCCAAAATATGCAACAAAAACAAATTTTATAATAAGGAGCAATTCCAACACTGCAATGACATGCTAAAGAAGATGAATCTTTTTGAATACAATTCTCATCTTCATCCATCCATATCAAAGGAGAAGTATAATATAAGTCCAATTTTTCCACTATGGGATCATCCAAAAGATAGTATAGATTATTGTTTATCAACATATTTGTATTGGTTATATCTGAGGAGAAGTACAAATATATTTCTTCAAAACACGTTACTTATTCCTACATGTATGAGAAGGAATGATGAACAGAATTGTGCACATTCACAGGAAGAAGGACACTTGGGAGATATTAGCAATAGAGTTGATAAAGGGAAAAAAAAAAAAAAAATGAAAAGAGGAAGAAATTTGAAAAAAGGAATTGCAAAAATTGGCAAAAAAAATGCAAATGTTCAGAAAAAAGAAATAGGAATAGACCAAACTGAGAATAAGAAAGAATATTCTGCTGCCACAAAAATGGACAAAATGGACAATGATGAAATGGATGTAGGAGAAGGAAGAAAAATTCTGAAAACGAATGAGCAACCAAGTAAAGACAATCATAATAGTTCAGTTGTTTCCAAGTGTTGTATTAGCAGTAGTAGTAGTGGTGGTATCAGTACAGGTACTGTTCCTGATGATAATTGTGATAGTGGAAAAAATGGAAATATTCAGAATAATAATGAACAACAAGTATTAGTCGAAAATATGAATGTGAAATGTGAAATACAACAAGAAAAACAAAATAAGAACAATGAAAGTGTCGATAATTTGGAAGTCCACGGTGCTACTGAAGCTAGCAGCAATGGAGATATGCAAGGTGTAGTAGTAGGAGGAGGAGGAGTGGTGGGTAAGACGAATGTAAAATTTTTAAATGAAATAGATGCAAATATTGGAGAAGAATCATCTCCCATTGTTGTAGCTCCTGTAGCAGTGGTTGAAGGTGGTGGAGATATAACAGTTGCGAATGAGAAAAATGGCATAGATCATAGAATTAATGAGGAAGATGATAATGACGAGGTAGATGATAATGGATTAACAAAACTACAAAAAAAAAAATTGGAAGAAGCGTTAGAATATGGAATTACCCAAGATATGAAAAAAAACAAACATATCCATAGAAGTGAAACAGATGAAAGTGCACCTGAGGAGGATGATGATGAGGAGGAGGATGATGATTACAATGAAGATGCAGAAGAGGATGACGACGATGGTGATGATGATGATGATGATGACGAAGAGGAAGGGGAAGTAACAGAAGTGGAAGGAGAGAAGGAAGAGAAGGAAGAGAAAAAACAGACGGAGCAGAAGGAAGAAAAGGAAGAAAGTGACAAAAGAAAAATACACGAAACAGATGAAATAGTGAACCATGTGGAGAAGGAGAAAACTCCAGATGACGTCGACAGTGCGAAAAACCCAATGGAGGAAAAAGGTGAAAGAGGTGAAAAGGTAGAAGAAACGACACTTGATGAGAACTCGACAAGTAATGAAATTAAAGATAATCAAGTGAAGAAGACAGAAAAGGAAGAAAATGGGAAAGAAGAAGGTCATCATCAGTTGAAGGAGGAATGTGTCGAAGGAGAAGAAGGGACCATGGGGGGAGGGAAGAAAGATGAACAGGAAAATCAAGAAATGCTTAAAATGCTGAATGTTAAAGGAGGAGGAGGAGGAGGAGGGAAAGGGCCAAAGAAAACAAAAAAAGATAAACGAGAAAAACTCGAAAGTGGGGTAGGAAGAAAAAAAGGAAACAATAATATGAATAATCATAATAATGATAGAAAGATGGACGAAAATGAAAGATTACGAAAAGAGAATTATGTAAATGTATATATGGAAAATTTGAAAATTAAAGATGAATATTATATAAATAATACCAATAAATATACATTATATAATTTTTTAAGGAGAAAATTATATAGAATGGTCGAGTTTCATTATTTATTTACGCCCTCTGATTATGAATATGGCTCATTCATTATGATGGGTTTTTTAAATGATAATACTAGTCCATGTATAGAGATTAATAGGATATGTGAAACTGGTATTTTATTATATTATAAAAATAGACTAATTAAAAGATTAGATGCACCATTTATAGATTCAGCTTATAATCTGTCTCTTTCGAAATATCCCCCAAATCCTTCTTTGTACGAGGGAAATCTTTATAAATATGCACTTACAGCGATTGTTAACGTGCCCAATTGGCTTAAACCATCTATTAGTAAACAAGAATTCATACATGAAAATAATTATGCATTTCTTCTTTTTAAGAAAAAATTAGTGAGTCTGATTAAGTACTACCTTTGCATCTGTGAGGATAACCTTAAACTCACCAAATGGAGGGAATCGAGGGATCTAAAATTAAAAAGATATCTGGAAAATGTGCAATACAACACACGACCACCCAGGAACGATTCATTTAATGAGTATGAAAAAGTGTACAAAATAATGTATTCGGACAAAGATAATAAGGGTGGTGTAATAGATCAAGGAGGTGCTGTTACTTCAAAGGACAGACAAGAGCAAAAGCAGAAGCAAGAACAGCAACAGCAAAAAGCAGAACAAGAACAAAAGCAAGAACTGCAGCAGGAGAAGCAGGAGAAGCAGCAACAGCAGAAACAGGAATGTGAGCTTGCGACACAGGCATCCAAAGTAATTGATAATAAGACTTCAAGTGGAAAGAGGAAAAGGGAATCAGCAGATGATGCAACATTGAGCGATAAGGAGAAAGACGAGCACTATTCCAATTTTAAAAAAAAACAAGAACAGTTAGAGAATGATGAAGCACAAGCTGACGACGACGAGCCAGTTGCTATTGATAGAGAAGCGAATGGAGAGGTAGATGAAGAGGAAGATGTAGAACAGGAAGATGATGAAGAAAACAGCCAAGGAGACACCAATAAATCAAAAAAGGAAAAGAAACAGAAAAAGAAAAATGGAGAAGAAGATGAGGAAGAAGTGGAGGAAGTGGAAGAAGAGGAGGAATTAGAAGATGAAGAAGTAGAAGAGGAGGAATTAGAAGAAGAGGAGGAATTAGAAGAAGAGGAGGAAGAAGTAGAAGAAGAGGAAGAAGAAGAAGAAGAAGAAGAGGAGGAAGAAGTAGAAGCCGCAAAGGAAGGACAAGCACGAAAAAAACAAAAAGCCGATCATGAAGATGCTGATGAGGAAGTGGAAGAAGTGGAGGAAGAGGAAGAAGTAGAAGAAGAGGAAGAAGTAGAAGAAGAGGAAGAAGTAGAAGAAGAGGAAGAAGTAGAAGAAGAGGAAGAAGTAGAAGAAGAGGAAGAAGTAGAAGAGGAGGAAGAAGAAGAGGAAGAGGAGGAGGAAGCAGAAGAAGAATAAGAGAGAATGTATATAAACAAAGAGAAATAGTTGCAGATATATATCTACACGGGTAAAAATGAAGCGAATGGAAACGGCAAGGAGATATGATAATGATGATGGCAAAAGTTAGATGACAAAAAGAATTACAAAAGAGAGTGAAATAATTAATTGAAAATAAAGAACCCCTTGCACCCTCATATCCTCACGCCCCCTTACAATGTAGGAAAATATATATATGTATTATGCATGTACATATACACTTTTGCCAATATATTTGATAATTCATTAACACATACCGAAATTAGTGTTAACCAAAGTTTTTCTCAATGAAATGCAAAATACAAAGTGGAGAAACAGCATATCAAAGGTACCTCTAACCAGCAATAACACAAAAATAGAACCCCTGAAGTAGTTTGTTTTGCTGTCTATGTAATATAAAAAAAAAAAAAAAAAAAAAGGGGAAGAAGAGTAGAACTAGAGGAGGAGGAGGAGGAGGAGGAGGAAGAAGAAGAAGAAGAAGAAGAAAAAGTAAATGCCATTTTAGGAACCCTTCTGTCCTAGCCCCCCACACCCATCACCTTTTCTTCAATTTTTTAGAACCACGAAAAGGAAAAGAAGGGGCAAAATATTTTTTTGTAATTTTATTTTTTGGAAGAATGGAAAATATGCCCCTGCACTTTTTATATATATATATATATATATATATATATATATATATATATATATATATACATGTTTTTGGATCGAGAAAATGTGATGAATCATTTAGAGAAAATTTAAAACAAAATTAAAACTTCGTAAAATGAAAGAAAAAAAAAAAAAAAAAAAGAATTTAATTAATTTGTTGATTCCCCCTCCAACGCATTTTGACATCACAATTGTGAAAAAAAAGCTTTTTTAAATTTTGTCTTTCATGTTCAAGCTACCAGAATGCGAACATCCCCCCTCCCCTCTCCCCCCTTTTTTTACTTATGGATTTTACAGTTTCTATAGTTTTTAATTTATTCTTCTAAGAACATTATTGTTAATATACCATGTGTATGTGTTTTTATATATTATATGCATGAGAACTTTTGAGGTTTGAAACTTTTTTCTCCCATGAGTAAAGTTAGAAAATTTACGTAACATTTTTATTTACAAGAAAAGAGAGGAAAAAAAAGGGAGAAAAGGCTGTGCCGCTCCTCCCATTTGGGGGGTGGTGAGATGGTTTTTGTGTGTGTGTGTGTGTGTGTTTTTTTTTTTTTTTTTGCATACATGGACCTGCACATCATTTTGGAGTGTACCATTTTGTATGGATTCACCATGAGCAGGAATAATAAAATGTATCTTACTTGTATTTTATGTCCCTATCTTTTTTGTTTTCAACTTTGTTAATATTTTCATTTTTTTTTTTTTTTTTTATTATATCAGAGAAGGGGAAAGCACATCCAATATGTATGTATATTGTATGTATAGATGCATGCATGCGTATGCTGTGCTTTTAGCGAGTTAAATTTGTTCTACCGCTTAATTTTACTATATATATGACATCAAGGAATATTTTATGTTTGCATACAGGGCCATGTAATAAGTATATATACATTTATATATGCATGTGTATATATATATATATATATATATATATATATGTTTATACATATGCATACATGTATACAGCAGAGCATGCCCTTTTGTGTCATTTGAACACAGTGCCGTATGTGTATAATATTATGCAGGTTCCATGCCAGACATATATTTTACACATTCTTTATTATTTGTTAATAATTCACTCAATAACTTTTTTACTTGTCGTGTAAAGCATCTTCTTCTCCCCATTTTTACATATTATGTTTTTTAAAAATCACTGTTTTGTATCTTTGAAAAAATCAGCTAAATGCGTGTCCAGGAAGTTGTACATATAAAATAATGCACATATGTGTATGCTTGCTACGCAGATGATAAACGTAATTATTTTAAACTTTTTTTTTTTTTTTTTTTTTTTCCTGCGGCGCATTTTTTTATTATGTATATGTTTCGTCTTTTATCAATCGAATAAACTTGTTTATTAATGTTTTAACAAAAACGTATAATTAAAAAAAAATGAAGGATGAAAAAGTAAAGAGGTGAAAAATAAATGGAAAAATAAAGAGGCAAATAATTGGAAAAATAAAGAGGCAAATAATTGGAAAAATAAAGAGGCAAATAATTGGAAAAATAAAGAGGCAAATAATTGGAAAAATAAAGATACAAATAAATGAAAAAATAAAGATACAAATAAATGAAAAAATAAAGATACAAATAAATGAAAAAATAAAGATACAAATAAATGAAAAAATAAAGATACAAATAAATGAAAAAATAAATAAATGACAAACACTGGCTGCTAATGTTTTGAAGCCGTAGAACATGTAAAATATCACATGGATGAATCACGTCACTGTAAAGTACCACAAAAATTTGCACAAAATGTTGCATCGGATGGGAACCAATAAGTGCTGCCTACTGTGCAACTCTCTATATTATTGTCGCATTTTCAGGAGAAATAGTTTGAAGTGATTCTCAAAATGTAGGGTATCACGACCATTTCATCTCTCTGTCGCTTCTATACAGTTCGGTTCTTTAAATCCTTGAGTATTTGTATATACCCATTAATTTGTTCAAGCAAACGTGTGTTTTTCCTTCGTACGTCATTGAGGTGAAGAGTTTTATAATTTAGTTGATTGTTAAGAGTGTTAAGATATTTATTATTTTCAATTTCTTCAATTTTAATTTCTTGTAGAATTCCTTTTTTTTTTTTTTCTTGATATTTTTTTTCTAAATCATTAAAGTTAAAAGTTAAATCGTGTTTTTTTAGCTTATTTTTTAAAGAATTTTTTTTATCGTTCATTTTTTTATATAATTTATTATTCATATGTTCCAATTCATTATTTTCTTTTTTCAAATTAGTATATACATAAGTCAGTTCATTTTTTTTCTTTACAATTTCATCCATTTTTTTTATAATATCTCTATACTGCTCCTTACTCAAAATTGCACAGTTAGCTGTCAAATTTAGACGATATTTTTTTTTATCATATAAATAATCTATATTTCTTAACTTTGAAATTTTTAATAAAATGTAAAATTTGATTTGCGAAATATTCTTCTTTTTGTCTTCTTCTATAATTTTCATTTCTTCATTTAACATATCTACTTCTTTTTCGACACTTTTTTTTTTTCCCATTAATTTTCTCTGTTCGCTCTTTTTGTATTCTATATTCTTCTTTATGTTTTTTATTTCGTTTAAAATGGAAATGTTTTCCTTCTTTATCTTTTCTATTTCCTTTTTTATCTCTAATTCTTCCTTCTTGTGTGGCACTCCGCTTCTTTTGCACTCCTTCAACCCGCGTTCTCTACCTTTATTTTTCTCATTCACTTCATTTTTCTCTCCCTTGACATATGCTTTGTCCTCTTCTTCCACTTCGTTCACTTCTTCCACTTCGTTCACTTCTCCCACTTCGTACACTTCTCCCACTTCGTCCACTTCTCCCACTTCGTCCACTTCTCCCACTTCGTCCACTTCTCCCACTTCGTCCACTTCTCCCATTTCTCCCACTTCTCCCATTTCTCCCACTTCTCCCATTTCTCCCACTTCTCCCATTTCTCCCACTTCTCCCATTTCTCCCACTTCTCCCACTTCATCCGGTTCGTTTCCTCTTCCACCCCTAGAACACGTATCATCACTTGCATCTGACCCCTTGTCTTGATTATTCTTCAACCCTTTTATCATCATCTTATAACATAAATTGTCATTCCCCATTATTTTCTTCAACCTCTGGAAGTTCTTTTCTTTTTGTTCCTATGATAGGGGAAAAAAAATATGGAGTATAACCTTGTACGAATGAGATTCAAATGTGGCATATGTTTATATCACACAAAGGAAAAAAAAAAAAAAAAAAAAAAAATGAAGTATAATATATCTTCTACCAATTAACAAACAGAAAAAAAAAAAAAAAACAAGTAAAAAATTTCCTCACATTGTAACAATCCAAGTTATGCACTAACATCTGCATCTCGTGAATATGTAAGTTTATTTCATTTTCCATATTGATAATTTCTTTTACAAAATTTTTCTTTTGCTTCCTCAATTTCAGTTCTCTTTTTTGTAATTCCATTAAGATACTATTTTTTTCATCAATGGTACCTATTTTTAGTGTTATGTATTTTATAATTCTAATAGCTTGTATTTTTTTCATATGAAGTATTCTGTATTCTTTACAAAATTTTTTTCTTATTTTTTTTATGTATTCTTCAATTTGTTCCTTTTCATAATTTCGGTATTTTCTATCGAAGAATTTTCTATCAAAATTGATGTTTTTCATTTTTGTTATATTTCTTCTTTTCTTCTTTGGGACAATAAACAATCCTGGTTCTTGCAAAAAGGTGAAGTGTTCCTTTTCTGTTTCGATCATCATGTTCGTTTCTTTTGTATCTCCATTTTCCTCAGCCTCAGGGAGACTCATTTGGTTATAATTATAATCCCTTGTTATTCCCTCTCTCGGTTCTGATTTTTTCTCATTTTCCACAATATTGTTCCTTGCTTTGGGAATAGGGATCTTCAAGTCATTTTCATTGTCTAACTGAGTGTGTGTTCTTTTTATCTCAAGGAAATTTCCCAAAAAAAACATCTCATCATGCAGATTCTTCATTTTCTGACACATATACGTTGAGGAGGACAAAAAAGGGCAAGCATGAGGCAACATGGGGTGAGAAGTGCTTGGAAGTTTGAGAAGTGTTGAGACGTTTTAAAAGTGCTGAGACGTTTTAAAAGTGCTGAGACGTTTTAAAAGTGCTGAGACGTTTTAAAAGTGCTGAGACGTTTTAGAAGTGTTGAGACGTTTTAGAAGTGTTGAGACGTTTTAGAAGTGCTGAGACGTTTTAGAAGTGCTGAGACGTTTTAGAAGTGCTGAGACGTTTTAGAAGTGCTGAGACGTTTTAGAAGTGCTGAGACGTTTTAGAAGTGCTGAGACGTTTTAGAAGTGCTGAGACGTTTTAGAAGTGCTGAGACATTTTAGTAGCGTTATAAAATGCTACAAATTGATATACATCTATGCAAAAAGCTACGAAACTTGTGGGGGCAGAAAGAACCTTTGCACACTTTGCAGCACCACGATTCATTTTGTTGTACCTGTTTCATCTGCAACTGCAGTGCATGAAAGTCCTCATTGAACATTTCTTTTATGAAATTTATTTGATGAACTAACTTCTTCTTGTTTTCTTCGTATCCCTGAATTATTTCGCTACAATGGAAGAAGAACCCACCACCATGAGTCAAAAAAAAAAAAAAAAAAAAAAATGAAATCAGGTATAACGGAAGGAAAAGACAGAATGAGGTAGAATAAGAAATCGTCGCGTCTGTGGAGTGGAATCATCGATAAGGAAATATGTAGACACAAAAACGTGCACACACGCAAGCGTGAATGCACAAATGCACTCCACGTGTGAAGAGAAATAAGAAAATAATGAAACGTTAGTCATAAGCACAACACAGTTATGTTATTACTTTATAGTGGATATCTTATGGGAAGATGTGCCTCCACAGGTTGTAGAGTGATCCAACTGATCAAGTTGGGAAATTATATTTTCATACATTTTAATTATTTTTTTTTTATGACATATTTCTTCTATTTTATCGTCATTATTTATTGTTTTTATCTTTTGATTTTTCTGTCTTATGTCGTTAAATTGTTCAATGGATTGATTTATTTGAGTCATTAGTTCATTTTCATTTTTCATTTTTTTTTTTTTTGAAAATACTTTTTTTTTTTTTTTTACAAATTCCTTGAATCGCTTTTTTTTTAAATACATTTTCATGCACCCTGTGGTGACTTGCCCTTTTTGCTGAGATGAATTAGATATTAGAAAATTCTCCGAATGCTTAAATCTCAAATATGTTTTCATAAGGTGTTGAATTCTTTTATCATATTCTTTTTGGTTATATGTAAAAACTTTTTTAAAATCCCTTATTTTGTCTTTTAAATTTTTATATATTTTTTGTGATATATCTACGTCAATGAGGAACTTTTTTTTTTTGTAAAATTTTCTGTGCTTTTTTTTTAATTTATTAATTTTCATGTTCATATTTCTTTTGTGTAATAAATCCTTTTTTAAATTTTCTTCATTTTCTTTTGCTTTTTTCGTTTCATGTAAACTGTACAGGATTTCTTCATCTTGGATTATTTTATTTATGTTAAAAATCTTTATCATATTCCTTTGGTCGTAATTCATTATGAGATCTATCTTTTTTTTCTGTTCTTCAATTTTTTCTTTCTCTTCTTCCCCTTTGTTGTTATTTTGTATGAATTTCCATATGTCCATAATGTCATTATGGTCTCCATTCTCCTTTCCCTCAGTACGATTATCAGCTTCGTCTTTCTGCTTGCTCCCTAAGGGCGATTCATCTTGCACTTTCACGTCTTTCACTCCAACGTCTTCCACTCCCACTTCTCCATCTTCGCAATCGTTTTGAAAAAATCGGAGCAGGAAATTCACATCCATGCGGATATCGTCCAAGGTGAACGGAATGATACTTCTTTTTTTTTTTTTTTTTTTTATAAAGTCTTCCACTAGATAATCATGAATTTCTTCAATGAAAAAAGTATACATGTCATGGTATGTTACGAGAGGAATTTCCTCTGTGCTTAATTTGTTCATTGATTTTTCTTCCATTTTCTGTTTTTTGCACCTTTGATAAAATCGTTGAATCCATCGTTGCACACTTATGTGGTATCTCTTCAACACATTAAACAAATGCAAGAAGAAAAAGTGGAAATCTAGTTTTATATATGTATTTCCAAGACTTACAAATATGTATTGTCTTTTCTTATCTCTTTCACTAATATAAATGTTTCTGACCTTTTCATATAGCGGTATTTTAATTAGATAAAACAAAAAAAAATATTTTGTCGAAAAAATAAAAATGTTGTTATGGTTCGTTAAGCAGAAGAGCAAATGCTTCGTTTGATTTATAGTCATGCTAGTTATATATACATTCTCAGGAAAGTATTTCCTTCCGATTTTGTAAACAACTGTTGGTTTTATACTACTTGTCTTGTGACCATTAACCGTTCTGCAGAAAAATTCGTTCTTCCTCCTGCTCTTCTTCTTATTGAGGTTTAAAAAGAAAATACAATTATTTCTTATTCCTTCAGTTGTTATTAAAAAACCATTATCATTCATTTTAATTATACAACATATATTTATTTCCAAACTTTTTCCTCTATTTAATTTTTTCTCTTTTTTATCATTATTTTTCTTGTTTTTTTCTTCCTCTGCATTTTCTTTTTCTTCTTCTTTTTTTTTGTCTCTTTCCAGATTTATACTCAAACATGTAGGATATTTTCTCCTTCTTTTTTTTAATTTATTTAGTACCCCTGAGTTAAACAATGTCTCTACATATTTCTGTAAATTTTTTTTTTTTTTATTATGAAAATTCTCTATCATTTCTTTGGAGTTAATATCACCCAAAACGTTTTTCATTTCTTCTTCTTCTACACCTCTCGTCAGATTTATTTTGTTTCTGTAGAAATTTATTTTCTCATATCCAGCTTCTGATAGATCGCTGCAGGAGCTATTCAGATCGAACTCCTCTTCTTCATTAGCTACGTCACTCTCCCTATTGTCACTCTCCCTATTAGTACTCTCCCCATTAGTACTCTCCCCAACGGAATCCTTCACATTGTGACAGCCACTGTGGCTTGTCCCCTCGACATACAACATTTGATCCTCCTCGTCCCTTGCACATGTATCAAACTGAACCTGCATAATTTCATATTCGATCCTGATATCATACGGATTGTCGGATATAACATTTGTATGTGTGGATGATGGAACAAGTGAGAAATTTTCCATCGTGGGAGATATTCCTTCTCCCCGTTCCACCTCGCCATCTTTGGCACTTCTCAATCCCACATGGATATGCATATCTTCCACGTGATCCATAGCAATAACTCTTTTCTTTTCCATGTCAAGTCTCTTCTGACGAACTTCAAATAGAGTATTGTGTTCACCCAATACATAAAAAGATTTTGTACAAGAGAGGTAGAATGTGGAGAGTAGCTGAGCTTCACTAATCTTCAAGTATCCAAGAGGCTTAAAAAAGTTATCATGTCTGTATAAGAAAAAAACATATTGTTCTTCTTTTGATATAACCGATATATAATCACAATTAACACTTTTCTCAATGTGAATAATTGAATTGTTACTTGTCTTTAAGCAACTGACAACATCCAAGAAGAGGTGTTTGATCTTCACTATGTATATAACACCATTATTGAACCCAAGACAAAAGAAAAAGAAATCATTTTTGCAATATAAATATTTTACACAAGTAATAAAGTAACGAAATTTATGTAAGCAATAATTTCTTTCTATTTTTTTATCATCCAATTGGTAATTAAAAATCTTCCCATTGTAACTAAAACTGAAAATATTATTTTCCCAACAAAAAATATTCTTTATTTTGCTATTATGGCTATAAAAAAATATGCTTAAATCGTCGTAATTATTTTTTCGTGATGAATATATGATCCAATTTTTCTTATCTATAATTAAAAAGAAACTTTCGTGTGTTATTATTTTGCTTATCCTCATTTCAACCACCTGCTCCTTTTCCAATTTTACTGTCAGCTCCTTTTCCCCTTCCAGATCTGTGGGGCTGAATTTGCACATCCACCTGAGGGAGGGGCGAGGAGAAATATGTCAAATTGGAAGACACAACTGGAGAAGTTGGCAAACTGGAAGAAGCAACTGGAGAAGTTGGCAAATTGACAGACAGGTGAACGCGAGGCATAACCATACCTTCCTCGAAGTGTTCGCACACATCCGTTGCATAATCATTTTAATAAAGCACTTACAATTTTAAAGATTCTCCATCTTTCGTAGTTATATACCCATCATAGTACTGTATGTAATATATATTTTTGTGAAAATGAACTTTTCCATTTGCGTCTTTTATTATCTTTTTCTCTACTAGATCCTGATATATATATTTCAGGTGTGGCAGATAGCACATAGCAGATAGAGGGTAATTGAAAAAAGGAAAAAATGCTTGAATGTGCATAATTCACATCTTTGTACAAATGGAGGAAATGGAATTCCCCAAAGATGTTTGCACTGAAAGAGACACACAAGCTCATGATGTAATATGTATTTATGATGTTATCTGTATTTATGATGTTATCTGAATTTATGATGTTATATGAATTTATGATGTTATCTGAATTTATGATGTTATATGAATTTATGATGTTATATGTATTTCTTCTTTTTCCTCAGTTTACACTTGTGTACACATGTTTGTACTGCAACCAGATGACAAAGGCTTTTCCCACTCCTTCGACTAACCTTCAATAGAAAGATACGACCATCAGATGTCCCAATCAAAATACTTCTTTCATAAAATCCAAAACAAGTAACATGCACACTTTCGTCAAATTCTAGATTCCTCTCCTTAACTTTCAGTCCTGCGCATGGGGTTTTGTTATTCGATGTAGTGACGAATGGATGTAGTGATGAATGGATGTAGTGATGAATGGATGTAGTGATGAATGGATGTAGTGAAGAATGGATGTAGTGACGAATGGATGTAGTGACGAAACAAACCCGTGTATGTATGCTCCAGGTTCCACAAATACAACTTCTTTTTTCTCAAAATTAAAAAAAAATCATTGTACCTAAAAAGGGATAAATGTGGAACCAGCGGATCATGTACATGCATAGATACGCAGCTGTGTATATGTACATGTATATATGTGTGTGTGTCCTGAAGGGATTGCAGCACTTTTTTTTTTTTTTTTTTTTTTTTTTTGTCTAGCTATATATTGTTCATGTGTGCAAATGGAATTCATACTGCGCAATGTTACAATACTCCAAGTGTAGGTAAACATTAAAAATAAATTTTTTTTTTTCTGAATCAAGAACCTTCAGAACCCTTTTGTTTGTTATCATTATAAAGTAATTATTATCTGTCTGTACATAAATTTTTTCGTAAAAGTCATCATCCTCTAATTCTATTTCTTCCTTCAATGTCTGTTTTCTCATACAGTATATTTGTATGTCTGTTGATGGGAAAAAAAAAGGGTATGGATTGTAATTAAAGAATCCATAAAACAAAACATGTCTAGATTTGCATAAACACTAGAGTTATTATATAGTACGGTGGGTGGTGGTGGTAGTGGTAGTAGAGGTACTCAAAAGTGGAAGAAAAATTAAGTGTGCAGTACTCTTTTTGTTAACATGTTTATGTTTATCATAAAAAATATTTCTAGCAAAAATGTTCTAGCAAAAATGTTCTAGCAAAAATGTTCTAGCAAAAATGTTCTAGAAAAAATGTTCTAGCAAAAATGCTCTAGCAAAAATGTTCTAGCAAAAATGCTCTAGCAAAAATGTTCTAACAAAAATGTTATCACATTTGACTTTTTCAGCCGAATAATTTATCGACCCATCAAAGCATTACATGAATGTCGAGATGAACCATACAAGACAACTATGAGTGAGTCCTTTTGCAAAAATGAACATGTTATAACGTAATCATTTTTGGTAAACAATGTGCGCAATGTTTTTATGACAGGATTATATATATTAATTACATTGTGGAGGAAGAACACAATGTTAGAATTTTCTAAAAGAAATATATCGACATTTAAGTTAATTCCATATAAATGCTTTTCCCGTATCAAATTATATGATATAAATTCTTCATTAAACATATGTTCTTTATTTTTTACCACTCCTTTAGTCACTGATTTTTCGTGTGTGAGTGATTTGTCCGCTCTAGCTTGTTGTTGTTGTTGTTCTTCTTCTTCTTCTTCTTCTTCATCTTCACCTTCACATATGCTTAAATGGATTATGTTCAAATTAGGTATGTCATAATTCGGGTTCACATTGTTAAAGATATTTCTTCTGAACTTGGGGAATACAATAATCTTTTTTGAAAACAGAGGACACATCCTCATTTGTGTATGTCTCATGCTTAGAGCCTCTACTCTAGCTTTTCTTTTCGCTTAAATTTTTTACTCCACTTTTTACCAATCCGGAAAACCTAAGTGTGTACATATACATGTGTATATTTTGTACATATTTGTATATACATGCATGTACATATATATATATATATATTTTCCCACAATTATGCAGATTCTTTTTATTTTTATTGATCCCTCAGGGCGAACGCGTGGTCAGATATTTGCAGGACGTGATTTTATTTTCGATAGTCCACACAAGCATGAATTGAAAATATGTTTTTTTTTTTTTTTTTTTTTTTTTTTTTAACATGGTATGCAAGCCCTGTGTGTGTGAATGCATGAACATGTGTATCACGTACATCTAAGTGTGTACTTTTACGCTTACTTTATTATAGACAGAGAGACGCTCAAAAAAAGGGCACATTTGAAAAAAAAAAAAAAAAAGTGCACTTGTGAGCCTCAACCTTAATCGTCCCTGTATTCATGTAGTAGATGTAGCAGATATGGCTTACATCATTTCCTTCATTCCCATTTCAGGTGTGTTACTTTTTTTTTTTTTTTTTTTTGAAAGGAAAACAGAAGAGAAAAAACTAAAAATTATGGAAATACACTTTTTTCGAAGTACTTGTGACTTTACCTTAAGTTACAGTTGGGATAATGCACATGGAGAATCCGACTTGGAAGTTCTTAAATACATGCACACACATTTTTATTTTATTTCGTTTCATTTTGCTTTTTTTAACATTTTTTTTATGTGATCGGTCTAGTAGGTCTATGTGATGGATTAACGCAAGTTAGGGGGTCAAATTAAATCTCAGAAGACATTAAAAATATGTCGTTCGAACGTAATTCAACAGTAGTTCCCCTTTTTTCTTATTCCTTGGAAGTTCCAATCGATACGGATGTTTGTGCATGTAGGGAGTGGAGTAAAAAGGATCCTGGTCTCAAAGTGGTAATTCAGTTGATACCGTGTATAGTCTTCGCTATGTGGTATACACACATGCACATATATGTATATGTATATATATATACATATATATACATGTAAACGCTAAGAAAAGAGACTGACATTGGAGTAAAACAATTTTTTGTATTAAAGCTAATTAATTTTAAATAAGTTTAATTAAAAATGGAAAGAAAATGGATGACGGAGAAGAAAAAAAAAAAAAAAAAAATCTGTGATAATGATGCGGTGATAAGAGGGGAAACAAAAGTTAAACAAATAGGGTAATGCCTCATAGAAATGGTGAATCGGATAAGCACTAAGTAGATGGCGTGGTGAATGCATGTAATGAAGACAAAGAAGCATGTTCGTGTTATACTTCATCACCCCACACCTATTGTATGCACAATTTTTAACAACTCAGCTGTGCAAAAAGCCTCTGATGGTAAGTAAAAGAGGGACACACACACACACACATTAACATACTTTTTTTCTTCGGTCTTCGTGACATGTATTTATCACTTCACATCTCTACCACTCTCTGTCGTGTGCTTCTCATTAATTTTCCCACATCTTGCATTCACAGATATATATATATATATTGTTGCGTTCTAGTCGTCTTTGTTGAAAATTTGCATGCCTTTTTAATTTTTTTTTTTTTTTTTTTTTTTTTTTTTTTTTTTTTTGGGAAAACACCTCCCCCTCGCCCTCTTTTCCTCTTCCATACACACACGTTGCTAACCAGATGGTGCTGACGATGTCACTTCTGCAGAAGTGACATAAGAATAATCACGAGGAGGGGAATGGGATCGATGTAACTGCGTGAGAGTATTACTTCAAATTCCACACCTCGATGTCCATTATGTGAAAGTCGTGTTCAGCGGATGTAAGAGGTGGAGATTGAAAGGACTCGGAGGCATGAGTCTTTCCAATTTTAATGTCTTTATCAATAAATATGGAAATGTCGTTTCCACCAATATATATTCCATCGCGTATAAGAACGAGAGTATTATTTTTACCTGACCATTTGTAAAATTTAAAGTTGGAATTAAAAGTACAAACGAAAGCAGAACTTTTATCAGATGAGTTAACAAAATTAATATCTCTATTTAATGAAAATGGACAAAAGAATCCCAACAAGTCATGATCAAAAGTTTTTAAAATAAGAATCATAGGTTTCTTTTTATTTTTTTCTGTTAATTCTAGTAAAACTTGAAAACTATAACCATCTGTTTTTGAAGAATAAGTTAAAACAGGATCTAAGGATCTAAAATTACTTGGTAACTTTTCCCATATATTCTGCCAGTGCAATGAATTTAATAATCGAGAATAATCATTAAGTCTTGGTCTATAAAATGTTTTCATTTTTACATTCATGAGATATGGAGATGGGCATTTTGTTGAAAATTTTAATTGTTTTTCTTTACTTTTTAATTTAAATCGATATGCAATATGCGTTAATTCATTTATTGTTAAATATGGATGCATACATATGTGATATAAAATATTTTCCACTTCTTCAATATTTCTACATTTAAGTAAATCATTTTCAAAAAATTTTAATAATGCTAAACAATACAGACATAATGTTTTCTGTCCTTCAAATAAATATATTCCATAAATTCTCAAAACAAAATCGAATGGTAACATTCTTGAAAAACCATCTTGTATACATCTTGCTGTCCAGGCAGCCAAATCAAAATTTAATTTTCTTAAATAATGATAACATTTTGGCAAAAATTGTATAAATGAATTTAAAACATATTTTACATATTTTACAAAATCATTTCTTTTATATATAAAAAATGGTACTTGTTTATTTTTTATAGTATCAATTCCCTTTTTTATTAAACAGTGAATGATACAATACACTACTGATGCTTTGAAATATATTAATAAAATTATGCACAAATTTGGAATTATAGGTGCAAATTCTATATCATTTCCAAAATTATTATTTATAGCCCATAGAAGTTTTCTTATTTCATGTTTTCCATTATCATTTAGTAGAGCCGTCAGTTCAGTTGCGTCTTCCAAATTGTATACATTTGGGGAGAGGGTGGTGGTGGTACTACTACTACTATTATGCTGTCCCTCCCCCTTCTCCCCTTTTCCCTTTTGATGCATTCTCCCATGCATATCTCCATTATTCATTCCACTTTTATCCAAGGTGTTGTTGCAATTCTCGCTACTTCCACACATGTTGCCAACACCACTACGAACACCAACACCTAAGCTACTTGCTCCTGTACTACCGTTCTCATAAAATTTGCTATACAACTCCTTTTCCAGATTAGAATTGTCCTTACTATTATACTCCACTGCAGCATATTTCTTTTTCATTTTACTATTATCTCCATTGTCTGATTCGTCCCTTGAATGCATCTCTCCTTCTCCCATTCCTAAGATTCCTTTTTTTCCTGTCGTCTCAACTTTGGATTCAGTTTTTCTCCTTCCCTTTTTCATCATCATTATCTTCCTCCTGCTTTCACTAGTTTCTCTGTATACTGATTCTTTCCTCTGTCTATCCTTTTTCTCCATATCTGTGAGTTCATCACACCTTTCTTTTATCTCTTCTTCTGACCCGTGATGATCTTCGTCGCTCTTGTCGGATTTGTCAAGCATGCCCCATTTGTCATCTTTGAAATTTATTTTTTTTTTTCTCTTCTCTTTTCCACTCTTCTCATTTGCACTCTCTTCACTCCTTTCCTCGTTTAACATATGACTTGCTGGAAGTTGAAAATTTTCTAACTCATCCATCAATGATTCCATTTCTCCTTTAACAATTTCATCTACAGATGTCACTCGAGGTGAACTTATTTTTGCACATTTGAGGAACGGCATCTCTCCCTCCTCCTCCTCCTCCTCCTCCTCCTCTTTATCTTCCTTCTTCCTTGCACCATCTTCATCCATTTTGTTCACCAGGTCATTGGGCATCTCTCCCTGACCCTGTAGCTGCCCCTGACCCTGTAGCTGCCCCTGACCCTGTAGCTGTCCCTGACCCTGTAGCTGCCCCTGACCCTGTAGCTGCCCCTGACCCTGGTGATTCCTTCTTTCGTGCCTGCTAATGATTATGTTGTACTTTTCCTCCCTTCTGCAGCTATCCACAGTTGTGAGAGAACCACGTGGGGGAAGCATCGCACAATCTGCACCTGGATTCGACGTTTCTGCACCTCTTGCCGAAGTAAACGTGCTATAATGAGTTTCCATCCCTGAATTGTCAAAACAGATGGTGCGAGAAATGCCATCGTGTTCTTCATCTCCACCAACAATCCTTTTCGTCCTTATCCCATTCACTAGACTCTTCTTCACCTCCTCACATGTTAGCCTATTATCAAGTTCTTGTTTATTATAAAGTTCTGGCCTACCATCCCATTTTTGTGCACTGTCGATGGGATCCCTTTTTCTGAGGCTTCCCCCAGGGTCCAACAAAATGTCGTCCTCAGTATGTTTAAATATTTCCCTTTGATTGTTGGGATAATAAACCCATTTTTCATTATGGGGAGTACCAGAATATTTCCCTATTTCGGTGTCTAAATCATTCGACTTTTTTTTTTTGTAAAACAAGTTTTTCAATTTATCAAAAATAGATTTTTTATTGTTATCATCCTTTCTCTCGTTGTCCATACCCTTTCGTACTAATTCTTTTTGATTCGAGAAAAGTAAATTTGTTTTATTTTTCATTGTATTATCTTCGTTAAATTCGCTTAGCTTAATAATGGATTCACCATCCTCCTCCTCCTCCTCTTCTTCTTCCTCCACCTTGTCCCCCCACTTCATGTCATGCTTGTCTTTTCTTTTTCTATTAACATGATCATCTGGGGACATGTAGGCATCGAATTCAAAGCATGTTTGTTGTGATTCTCCTGATCTCCTTCTAACATTATGGATCTCTTTATCTGAACTTATATTTGTTTGTGAATCAGCGTCCACTTCTTGTTCCACTTCCGTCTTTGCATTTTTGGAAGACAACAACCACCAATCCCTAGTGGATCTATTCAACAGTGCTACCTTTTTTTTCTTTTTTCCTTCCTCTTTAATGCTACAATGACTATTGTTACTATTCCTTCCATTATTACTATTACTTCTAGTACCATTATTATTATTACTATCCCGTGGGCATGCCATTTTTTTATTGGAAATCATATCTTTCTTTTCTTTGCTGTCCTTGCTTAAGCTTTTTTTCAGCAAAGAAGAAATATGATCAGATAATTTTCTTTCATTTTTATGTTTCGTGCGTTTTACACTGAAAGCTTTTTTAAAAAAACTTCTTGTTGTGTTATAACTAGCATATTTTTTCAAACGATAGTTCATACTGTTATTCTCTCCTACTATGTTAATGTACATTTTCTCATTTGTGTAATTCGATGAAGAATCATCTGAATTAAGTACACCCGAAATTTTGTCCTTCAAATCCAAATGTGACTTTGCTTTTGTATTATTATGATAATTTCCTTCTTTTTCCATTTTTTTCTTCTTCCTTGTTCTTAAATATAATTTGGCTTTATTCATTTTGTCTGCTTGTTTTTTACTTATTATGTACTGTTCCGTCATGTAGCACTGGATATGCAAGTATTTGTTCGATTCATAAATTTCTTTTTCCTTTTCTTTTTTCTTCTTCAATTCGATTTCATCTTTCTTATTCTTATTCTTCTTCTTTTTATTGCCCTCCTCCTCCTCCTCTTCTACTCCCTGCTGCTCCATCTGTTCCATCTCCTCCACGAATGTCTCTCTCTTCGTTAATAACAATTTTCCATTTTTATTATCATTACAGGAATTCACTATCTGTTTAAAATACTGGTTTAGAGAAGTACCATCAGTTGTAATGTGGTTTTCTTCTTCTTCTTCTTCTTCCACCTCCTCATCCTCCTCCCCGGGATCCCTTCCGTCTTCATCAAGATCATTATTCGTATCATTCCCTCCTCCATTGTGGAAAATTATTATATCGTCTTTAATAAGTATATTCTTTTCACTTTCACTACAATTAGATACTTTAAAGCTCGATTCCTTATGTGCTCTATCTCTGTTACAAATAGAGTTTTTTTCACAATGTTTTTCTGCACCTTCTTCCTTCATCTTGTTTTGTTTTTCTTGTGCACACTTTGCAGACTTTTCACTTGCATCCACACTGTTAAGATGGATATTTCCAATATTAGATGTATCATCTTTTGACAAATTACAAATGGTTCCATTTCCTAAATTGCCATTTGTAGTTCCAGAAGCATTGGCCATAGATCTTCCTCCTCCTCCCTTACCATCACTTTCTTCAACCCTTTTTTTTTTTTTTTTTTTTTCTTCTTCTTCTTCTTCTTCTTCTACTTTTATTTTTTCCAATTTATCCACCTTACTTTTGTAAAATCGATTTGATAAATTCCTGAAAATAAAGTTATTCGAGTATGGAAGTACTGAATCAGATGCAACTCTGAGATAATTGTCTATCTTTTTATTTTTCAATAACTTATTCTTAACATTTTCAATATAAAAGTTTTTTTTTTTTTTTTTTTTATTATTATTTGTTAATCCAAAATTTGGGGTACTCAATGTTTTCGGTTCTATCCAAAAGTTGTGTTCAGGTAATAAATATCGATCTTTTTTTTTCTCATTTTCATTTGGGTTATTAAATAAAAGTTGTAATATATTGCTTGTGGAATCATTAATATTAAAGTTATCATAATCTTCATTATTTTCAATTTCCAATTCTTCTATTTTAGTTTGGACACACATAATATCTTCTTGTAATCCTAATATCCCTCCACAAAAGGTTGGACAATCATTCGATAAATTAGATGGAATCTTGTCTCCAAAGGTGTTGTAAATTGTTGTTTCATAGAAGTGTGGGAAGTTTATCACGAAGTAATTCACATCGTTTGATCTCACCCATATCAGATGCTTCAGGGAATCGGATACCCCTCTGTGGATAGGAAGAAAAAGGTACTACTGTCGTGTGGGAACTGTTATGGTCAGCATGCAAAATGGGAGGTGCAAAATGGGAGGTGCAAAATGGGCGGGGCAAAATGGGCGGTGCAAAATGGGCGGTGTAAAATGGGCGGTGCAAAATGGGCGATACAAACTCATAACTACTAATCCACCAATGAGAATCAAAAGCAGCTCGTGAGTGATAATTTCTCATTTCGAACCTTCTCAGCAGATGCTTCGCCTCCTTGTCCATTAAATTAGAATCCGCGTTTAAAACTATACTCAATGATCTGTCATTCCAATGGCTATGCTCATCTTTCTAAATGGAGAAGAAAAAAAAAAAAAAAAAAAAAAAAAAAAATGGATAGTGCGTATGTATTCGTGTTTATTGATATGTTTTTTCCATGTGGTCAGGGTTGTAGCCATGTCCTCGAAATGACAGGTTTCCAAATAAGCATTTTTATTTTTTGCAAAAAAAAAAAAAGGGATGCGTCTCAAATGTGTTTACACATACTTGTACATGGTTTTTTTTTTTTTTTTTTTTTTTTTTTTTTTTTTTTTATATCGACAATTTTATTGTTTTTCCTTTTTTTATAAATTTCGAAATTTAAATAAATAATATTATTGATATTTTTTTATTTTTATTTTTTTTTTTTTTTATTTTTTTTTTTTTTTTTTTTTTTTTTTTTTTTTTTTTTTTTTTTTTTTTGTGACTTACGTCAATATTAGGGTTTCTCCATTTTTCATAAACTTCGAAATTTAAATAAATATTGTTGTAGATATTATTTTTGTTTATTAAATGGTTGTACTTATTTTTCTGTGCCTGAAATATTTCGTCTGTTTTCGTTCCCCTATATATTTTTTTCATTTTATGAAATTTATTTCTACATTTTTTTATCGATATGTATGATACGAGAAAAAGGAGGACTGTGAACAAGAGTATACATAGTTCTTCTGTATATGTCGAAAATCAAAAAAATGGGAACAGTTTTTTTTCCGCCAGCGCAAGGAGCTATAACAGTGCAACATTCCATACGCACATCTAGATGCCAAAGCGGAAGCAAAGCAGAAACAAAAGAAATGAAAAGAAAATCCAGACACTAATTAATACTCTTAAAAAAAAAAAAAAAAAAAGAAAAAAAAGTTGAAATATTTTTAAAATGCAAAATAGACTATGTATGCAATTGGTAACGTGTGCAAGGAGTGGTGGTGGAGAATGAAATAAGTATATGAATTAGAATGTTGTCATACACTCAAGTGCCTGATTATCTAATATTTTGTGATATGTACACATGCTTTACATAAGCAATAAAGCTATATATATGTGATGTTGCAAATCAAAAAGAGGGAAAATATATCAGATGGAAAGTGTAAAATGTAAGGAAAATAAGGGAAAAACTGGAAAAAACTGGAATAAATTGGAAAAAATTGGAATAAATTGGAAAAAATTGGAATAAATTGGAATAAATTGGAAAAAATTGGAATAAATTGGAAAAAATTGGAATAAATTGGAATAAATTGAAAAAAATTGGAAAAAAAATTTTTTTTTTAATTTCATGTACAATTATATTGTAATAAGACAATAACGGTAAATGGAATAAAATGCAATCATATTTGAGCGAGCGTGGAGTAGTACACTTATAAGAAATGGTACTTGTGCATGTGTTGTGTTCGTGCGTGTGTGTGTATATGTATGTATGTGTGTGTGTGAATGAAGTATTTTTAAAATTAAACCAATGCTCACTGGTGAACTCTTTTGTACAATTATTTGAAAGTGTAAGAAGCGCCCTTTACATTCGAAGTGAGATTCGTGCGAGAATTCAAAACGTGTATGGGAGCAAGTGAGAGGAAAGTGGTACAGGGTGAGGGTATGGTAGAAGAAAATAAAAAAATGAGAAGAAAAAATGAGAAGAAAAGGTGAGAAGAAAAAATGAGAAGAAAAAGTGAGAAGAAAAAATGAGAAGAAAAAGTGATAAGAAAAAATGAGAAGAAAAAGTGAGAAGAAAAAGTGATAGGAAAAAATGAGAAGAAAAAGTGAGAAGAAAAAGTGATAGGAAAAAATGAGAAGAAAAAGTGAGAAGAAAAAATGAGAACAAAAAAATGAGAACAAAAAAATGAGAACAAAAAAAATGGGAAGAAAAAGAGGTTAATGTAAAATATTAAAATAATAAAAAATAAAGCAAATAAAAAACGCGAAAACGTAAATGCGCAAAAATGTAAAAATGCAAAAATGTAAAAATGCAAAAATGTAAAAATGCAAATGCGCAAAAAGGCTAATGCACAAAAATGAGAAAATGCAAAAACACGGAAACGCAAAAACGCGGAAACTCCAAAAGGCAAAACTCAAAAAAGCAAAAATCAAAAATCAAAAATGCAAAAAACTTTTCATAAACGAGCAAAAAAAAGGTATGCATAAAAAAAGATAAAAGGTGAAAAACGGAATGTGAACTTTTTAGTTTTTCTCTTAATAGACAAATATATTTAAACCAATTAGTGTGTTTTGCTTACGATATTATTTTAAAAAAAAAAATAAAAAAAAAATTAATGAATTGGTAAACTGACAAAATGGCGAATTGACGTGTTGATGAATTGATGAGCTGATGAATTGATGAGCTGATGAATTGATGAGCTGATGAATTGATGAGCTGATGAATTAATATCTGGTTGGGCTGTAAACTGATAAATTTGTGAATTGGTGCCCTTTTTACTGTATTTTATTTTGCTTTACATTACTACTTTTTCCCTTAATAAAAAAAATTTCATTTTTTCTTCGTGGAAAATGCGATTATTAAGCACGTGCGAAAGATGTGTAAAATGGAATGCAGAAAACGAGGCATAGGAGGAAAATTATATAAGAGAAGTTTAAACAGACGTCCAAACAGACGTCCAAACAGAAGTCCAAACAGAAGTCCAAACATAAACCACCGATGTAGCATACGACATGAGGGCTTTGTGAAATGAACGATGTTAAAAATGTGCCACTTTTGTCATGTGTCATGGGTGTGAAGATTCATACACAATTTTGGACAAAAACATGCTGTTGAAAAGAGTGGAAAATTGGATCATATTTTCAGCAAAAGCAAAAAAAAAAAAAAAAAAAAGTAAAACGCAGTCGTGGGGACACGCACGGAATCAGAAAAAAAAAAAAAATGTACGTATACATGTGCATGTACATGTACATATATATATATATGATGTGTATGTATAAAATATAGTAGGGGACATAAATTCATATTATGGAATAAGAAAAAAAAAAAAAAAAAAAAGTCGACAATTGGATTAGAAACGTCAGATAAATCCAAAAAATCATGAACAACATAAAATATAGAATAATCTCTAACATGGCTTTTTAATCGGGGTGGGTATAGAGAGAACACATAAAAAAGACCTCGAAATGGAATCAAAAAAAAAAAAAAGAGGCCTTAAAAATTCGTGAAAATCTTCATTTTTTAAATAAGGACAAATATAGTGTGGATAGAATTAAAGGTATGAGTCTTAAAATGTTAGATAAATAAAACAAGAAAAAAAGAAAAAAAAAGAAAAACATAATGAAAACAATGGAAGTTAAGGCAAAAGCACAAAAATTAGAATGGAACGTGCAATCGGATATCTAATATGATAATGCTACATTATAAGCGCACCAATTGTCATAAAAAAAAAAAAAGGATTGTTTTATATATATGAACAAACCTACGTAAATTCGTCAAGTTGAGAATTTCTAAATATATATTTGCTCTTTGTCCTTCTTCCCTTAGAATGCAGCGTAAATATGTAAAAAAATAAAATGAACAATTCATTCCATTCGTGATTCATCGATGCTTTCGACAATGTGTGAGATTTAATAAACACATAAGCAAATGCACATGTACAACTGCATAATTATTTATCCATAAAAGATGGATATATATATATATATATATATATATATATATATTTATTGTGTAGGTTAGCGTGCCCCTGTATATCTGAGGCCACGTGGGTTATAGCAATACAATTTATATTACATAAGGCTTTAAAAATTATAGTTAAGAAATTTTTTTCTTATCATTTTGAAAATCCTTACATGTCGGGAAAAAAAAAAAAAAAAAAAAAAAAGTAAAAGAGAAACTAAAATCAGGGGTGACATATTGGTGACAAAATGAAGAATTGAAGGAAAAAAAAAATCAAATCAAGTCAAATCAAGTCAAATCAAATCAAATCAAGTCAAATCAAATCAAATCAAATCAAGTCAAATCAAGTCAAGTCAAATCAAATCAAGTCAAATCAAATCAAATCAAATTAAATAAACGTTTGGATAACTAAAAGAAACACATGTATCAATATTTCCTCATGGCATGACCGTTGTTTTAAAACGTTTATTTAAATCTTGTTAACAACGACAAAAGCATGGTTATAGGGAAACAAAAAAACAAAAACAAAGGCTTAATGATATAAAAAAAAAAGGATAAAAAAATGATATAAAAAAAGCGTAAAAAATTGATATAAAAAAGAATGTGAAAAATGTTAGAAACGAATTTGAAAAATGTAGGAAAATATACAAATCAAAATTAAGGCTTTCAAAACCTCTCATTCGTAGGTGTGTTTACAATTTAAAAATTGTTAACAAGAAGACTACCACATAAAAAGTACTTTTATCTATATGTGTATATAAACACATATGGGGAGGGACCTTTCGTTTCACATGAATAAATTATGAAGGGCGTCCTGATCTTGTGTGAGGCGTTCGTGGTCTTTTAATAATCATTTCTTTGCATGTGTGTATATTGTATAGTGGCTTAACAGACATGCATTTCTCACATATACACACATTTTTTCACAAAAAAGAAAAGGAATATGGTAAAAACCATAAATAAAAACCGAACATATCATTCATTTAGATTTGTTCAAGAATATTTTGACGCAGGAATATGAAAACGGAGGGGTTGGAAGAAATAAAGAAATAAAAAAAAAAAAAAAAAAAATTGTGTGTATGCACTTTTTCTCCATTGTATCATGAAAAAGGTTTATGATCTCTTAAAATTTAGCACGGATTTTTCTAAAATTACAAAAGATTAAAATATATAAGTGGAGTTCACTTTTCTCCCGTGTTGCAACTTGTTATTGCTCACTATTTCTGTATCCGTAATTTAGCTAATTTTTTTTTTCGCTACTCTTTTTTCATCTTTGCCCCTTTCAAGAGTCCATTCAATTAGAGCTCGCAACCACCACTATGAGAATGAATTCATACGGACCGTTTGTGAACCTCCAAGCGGGCATAGGCAGGTGTACATGTACATATATATAGAAATAATGCATGCCAATCATATAAAATGAAATCATTTATATCAGCGTGCGTACATGATCTGTTTTTAAAAAAGGGCAATTTAAACGCGATGGTAAAACTTGTGCATAATATGTTTGCAACCTTTTTTCTCATCTTTATTTTTTTTTCCTCCTTTTTTTTATTCCCCTTTTTCTTCCTTTTTTTTCTTCCTTTTGTTTTTCTAAAAAGGTGTTTCGTATTACCATCACAAGAGAATACATTTTTGTATTTTCATATTTGTCCATCTATCTTACAGCAGATGATTTTAGGAAATTTTTTTTTGCACTTTTCTTTTTCTTTTTTACGGGAAAAATAGGTTTGTCTGTGCATACTGTGCACATTATTCTTGGTTGTGGTAAATGATAAAAATGAGTTTTTTATATTTTTCTCACAGGATCATGCAATAGGTTAAAAAGTAAAATGCTGCAATAAAATAGCATTAGAAAAAAAAAAAAAAAAAAAAAAACTAACAATGTGAAGCTTGAAAAAAAGAGGAGGGGAAACACAGGGGGAATAACACAAAACAGTGCATTCTTTTACGACGTTATCAACTTATAAATGTTTGAATGACAATTCTGCAACCTTTCAACAACTTCTTTATCGCAAAAACTTAGACGAAACGAATGCTTAAAGCATTTATATAACTCTTCTGTGTGTGACAAGCATTCTCGAGAAATTCTGTCATAAAAATGAGAAAGAGAATGGTGTAATTGTCAATAGGTGTGTGCAAGTGTGGTGTGTGTGTGTGGGGTGCTCCCCTTTCGCTTCTCTTTTCATTCAGCTTAGTTATTTTTGCTTTTTTTTTTTTTTTTTTTCCCTTTGTCTCCTTACATTTGCGTTGTCGTGTTTATTGCTTTATCGAACAAGTTTGAGCATTTTGCCTTGGCATCTCCATTGCTCTTATTCAACTGCATACATAATTTGTAGTCGTTATAATTTTTACGGGCCATTAACGTATTCTGTAGCAAAAAAAAAAAAAAAAAAAAAAAAAAAGAATGCTTCACACAATCGAGTGAAGTTGAACAGATAATATTCGTTTTATTTATTGCTAGAAGACTCTTGATGGAAGGTATTATCCCTATTTGAAAACATGCTGCTACAATGTAGTGTGGTGTTGTTGTGGTATACATATTCATACATAAATGTGCATATATGCATTCCTCTATTTGAAGTGTTCAATTCCCCTCATCCTCAATTATGTAATTTTCAAATTTGTTCAAAAATTGAGATCCTTCCTTACCACACTCATTTTGTTCCTATCCTATAGAATGAATACGCGTTCTCTTTAAGAATGCTTAAGTGCTTTCTTATTCGAATTTCCGCTGATGTTTTAAACAATTGACGTTTAAGAAATTTCTCAATTCTTACGGTGGTTAGGATATAGAGAGTTTATGATTCCTTTTGTTGGTGATATTAAATGTACACAAAATGTTTGCGCACGTAATAAAAATGACGTATGAAAAAATGAAAAAAAATTATATTAACAAGAAGGAAAAAAAAAAAAAAAAAAATTATATTAACAAGAAGGAAAAAAAAAAAAAAAAAAATATGACCCGTTCATGCAAATTTTACTAAAAAAATATTTAAAGATTTGTTCACTCATTCTCTTGGCTCCTCTTTTTATTTTTTTTGGCATACAAGAAACTGTTGTGTATGCAAAAACGAAAAATAAAATAAAATAAAATAAAGTGTTACTTACAAAACTATATTTTTTTATTCACATTAATATGTGCGACCCTCCCTTTTGAAAAAAATAAATCTCTATTTTTGTATTGGAAAAAAAGGAAGCACTATTCCCTTGACACTTTATTGCTGCTATGATTATGTTTGAACGTGTCTTCGTGCACACATACACAATACATAGGTGCAATTAAATCGAGTTATGCTAAAAAAAGTATTTTTTTTTTTTTTTTTTTGCTAACACCAGAAGCTCACATAACTTATCATATCAACTTCTGCAAACACACTTAGTAGTTACGAGAAATAGGGAAAATCGAACTGTAAAAACTACACTAGTATATCCTCGTTTAGAGTTTTTAACATATTGTATTCAATAAGAGGGCAATAAAGTAAAATAGAACAAGCATGATTTGCTTTTCTCGTACCGTAGATATCCCCCACACAGCAAATTCTCGAAATCCTATTCATTATTCCCTTTGTAGGATGTCAAAAACATGAGGGAATTTTTCTTCACCTTTTTCAACTTCTCCTCCATGCACTTTTCATAATTCTGCAATGGAAAAGGGAAAGAAGAAAAATAATTTCCACCTTTTTTTTTTTTTTTTTTTCTTTTACAACAAAATGGTAGAACAGGTTATCAGAATGAACACTGTATTTTTTTTTTTTTTTTTTTATTTTACGTATTATTCCGTCTATGCATCAGATGGAACTCATCTTTTTGTCATGTTTTCTTAAAAAAAAGATGAAAAATGCATTACTAATTTTAAGGGTTGGCATCGATTGATTCCTTCACTGGCTGATTGCTCATTTCCATAAGGTTGTAAGTTTTCGTTTAGGCAGCTGAAAAATTTATCTGACACAGATTCGCAACCTGCGCGTGCGTACACAAGGTGTGAGTATTATGTAAGCGTATATGTGCATGTGTAGACATTATTAAGTATTAACAGTTTTATGTTTAACTATTTTGATTGCATGGATCCGCAACTGGTCTAAATTTTTTAAGACTCATTTATGTATAAAGAAAAAAGAACAAAAAAAAGAACAACAAAAAAAAAGGGAACTCCCACAATATGTATATGCTACACAAGTTAAGAACAAATGTTTCACAAATTGTGGGGAAAGGTGTAATTAATGTTTACCTTTTAACACTGCGGGAAAGTATGGTTTCATCAAGTCCATGTCCTTATTCATTTGTTCGATTGAAAACAGATGATAGCAAAAAAAGAAAAGTAAAAATCCTTGTTAGTTCTATATATATACTTTTTTTCTTATTCCCCACAGTATCTCTCAGTTCTTTTTATAAGAAAATATTCTCAACTTTTATTATCTGCAAAATTTACCTTTTTTCAAACTTCTTTCTATAATGCATTGTAATCTTTTGATTCATTATTTGCATATTTTCTCCTTTTGTAGATTTATAAATCTCGAACATTTGTGTGTTTTTTTTTTTTTTTTTTTCTTTTAAAAGAAGGAGAAAACTTAAAGTAGAATAGCATTTTCTGACAATTCTACGCAAACGCACTTTTCTTCACAAGTAAATACATAAAAACTGGAACGTAAAAGAAAAAAGAACAAACAAAAAAAAAAAAAAAATAAATAAATATATAAATAAATAAAATGAAAAAAATAAATAAAATAAAAAAATTAAATAAGCTACATCACAAATAAGGAAAGTTTATGTACTTTTCTTTAGGTGCAAAATTATGTGACCTTTGCAAAAGAACTCGTGAATCTTTCAGAAGCAAAAAAGAATATCTCCTCTGAAGACAACGCGCTTGCAATTCACCAACATGTGGAAGTGCGAAAAAACGGAAATGTAAAGACGTGGGAATATGAAAACATGGAAATGTGCAGACGTCGTAATATGAAAACGTGGAAATGTGCAGACGTCGTAATATGAAAACGTGGAAATATAAAATTGTAGAAATATGAAAACAAAAAAAAGTAAATAAAAAATAAAAGAACAAAAAAAAAAAAAAATAATATATATTTTTTTTTTTTTTTTCGCCTGACTTGTTAAGGTAAAATGTCTAATTTTTCAAGTGACAATTCAAGTGAATATATTACAAGGTCAGGTAAGAAAAAAAGAAAAAAAAAAAAAAGCACATGTTATTTAAAAAATGATGAGGAAAAGGAGGAGGGGGAGGAGTGCGAGGGAAATCAGCATCACACAGATGGATCACTAGTAGAGAAAGAGAAGAAAAAGGGGCGAAAAAAGAAGGAAAAAAAGGAAAGTTTCCAAAATGGAGACCGTAACGCAGGATCGAATGCATGGAGAAAGGATTGCGACAGGATGAGAGAAAATGATCAGGAAAAACAAAAGGAGGAACTTGTTAAGGAAGAAAATGTAGCAGATCTATATATCCCGAATGTGAATCAAAATGAGCATTATGTCAATAATAAAAGTGGTGAAAAAAAAGAAAAAAAGAAAAAAAAGCACAAAAGGGAGAAGAGGAGAAAGGGTTATGAAGAAAGAGAAAAATCAAACTCACAGGAGGAAACAAAAAACGAAACAGAACGACAATACGAATTAGATATAAACAAATTAAATAGAAAAAAAAAAGATGTCACCAAAAATAGTGAAAAATGTATCGTTGATCAAGTTTCAATAAAAGGAAGAGACAAAGCTTGCGAAAGTTTTTCTCAGGGTGATGTTTTAAGTGAAACATATGAAGAGAATAAAAAAAAAGAGAAGAATATAAAATCAAACATGGGGTTGAAAGAAGGTAGATGTAATAACACTAGCCTCTTTAATAATAGCATCAACTTTGGCAGTGATAAAAATGAACATATTGAGGAACAATTCAACAAAGTGGATACACAAACAGACGAATCAAGCACCCAGATAAGTCAACCGAATGAGAAAGAAGCACAAAATGTAAGAAAAAATAGCAATATGTCGGAATGTGGTGAAGAGGTCAAGAAATTCGAGGGGAGGAAGGGGCAGATCCAGTTAAATGATTCTCTACAATATGAAGGAAGTTCACTTCTAGAAATGGATACCATGTATAAATTAAGGACTAGCGAAGAAAAAGAACGGAGAAAAAAAAAAAAAAAGAAAAAAAAGATGATCAGGCAAAAGGAAGTTCAAAAAAGAGCAAAAAGTGGAAAGCGGAACAAATAGGGAATGACAATGTGGATGAGACGAAGAAAGACAATGTGGAGGAAGATGAAAAAAGCAAAGTGGAGGGAGAAGAAAAAAGCAAAGTGGAGGGAGAAGAAAAAAGCAAAGTGGAGGAAGATGAAAAAAGTAAAGTGGACGAATATGAAAAAAGCAAAGTGGAGGAAGATGAAAAAAGTAAAGTGGAGGGAGAAGAAAAAAGCAAAGTGGAGGAAGATGAAAAAAGTAAAGTGGACGAATATGAAAAAAGCAAAGTGGAGGAAGATGAAAAAAGCAAAGTGGAGGGAGAAGAAAAAAGCAAAGTGGAGGAAGATGAAAAAAGTAAAGTGGACGAATATGAAAAAAGCAAAGTGAAGGAAGATGAAAAAAACAGAGAATCGTGTGTAGTAGGCCATGATGATGTACCAATAGAAGACGAGATTCAAAAAAAAGCAGAAGGAGAAACTGGGCAAATCGAAAGCATTAGCAAAGAAGAGAACAACTCATATTGGAGGGAAACATTAGAAGAAAGCTCCTTACACCAAATTTGCACTTTGAACCTCTTAAAACATCAAGGTACGAAAGGAATACCACTGTATGTTAAATATTAAGTGGTGAATTAAGATGCACAAAATACACACAGATAAATAATAAAATTACGCAATTAAGCAGTTGCATCAGTATTTAAGTACACACGGGGTGTGATTACATGTTTAGACTAGTCCAAAAATGGGAAGCCATCCTTCAATGGAAGCAAAAAAATCAAAAAAAAAAAAAAAAAAAAAAATTATCACAACTTTTTTTTTTTATTTTTACTTCTTTTTCATTTTTACTTCTTTTTCATTTTTACTTCTTTTTCATTTTTACTTCTTTTTCCTTTTTACTTCTTTTTCATTTTTACTTCTTTTTCATTTTTACTTCTTTTTCATTTTTACTTCTTTTTCATTTTTACTTCTTTTTCATTTACTTCTTTTTCCTTTTTACTTCTTTTTCATTTTTACTTCTTTTTCCTTTTTACTACTTTCTTCTTCTTTTTTTTTTTCTCTCCCCTTACCCCGCTGTCTCTTCCCCCCATTATTAGAAACGTACGAAAGCAAAGTATGCGTTGCGAACTCAATTCATGACATATCTAGCCCCACATCTGAGAACGAGGAAAATACAGAAGGGAGTTACAGTGATGAAACGGTTAACTACAATAAAAATAAGAAAACATTTAACCTGCTGTCATATATCGAAAATGGAATTAAAAATTATATAAATTTACTAAAAGAAGAAAATGTGGAAATTTACGAGAGAAAATGTATTAAAGAAATTATAACATTTCATAAGTTAAAATTAAAATATTTGAAAAAAAAAAAAAAAAGTCTTCAACAAAATACAAATGTGCAGAATTCTGAACCAGGTTATGGATCTCCAACATTTCACAGCACTTCTGAGGAAGATAAAGAAGAAATAATTAAAAATTTTGATCGATTCAATTCTTTAACTAGTGGAAAATCGGACGAAAATAGTGACATTGTTACTATTGCTCATAAGAAAGATATATATAAAAAAAAAAATAAGAGTAACAATAATATAGACACGAAAAACAAATCGCATAAAACTATGAAATCCCTAACGAAGCAATCAAACGGAGAGAAAAAAAATAACCACCCTACTAATTCTACATTAATAAATAAAAAAAAGAAAGAAATTCATAGAAATTCAGAAGAACTGGATTCCCTCTATAAATCTTACATTACCACTTTGAACGTCACGCAAATGACACATGAGTTAAATAAAGTCACTAACGCAACACAAGAGAAACGAGAATCAGAACTAACAAATAATGACATAGATATAAAAAAAGAATACCCAGATGCATTGAATGTAGATATCGATGCACAAAATGTAAACCAGGAAAGAGGAGAAGGAGAAGCAAATAAAAACATCTTTGAAGCTATATTCCACTTTTATATAAAAGATAAAGAAAAAGAAACTAGGAAACAAAAGTCAGAATTAGAAATGAAAAAAAGTGATGGTGATGAAGCAAGCTGTGCCACCAAAGGTATGGATATTGAATCGTTTTTAAATTTTGCAAAACATTACAAAATTATAAAAAGTTTATTAACAAAAAGCGAATTAGAAAAAATTTTTTTAAATGAAAGTAAAGGAAATCCGTATATTCAAGCAAAACATTTCCAAAAAGTTTTAATGACATGTGCTCAAATAGCATTTACTAAACCTCCACATAAGGTTAATTTCACAGATACTAAAAAAATATATAACTCTTTGATATTATGGCTTAGCAACAATTCACCTGAACAACAAAAAAAAATTATTTCAAAGAATTTCCCTCTAACACACTCTTCCAGCTCATGGGAAAATAGTAAAACAACCGAATCTCAAAAATTTGATTCGAAAAACACTGCTTTCAGAAATAAACAATATTCCATTTCTGTAAAGGATAAAAACAAAAAAAAAAAAACAAATGACATTGCATTAATGAATTCACAAAAATTAGATATATCATCCAAAAAATCAGAAAAGCCAAAGCTTTTTCGTTACAACACAAATCTCAATTTGCGCAAGTAGTAAACCGTGGGGGAAAAAAAAAGGCTTTCATATATTTTTTTTTTTTCTTCTTTAAAAAAAAAAAAAAAAAAAAATTCACAGTCTATTTTTTAAGCCATTACACACATTCTCTCCCCCACACTCCCCACCCCCATTGTAGGACAATTTTTTTATTTGTCAAAATTATTAAAAAATTCGTGCCTTCATACGTTATAAGTTAAATAAGTATATTTGCCTCCATTTTCAAGAACTGCTATTTTTTTTTGTATTCCGAATTTTTTTTTTTTTTTTTTTTCATCTTTTCATTTTTTTCCGTTAAAGTGAAAATTTCCATTCCTCCCCCCCATCATCCTCACAGTATATTTTTTTTTTTTTTTTTTTGTAGTGCCATCTTTTTGCTTTGCACCGATGTGGAGAATAAATTTCTTTTCTCTTCTTTTATTTTTTTGAATGTAACAAATTTGCATAGCTCACTTATTTTCCCAAACATATAACACAACTTGACAACAACGTAATTGCTGCGTGGTACAGTTTCCATTGTGAATCACAACGAACGAATTTTCACTTTTACAATGGAACAATTAACAAGGAATTATAATTACTCAAAATGCAAAAGCTTAATTATCAAAAAAAAAAAAAAAAAAAAAATATAACATCATATTATAACTTTTTTGAGCGGTTTAAAAACATTCGTTTGAACAGACGAATACATAAAAGTGAGATCAAAGGAAGGAACAAAAAATTGCGTAAATTTAAGAGGTATTTAAAATGGATACATATAATGTAGCAATGAGGTGGTACTAACATATATGCGATTATTACACTTTATGATCCAACAAAATATGGTATCTACAGAAAGTATGAAACAAATTTGGATTTGTGTCCACAAAAAAAAAAAAAAAAAAAAAAAAAAATTATCTTTCTTGTAACTTGCTTACATTGTCAAATGACATGCGCTCCTCTATGATGACCTTGTCTATAATTGCAAAGAGAAGGGGATATCTCATTTTGTGTGCGTATGCGTGTGCTTTTTTTTTTTTTCGCGTTCTATGTATATAGGCTTTTATTTCATTTCATTTTATTTTTTTTTTTATTATTTGGCTGAACAGTTCAGGCAAAAACACGAAAGTGAGCAAGCTGTTCTTGCCACGTTGTAGCAATTGCACAAGAAAAAACTTATTATTTTTTTTTTTTTTATTTCTTTTTGGCTCTTTTTTTTCTTTTAAATGTTAAAACCCCTTTTTTTCTGTGGTGTACCTGAATATTTATCAAAAATGGTAATCACGGCAGATTCCTGATCGGATGAAATCTGCAAAATGGGGAGAAATACATACGTATGTAATGTCGTGTATATAAATAAAATCTTGTTACCTAAAATGTTGGAATGTACAAATGTGTACATATGGATATACCTTTTTTATTTCCCCTTGATGGCCTTTATATTCTCCACGAAGAATTAAAACGTTTCTTCCAATTTTGGGTATGACTGTTTGTAGCTGCTTTGAATAGGCAAAAGTTTTTTTTTTTTTCTCACTGTTGTTCAGCTGTATTTCACATTTATTCATTTCGCTAGCTGAAACTGAAACGATGACCCCCTTACTGTTATAATACTTGTGTTTCCTATCAATTATTTTAACTATTATGTTTTCGCATAACCAAGAGTCGTCCTTATATGGGGTATTTCTATTTTCATGTTTTTTACCTTTTCCATCTTTTTCACCTTTTTCACCTTTTCCATCTTTTTCACCTTTTTCACCTTTTTCACCTTTTTCACCTTTTCCATTTTTTTCACCTTTTTCACTTTTTTCACCTTTTTCACCTTTTTCACCTTTTCCATCTTTTTCACCTTTTCCATCTTTTTCACCTTTTTCACCTTTTTCACCTTTTTCACCTTTTTCACCTTTTCCATCTTTTTCACCTTTTCCATCTTTTTCACCTTTTTCACCTTTTTCACCTTTTTCACCTTTTTCATGTTTCATTTCTGTACCTTGCATGGGGTTCATTTTCTCCTTTTTTAAATTGGAAGTACAATTTTTTTGTCTTTTTTTTTCCTCATTTTCTAGAATTAGTAATTCCAATGATGACACAGGTCTTTTCTTTGTCGTATCTTTTGTTAGTTCATTTTTCATTAAGTTTTTTTTTTCCATGTTCTGCATGTCTAACGAAGTGTCTGACGTTTTCTTTTTTTCCGCGTTGCCTTTTCTTAGTGCCTTTTCTAAAAGTATGTTAACTCCCGGTTTGGGCACATTATTATCCTTTTTTCCAATTTTAATAGACGAAATAATAATTTTTTCGTTCTGTTTTTTGTTCAATCCAGTATACTCCGATTGGATAAATTTCCCTTTTTTTTTAGCCTCTTCTATAGCTTCATTAATTTTTTTTTCTTTTAATTCTTCATAAGAATATTCTATTTTTTTTCTCTCTTCATACGCTTTTTCTTTTTCTATTTTTTCTCTATCAATATATTCTAAATACCATCCCCTTTCTGTTTGTTCAATTTTACATTTTCCTGTTTTTCCTAAATACAAAACAAAATCGGTTAGAGTAACCCAAACGGTTGCATTCATATGTATGTGTGTCTTATCACTAATCATGTTGGTATACACAGTATTGGCTAATATACGTGTTCGACAATATTTTGTTTTCATTAATCTCATAAATTCTTTTTCAAACATGGAAGAATATTCATCCATAAATTTATTTGCATCTTGGCAAAATATTTGCATTTGTCTTTGATGTGTTTCTGATAATCTATGGCACTTAAAACCATTTTCATCTCTGCATTGTTTTTCACACATTTGACAATACCATTTTAGTTTCTGAAGGCCTTTTGCCTTCATCTTATTAGCCAACCATTTTGGTGTTCCTGGTTCAGCGCGTGGCATATTGTTTTTTTTTTTTTTCCCCTCCTTTGTTTATATTTCATCAGTTCTTCATGTGGGTATCCCAATGTATGTAGTTCCTTGTTGCTGCTACTGTTGCAGTGGAGAAGCGTGTGTGCTGGTGGGGACGTTTAACTTTATTTATTTACTCAATTGATTGCTCAGTTGATGCTCAGTTGATGCTCAGTTGATGCTCAGTTGGTTGTTAAGTTGCTTATCTAGTTAGCTATTCATCTATTCAGTTTGATCTTTTTTTTTTTTTTTTTGTTTAGTAAAAAACAACGCCTATGAAGCGAAAAAAAAATATTCCACCATTGCGGATTTTCCCCTATGTGAAAACTTCAAAATGTGTTACATACAAATGTTCTCAAGGATTCCCACTTATTATGTTCAATCAAATGAAGAAAAATCCGCTGAAGCACCAAAAGGACCAAATATAAGCGCTTTATGTATGCACATAATGTGTTCACACATGTATAAATATATATATATATATTCGTATACTGAAATGGTTACGAGTTTTTCTCTTTTTCCACATCTCCCCATGTGTTACATTGTATTGTGTTATGCAATTGTAATTTTTTTGTTTTTCTTTTTTTTCAAGTGATTTTCCCCAATTTGGTACCCCATTTTGCGTTTATTTTAATCTATACACCTGTAGCTTTGCTTTGCTGTACCGTGCCAATAATGTTCCTCAGCGTTTCTCATATTATTCGAACCCGTGTCCTTATTTATTTATTTGATTGATTCATCACTTATCTGTTAACTTATCTGTTAACTTATCTGTTAACTTATCTGTTAACTTATCTGTTCACTTATTTATTACTGTTTCTTTGCCTTGCTCCACAACTTTACCACACCGCTTCTCACCTTTTTGTGATAAAATTTGATTTTTTCAGAAGCTACACGATGAAACATATGGCCTCTTTTTTTTGTGCTAAGCACGATATATCTCCTTAAAACTGAAAAAAATTGTTCAGTTCAACATTGAGTTTACTCTTCAGCAAGCTGTGGTCAGAAAAATAAATACGTGGTAAGACCAGAAAAAAAAAAAAAAAAAAAAAAAAAAAGCAAAAACTTGCACGTACAGGCGAAAGTGCTCTAATATTGCTAATTTTGGAAAAATTAAAGAAAAAAAAATTTTTTTTTTTCTGGTGTTTGTTAAAAAAGTGTATGTCCTTACTAACACGCAAATAAATTGGCACATCTATTGTAATCACCACCACCATCATCATCATAATGCACATACTTTTCTAAAAATGCTTTTTGCAAAGAATTGGCCCATTAAAATAGGGAAAAGGAAAAAAAAGCCAAATGAGCGATGGAAAATGAACTGTGAAGAAAAAAAAAAAAAAAAAAAAACGGTGTAATCACAATGTTGTATATATATAGTATTCACACAATTTAAAAAGATTTTCATAAATATGGAAATGCAGCAATTTTTGTCACATTCAACTATATATACAAAAATACACATGGGAAGGTACATAAGCATGTTAGAAGTTGACCACTTTTGTGAGTATATGATGATTGGGCAGAAAAAAAAAAAATAAAAAAAATAAAGTAGAATTAAAAACGTACCAGAGATCGTATTGCACTTCTGGAGATTATATATTATCAAATAACGTTCGTCCCACTTTGGACATTACTCCCAGACCGACCGATCGTGTTTTTAAGTTCTCACCATTTTGGATACATGGACAAAAATAAATGCTATGGAGAATACAAAGGATGGGATGCTTATGGAAAATAATGTTTCCATTTATGCTTCTAATCATGTGTGATGAAACGCTATTCGTGAGAAGTTTCACATTAAGGAGCACACCCCTGACGATGTTAAGGCATTGGGTTCATAAAACCATTCATAAGAACGGTTGTACTCATGGGGACGAAATAATACAAGTGAGTAGAAAAATGGATAATTGCTACGTAGGAAAAGAAAAAAGATGTTCAAACATGTTACGTCTTAGCAATGTTGTGGAAGTGAGGGAAGATAACAAATTAAGTGATTCCACTGTGTTAGATAAACCAGATGGTGATTCAGATATATGGGAAACTACAAGTTGTGGTGATTACCATGGTGATAGTGCCCAGACGTGCAACGATCACAGTGATAGAAGTGATAGTGGCCAGACGTGCAACGATCACAGTGACAGCAATGATAGCAGTGATAATGGGCAGACTTATAACGACCACATGGAGAGTGTAGACCTTTTCGAGAACGATTGCCTTCAACTGAAACAGTGGTACTCAGGAGAACGGGTGAAAGAAAAATGGAAAGAAAAACACATTGAAAATGTTCGAAGTAACTACGAAAAGGTTTTATTAAATAATAAATATAACGAACTATTTAACATGTACAGAAATATAAAAAAAAATAATGTGGAAAATTATAAAAAAAGAGTTAAAACAAATAGAATCAATCCAGTAATATATGTTAAAAAAAGACTAGTATCAGCAACAGCAAAATATATCAAAATGTCATTTATCAAAACCAGGAAAATATTATGGAAAATTAGATATATGCCCATAATTAAGGCATTTGCATTTTTGTACTACTATGGTACAAACAAATACACAGTAAATATATACAAGTGTATCAAGTCTTGTCTATTTAATGCTATTAATAAATATGGAAAAAATAATATCAAACCAGTTTTTCACACCCTTCAAGCCAATATGGGTGGATATACAAAAAAAATTAATATTAGAGCAAAGGGAAAAACAGACATTATACGCGAACCGCATACGCATATACGGGTTGTTTTAGAAGTGTGATAAAATGGAGTACAAAAAAAAAAAAAAAAAAAAAAAAAATAGGTTATATTTATGAGGAAGTGGGAAGAAGGAAAAATAGTCCATTCAGCCCATTTTCTTCTGTTTGAATCCACAGCAGATATATCAGGTTATACCACACTTAATATCGTGTGAAGTTACACCGCATACATACCCCAACCCCACATATCATGCTTACTTCCCCATCTTGGAATACACATCGATGGCCTTACTTCTAGACCAGTTGTGTATATCCAAAATTTGTTTCATTAAATCCTCGCAGTTTTCCTCAACTTTCTGAGGATTGAAAGATTCGAGAACACTTGATATGATCGTGGAAATGTCAAAATAACCAATCATGTTTTTTAAAAAAAAATTATTGGCTACTTCATTAGCAGCATTTAAAACAGTGGGATAGAAATTCCCTTTTTTCCCTGCAGTATATGCTAATTTGATGCATGGGAAATGATCCAACGAAGGTTTGTGAAAAGTAAGAGGAGATACATTAGCAAGATTTAATGATGGTAAATCTGTTTTTATTCTATTAGGCCAGGTTAGTGCATAAAGGATTGGTATTTTCATATCCGGATAATACATTTGACTTATAACAGATTTATCTACAAATTCAACACATGAATGTATTATACATTCTTTATGTACAACGATTTCAATATTCTCATAATTCACATCGAATAAGAAATGAGCTTCAATGACTTCTAATCCTTTATTCATCATGGTTGCTGAATCGATTGTTATTTTTTGTCCCATTTTCCATTTTGGGTGTTTTAAAGCATCTTGTGATGTTACATTTTTTAGACAATCAAGAGAAAAATTTTGAAAAGGACCACCAGAAGAACATAAGAAAATTTTATTTATCTCATTTACTTTGCAAAATCCATCCTGCAAACACTTTGTTTTTAACACTTTATTATTATCTAAGCATTGAAATATGGCACTATGTTCTGAATCCACTGGAATGATAGTAGAATTCTTATGAACTGTTAATAATTTTTTCAAAAAAAATCCAGCGGATACAATTGATTCTTTATTGGCTAGTGCAATTATTTTATTATTTTTTATTGCATATATAGTTGAATATAATCCCTGGAAGGAATCGATCCCAATGACAATTTTATCTATTGTGCTATTTTTACATATTTCTTTCATCCCTTCATTACCCATTAGTATTATTGGATTGTAATTTCTTACATTCTGCAATAACATTTTTATTTCTTCATATTTAGTTTCATCATGTATGCATACATATCTTGGTAAAAACTCCTGTACCTGTTCATACAATTTGTGAACATTTTTATTAACATACAAGGCTTCAACATTAAAACGTTTTTCTGTCTTATTACATTCCCTTATAATGTTTAGGGTGTTTATCCCTATACTACCAGTACTACCAAAAATAGCTACATTAATAACTTTTTTATTTTTATTAATATCTGTAAAATTATACTCCTTACATAATTTTATTTTTTCACAATGCTTCATCTGTTTCATTCCATTATTCTCTATGCTCTGATTTTTCAAACTTATTATATAAGCCTTTTTTCTTCCATGTTGCAATTCCCTTCTCCTCTCAGCAATTGTCGGTGCGTGCAGAGACATGCCATTATGTTCTCTCATCGATACAGACATGGATATGCACACATACATGAGCAAGTACATAAGCACTGACAGGTGTGCAGTGCGAAAAAATACTGATAGCTTCATTTATTTTCCCCCCTCTTTTTCTCTCTTTTTTTTTTTTTTTTTTTTAATTACACTGTTGTGATGTGTTATATTTTTTTGCTGAATCTACAAATATAAAAGTAGAAGAGTAATATTATTAGGGAGTCCTCGAACTTGTTTTGTGTGCATACTGTTAAATGACATGAAAGAGAAAAACATTTCGATCATTCGAATCTAAGGTATTGGTTACATAGGAATGACCCTTTGAATACATCTTTGAAATCATATCTTTGTCCACACTTTTTTTGCCCATTTCTAAATGTTAGCTGTAAAGCAGTGAACCATCAAATGGTTCGTTAAAGAGTCGTGTAAAGAAAAAAAAAAAAAATTCACGTGGAGTTTGAAGTTCTATTAGGGCCTAACGTTACATTCATAAATACTAAGGTAAATCATTTCTCACAAAATTTTTTTTTTTTTTTTTTTTCACCTATCTTTCTAGCCCTAAACTAAGAGATGTGATGGAACGCGCATGTGATCTGCCTAAATATAAGAATGTGTCATTGTGCTTTTTCATAACCCTAAAAGGTAAAAGGCTGTTTATAATATAATGTATATTTCTCTTTTCTGATTTAGAAGAAAATGTTTGCGAATAGTACATTCATGGATTCGTCAAAATTGTAGGGAGTGACTAGCAAATGATTTTTTATTACCCTAGTTCTACAAGTTTGTCAGTTGATACATAAAATAGATACTTTATACAAAAAAAAAAAAAAAAAAAAAAAAGAAAGAAAGAACAAACGAACGAATGAAAGAAAGAAAAAAAAAATTTAGGACCTTTAACCATCATTCTCCATTTTTTATAAAAGTGACTTTCTCGTCGTTATGCAACGTTCCTAATGTTTTTCTTCTATTTTTCATCTAGTGCACCTACAGAATATGGTAGAATATTTTTTTCCATTGCCTTGAAGTAATCACAAGGGTGTCACCAAAGGCTATTTCCTCTTTTAAATGCGTGACATGCGTGTTTTTATCTACATGTTTTTAATTGGCTCCACTACCCATCAATGCAGTGAAAAATAAAAAAAAGAAGCACTTTGCCTGTAAAATTAAAGATTTTTTTCAAAAATGTCTCTTTTTCAGAATTTCTCAGAAACAGGCGGAGCCTCCATGATACAACAAAAGCAACGGTGTATGTAAAGTGACAAAGGGTATTGTGCACAGACTAATACAAAAAATGTGCAAAAAATCAAATGCGACAACAAAGGGGAACACTGGTGCATCAAACCCTTTCCAAAGGGGGTCATCACAGGGCTCATGAATTTATGTATTTGTAATTATGTATTTGTAATTATGTATTTGTAATTATGTATTTGTAATTATGTATTTGTAATTATGTATTTATACTTATGTATTTATACTTATGTATTTATACTTATATATTTGTACTTATGTATTTATACTTATGTATTTGTATTTATACATATGCACGCACACAGATCTAGACGAGCACCCATGCATGGGTATGTAATCTCCCAGAGAAAAAAGGATCCTTTACAGGAAAGGACACTTGTAAAAAAGCGTGGATCGTGGATCATCACCACCTTGCACGTATCATACATATCACACATGTAAATGAACCTCACACGAAATGTAAATAGACAGATAATATGATCACTGCCTTTGTAGGAGTTTCCACAAATAGGAGATCAACCATATTTTCCGGAAAAAATCACTTTCAAAAAATTAGAAGCAAATAAATATATAAAAAAAATATGGGGCTAACCAAAGAATTTGTCATAAGCTGAATAAAAAAAAAAAAAAAAAAAAAAATTGGCTAGCCAACGGATTTTTCACGAATTGAAAAAAAAAAAAAAAAAAAAAAAAATTTGGCTAGCCAAAATGAGAACAGAAAAGACCCTATATCACACCTTCAATCAGAAAAAATCGCAGAAAATAATACAGGTGCTATTAATATACTGTGATACAGAAGGAAAAAGAGAAGGAAATACACCATTGTCTAAATTCTGATATAACTTTTCCTCCGAAAAGTTTTTTCTATTACTAAATAGATTTGTCATTATATCAATTTGGCTATTGCTATTTTCGTAAAATCGTCTAGTTCCAGATCCAGTTAAAAGTAAAGGATACGTTAGATGGGCATTAACCGATATGATTGGAGAGTACTTATTGATTAACTGTTTATGGATTAATTGGTTATCATCAATGTTGTATACATTTAGATAACCAAATGTATCACCACTTACGAGAAAATTCTGATATATGTCAAATAAATATTTCTGATTTGTTAAGGCAAGTCTTTCAAATTTTTGTACATAATCTGTGCTATTTCTCATATCAAAAAGGTAAATATGTGATCCATTTCTGCTACCACTTAATAGGGAAAATTCATCAAACCATTTAATACATGTTATTCCATTGGAATTTTTTTTTTTATTTTGAAATTTTAAAATGTAATCATTTTTATGATCACAATTATCTGCATAGAGATATAAACAATCATTATAATCCCCAACTGCATATATAGAATTTTCTCCATATCCTTTTTTTTTATATTCCATGGTTGATATAATTCCCTTTTGTCCCTTCCCTTTTCTTGTACTTAAAATTCGATTTTCTAAAATTTCACTCGGTTTACAAAAATCAAAAACTTTAATTGATTTCGCGTTCGTACCACATAATAACCAATTCCTCTCAGGATGGAAACATAACGAATAACAGTTACATAATTCATAACAATCGTTTAATGTTTTAAACGACATTAAAATAGACCCATCATATGCACTGTGTAAACACACCGGCTTATTTTTTGCACACACTGCAAAAAAGCATGTATTCCTGTTGTTCCATTCAAAAAATGGATAAAATTTACAGTCATAAATATGTTCGCTATATTGTATACTGATCCAGCTACTGTTTCTTTTTCCTTTTTCTTCATTGTTCATATTTTCATATTGATCATACAATATATTTAAGTTTATTCTCTCCTCTTTATGATTATCTAAAAAATCTAATAGTAACAAATCCGTTGCAAATAAACGCAAATAGTTGCTACTCGAAATAGTGTAATAGCAGTTCCCATCTCTGTTAAATTCACATTGCTTTAAAAATTCGTTTTTTCTTTTTATTCTTTTTCCCTTCTTTGGATGAATTCTAACACTCCCCATTTTATCTGACAGACTTTCTTCACTAGATTCGTTATTTATATTTTTTCCAAAAGTATTACATCCACACTTCTCATAACTCTCTTCGACGTCGTCCTTCTTCCCCTGATTTCCTACATCGTAGTAACTATCTCTAGTCAGGGTGTCTGTTTCATCATTATTGTTAACATCATCAATGTCATCACACGATGACGTATCACCATTGATGTAGTGCAAATCCTTTGATTCATTAAATGTGTCAATTTGTTCATAATCAAAGTTGTAAAAATCTGCATACGGCATTTCGTGTATAATATAGAGCCTTTTCTTGTTTATACAATTTTCTCTTCCTTGATGAATTTCATTTTCTTTTTTATCGCTCTTGTGCATTTGTTCCTCCTCCATTTTTTGTGCCCGTTCGTCTATATGCATGTGTTACACCTTTGTCTGTCTGTATGTGTGTGTATCTTTGCAAGTTGAGTGCTTCGTTTTTGCTAATTAATTATGTACATGAGGTGAGAGCATTTTGTGTTGGCCCTGAATCAATGTTTCCAAATGTGCGTTACTATTTCCTACGTAAATTATTCTTTTTATTTTGTTTTTACACCCCCTCCCCTCCATCTCCTTCATATTATTCTTATCAAAAAACTTTTTTGATATCAAATTGTCACTACAACTCAAAAATAAAACAAAATAAAGTCCCTTTTTTTTCTTTTTTTTTTTTTTTTTTTTTTTTTTACTCTTGAAAATGAGTAAATCTCCCAATTTGTTCTAATTCCACGAAACTGTAGTTCTACTTGTGAACAAGTTTTTTTTTAAAAAAAATAAAAAATAAATAAAAGGGCTTTTAAAATTTTTTACAAAAAAAAGGAGACAGTTTTTTTTGTGGGGTGTAATAATATTAACAGTATTCGTTCTATATTACAAACGCTTTTATTTTTTACGTGCACATAATGTTGTGTTTGTATTTGGTAGGGCATGTATTTTATTATGATTCTTATTCTGAGATTGTGTGTCCCTTACTTCAACCTCATTTATGAAAATGCTCGAATGTCAATTTTACTTTTTTAAGAAAATATAATTGGGTAAGGCCTTTTTGCCTTTCTTTCCTCTTTTTTGTTCATTCATTCCTCTTCTATGTTTATTCGTTTTTTTTTCAATTGTTCATTCTTCTCAATTGTTTTATTTATTTATTTTTTTTTTTTTTGGAGAGATTCTATCTCATTTTGTTGCTCCATCGCTTTGTCATTTTTTTTTTTTTTTTCCCTATTTCTCCCCCTTTGAATATGGCAAAATAAAATAAGCAAAATAAAATAAAAAAAAAAAAAGTATATAACCTTCCTGTGCCCATTAGCATATATAAAGCATTGCAAAGGCATGAAAAAAAAAAAAAAAAAAAAAAAACTTTTATTAATGTGCATAAAAGTAGAAACATCAAAAGTAATATAATGCAAAATGAAGGAAAAGGAAGAAAAAGAAAAAATGTGTCTCTTATTGTCACTTCTCCACATGAAGTGTTACAAAGAAAGGATGAAAAAATTTTCAATCCTAGTGGAAAAGAAGAAAATAACGAAAAGGTAATGGAGAAGAACCCACCCTCTTTCCCCCAAAAAAAAAGCAGAATCGATAAAGAAGAAAAAAAGAAAGATAGTAACTTCTTAGTAAATATATCTTATGTGTATCTTTTAATAAAATATTTTTTTGACAATAACAACGTCACCATTTTAAATGAAAGTTTTTACCTTCAAGAAAATGTGCTAACTATAACAGAATCTCTAATTGGACATATTCTATGGGTATACGATAAAAAAAAAAAAATACTATATGGATCCAGAATAACAGAATTAGAAGCCTACAATGGGATTAAAGACAAAGCATCACATGCATATAATAATAAAAAAACAAATAGAAATAAAACCATGTTTCAAAAGGGTGGAATTAGTTATGTTTACTTGTGCTATGGGATACACAACTGCCTGAACATAGTTACCAACTACGAAAATATTCCAGATGCTATTCTAGTAAGAGCGCTTGAACCGATTTACAACATCGAGCATTTCTTATTTAACAGATATGAAACAAGTCCCCATTCGTCCCTTCTGAAAAAAAGTGTTTCTCTTCGCAAGGGTGCATGTATCACCCGGGCAGACCGTGCGCAAGAGGAGGAAAAGGCAGATACTAGCACAATCGAAGGTGCTAACACTATCGGTGCTGACACTATCCGGGATGACACTGTCCAAGGTGCACATGTACGCACGAGGAGAAGGGGAAAAAATATGCAACACAGGAATAATTTCATGAATGAAGAGAAAAAGCAAAATGCGATTGACAAATTAAAAGAAAAATTTAAAACGATAAATAAAAAAAAATTAGAAAAAGTATGTAGTGGCCCAGGGTGTGTAACCAAATGTTTAGGAATCACCCGAGAAGACGATAAGGCAAATTTCTACGTAAATCCACATTTCCATTCTAATACAGAAACAGGGCCCAGTTTGACAAAGGGAGAACTACATCTGGATGAATCCAACATAAGGGAATTCAACTTCCCACATGAGGAGGATACTGGTACCGAAACAGGTAGCAATTATCCAAGCGATGATGGTGAAATAAAAAAAAAAAAAAAAATTAAAAATAATCGCAATAATGTGATGAAAAAATCAGGTGAAATGGAATATTCAGGAATTGAAAATGAAAAGATAAATCCATATCATTACTTTTCTTGCAATATAAACGATTTACAAAAAAATAGATTTTTTATTAGCTTATGTCCAACCATAAATGAGGTCATAAATTTTTACGAAACATTAATTTCAAAAAAGAAAGAAAAAGAAAACATCATACGATGCATTTACAGTGAATATAAGTTGCACTTATTGAACTATTTTGACCATATGAAATGGAACAGGGATACAATAATCATACAAAGGGACAAACGAATAGGAGTTGCTTATGCTGAAGAGGCTGCAATGTATGATTATCGGTTTTTGTTAAAAAATCATCCGTCCATTTCGGTTCACCCCAAGTGATGTCACGTCTCATCCATACATATATCTAGCTATCTATCCACATGCCTATCTAGCTATCGACCTATCTGTGTAGATCTTTCGTGCAAGACACCTGCTTGCAATTATCAGCATGTGATCCCGTGTGACATCATTAATTCGCGCGTATGTTCTACCGACCATTCCCACTTACCCCCACCAAAAAAAAAAAAAAAAAAAAAAAAAACATGCACACATTTCCATGATGAAATAAATAATTCTACAAAAGAATCACCATGAATAAGCATAAGCAAATATGATAAAATTCTTCACACAAACGTGTGTCTCTATGTATCTGTATGTATGAGTGTTAACACTTCTACTTGATGATATTACAAAAATTTAGTTTAAAAAAAAAAAAAAAAAAAATTCACCTCATTGCATAGCGGATAAAAAAAAAAAAAAAAAAAAAAAAAAAGGAAAATGTGGGTTGCAGCCCCCACCCTGCCACGCTTTCTCGTGATGATTCTACTCAGACGTATGAAGAATCACAACTCTTTTTCGACATCGATACTTGAAAAAGTTTACAGTTTTTGGTATAACATTTTTGTAAGATAATAATATGATCCCTATGAGAATAAGGAGGAAACCGAATGCCCAAAAATACATACAGGAAGGTCTTTCCTGCGGGAGAAAAAAAGAAAGGTCGAGAGGGGGAAGAGATGTAATTATGGATCTAATTGGTGGCGCTATATTACAAGCACAGAAATTGAAATTCATATGTAAAGATAAAAAAAAAAAAAGAAGAGAAGAGAAAAACTTGTACATCGTGTGCATTACGTCGAAAATGATCATCCCGTTGAGTGCATTAAAAGATATGTTTCCGAAACTTTTTAACGACACTATATGAGTTAACTTGTAGTGTTTTAACAAATAGGGAGTGTATAAAATTTCTGTAATTGAACACACAATTGTCAGTACAATGAGCACTACTACTTTGTAATTAAGAAAAAAATCACGCAATGTCAATTTGTCGTTTAGGAGAACAGACACGAGTCCAATAAATGTCGCTTTGGAAAAAATTGTTGCCATCGATCCCATGGTTCCTGAAAACACAGGGGAAAAGAAAAAGAAGAAAAAAAAAAAAAAAGAAGAAGCATTGCTCCTCTGCTTTCGATTCTTTTTTCTGTCTATGTGCTGTTCTCTTATACCCAATTTGTCGTCAGAGAGTCCAACAGATCTATCACTACTGCCTATGGCAGCACCGTTTTTCCTCAAATGCCTCAATGAAAGAAGCACAATCAAATACGAAAATAACATCTCGCAGGTCAGTAAAACAATGGATTCAGTTTTTAAAAACAAATTGAAAACGGAATCTAAGTCTTTAAAGTTATTGCTACTGGAGGAAAATATGGTGACAATTGTTAGACCCGCAGTAGAAAAAGGAATTCCTACATATAAATAAAATGGTTGATTTTCTTTTAAAACAAACTTTTCCAACAGTAAGGAACATATGAGTCTGATACTGACAAAACCAACCATTGATGTTGGAAGACATATATTGCTGAATATGTTCAAAGCAGGTGCCAAAAAACTTGTAAGAATTATCCCAAGATAAAAGTAAAAGTAACTTTGTTTTTTGATATCCAAGGTGGGATATTCACTATTGTAACAAGAATTTGAAGTGATGAGAGTTGGACAATTATCATGTTCATTTCCTTGTTCTATTTTGAAAGTAGAACATCGCGTAATTTCTTCCTCGTCACTATATTTTACCTTTCCCAAAAATATCCTTTTTAATCCTTTATTTTTATTTTTTCCAAAAGATGTTGTATTATACATATCCTCATGGTGCATAGAACCCGTGCTGAAACTATATAGTCTATCAGTTAACCTATCCGATGGAAAAGAGGAATAATACATTTTATAAACATTTGATAAATCACCATTTATGCTGTCACTTTTTAACATTTTAAGATTTTTTTTATGAATAATATTCATTATGTTCTTATTTTTTTTTTTCTTCCCATAACGGAAATATAACATATTCTTCTTATTCTTATGAGACTGTGTACATACTTCCTCCACCTTACGCTTACACAGTTTATTTGAAATATTCTCTGTAAAATGGATAGGTAAATGTGATCTGAAATCATGAGAAGAAGAAATTCGACACACAGAACCTTTCTCCTTATAACTGTCCTTGCCATTTAAAACATGCAACAAGTTTTTGTTTTTCCTACAACTTTTTCTATTGCTCGATGGGTTATACACGTGGTTCCATTTTCTTATTCTTTTTCCATATAGGTAAAAATAGCTAGCTCTCTTTTCCAACTTTAAGGCAACAGGACGAGGCGACCTTTTCAAGGAGCACAAAAATTTCTCTTTTCGTTTTGATTTTTTATTTATTTCTCTTGCGATCAAATTGCAACCTTTAGCTGATTTTTTTCCCTCACACGAGTAAGAACTAACTGGGGAGGTAATATCCAACATTTCTTTTTTGCATTCAGAATATGTGTCATAATTATTTTTCATGCTGTTAATATGATATTTCTCTTTATTTTTTTTTATTTCTTTGAATTCTTGCCCTGTGACATTTGCTTGTCTTATATAAGCAGCTTCATCATGAGTTATTTTTTTTACTTGTCCTTGTTCATTACATGGAAGAGAGCAGAAAGTCGATTCCAAATTGCTAATGTCTGAATTTCTGAAATTTGAGGTTAATGGTTTTTCCATAAAGTTATTATCCACATCGACCCCTCGTGCTCCCATTTCTCCACCACTGCTACATTCCTCGTAAGAATTTTCCATATCATCAGTACATGAACAATTAATATCTCCCTTGTATATCCTACCTCTGTGAAACCCTTGAATCCATTTTTTCTCTCCGTGATTGCATTTTTTTGCGTTTCCCTTTCTGTAACATATGTGTTCACTAATTTGTAGACTCCGAATCGAAATGTTTAAAAAAGAGTATCTTTTTTTTATCTTACGTTTTTTATTTTTTCTCTCGCTTCCAATTTCTCTCTCTCTTTTGGTTTCGTTTTTTTTGTTTTTTTTGATTTTTCTTTTTCCCCCACCTGTTTTACTCCTTTCAGTTTCTCTGCCATGTGTGTCATGTCTTCCTACCGATTGCTCCCTATCATGTCCAGCCTCCTGTTCTATAAGTTTTTCATATTTTGAATAAATGATGTGACTTTTCTTGATAAGTGTATTTCCAACTGATTCTATGATCGAAACAATTGTACTCAAACATACCCCAATGACATGAACCCACGAGGAATCCATAGACACGGTTCATTTCAAATTGTAGCTAGCTAGTCTTTTTCTTCTTTATTCCACATGGAATGCCCAAAGATTCGAAACAGATGAACTATTCCTTAGATAGGAACTAAAGTTATCAGAACAAATTTGGTCCAAGTTTTTATTCTTTGTCGCCTTTTTCTACCACTTTTACACAATTTGCTCATTTTTGAATGAAAAAAAAAAAAAAAAAATGCACCCGTATAACGAAAATGATGAAATTGTTCCTTTCCCTTCAATACAAAAATTAGAAAAAAGAGCAAAGAGGTGTTATAGAAAAAGGGTCTCCCCTCCGATAAAAAACAAAGCGAAGCAAAAAAAAAAAAAAAAAAAAAAAAAAAGACTGACAGAAATTTCCACCACAAATTTTAAAAAAATTTTTTTTATTGAACACCTTACAAGTGTTACATATACATGTATGTACCCATATATGTGCATAACTCGTTATATATTTATTTTTTTCGCCCATCTATAGGAGTACTAACAATGCAAAATAGCCCATTTTACTGACATACGTTTTTGTTTATGTACAAATAGATTATTATAAAATCCTTGTCCAATTTTTTTTTTTTTTTTTTTCTTTACATTCATAAGATTCTACATAATTATAAAGCTTTACATTTTGACTCGATATTAACAATTTGAAAAATTACCTGACTTGTTCAGAATTTTATCCTTTTGTCCTGTTCATAATATTAAAGTTTTTTTTTTTTTTTTTTTTTTTAGCTCAATATTTTCTTTTGGAACACCAATTTTATCGTTTTTAAAAATTAGAAAAGGAAATGGCAAATCTGTATTACTTTATTTTACTCCATTTAAGACTATTTTTCTTTATTTCACTTATCCCTATTTTGCCTTTCTCTTTTTTTTATACACATTTCACATTAAGATATACTGTTTTTTTAAGCGTAAATAACTATAATTCACTAAGAAAAGAAAGAAAAGACTTTTTAAAAGTGAATACAATTTTTGTGTGCATTAAAATAAAACAAAAAAAAAAAAAAAGGAAAAAGGAAAAAGCCAATAAGGCAAAAGAACAAAACAAATCAAAATTACATGGCATGATATGATACAAAATAAATGAACTCAAATAAAGCAAAATTAATTAAATTTTTAAAACTATTACAAAAAAAAAATGCACAAAAATGGGACACACTGTATTTTTCTTGTGTAGACATCAATTGTTGTTCTCTTCTCTTTTCTCTCAGACAGCATGCAGACCATGGGTAGTCATATGGAATATGCATACAAGCTTCGTGTTATGTAAAAATATATACTCTTAGAAGAAAATTACAAGACTCGTGTTTTACACTTTATTATCAGCGTTTTGTCCCTGTACCCCCACTACTGTTTGGACATTTACCTTGTGTTTCCTTTCTTATTTTTAGTGCATTATTATTTTTTTTTTTACTCATTTTTAATCTGTTATTATTATTATTATTATTTTATTTTTTTTTTTTTTACTATATTATTATCCTTATTTTATGATTTTACGTTATTTTTTTTTTTTTTTACATTTCTTCCACTTCAAAACTTTCCAGGTCGATTTTTTCATTCCATACGTCATCGTTTACTTGCGCGTCTTCGTCGGATGAACTGGGCTGAGACTTTTTCTGATCTTTCACAATTTCTTTTTCCTCGTCTTTTGTGTTACCATATGGTGGCAGGTTATCAGAACACAAAATATTTGACATCTCCGTCTTGTAAGCAATAAAATCATGTACCTTTGAAGTTTTCACAGATGAGGGTACCGCTTGTATTAATTCGCTATAATTTAACGTGTCATCAAAACCCTTCATTTTTGTATGGCCTATACTATTTTTATTTATTATTATATCATTAATTGGATTTAAACTGAAGCTGTGACAGTTACTTATGCCTGTATTCTCTTGATATATAAGTTTCTTACTATGTTCATGCATAGTTGATGATTCTTCGTGTGGTTTGTTACTGAATATGTGCATGGGAACAAAGGCATTTTCACCTGAATTAACATTTTTCAAATTTTGGTCTTTTTCTTTTATTTTATTAGCTTCTTTTTTTTTACTCATATCAAATAAATCCTTAATTCTATTTTCTGTGTTTACATAAAATTGAGAAACCTGCTGTACATTCAAAATATCACTTTTGCTGCCTGCCTTGTTCAGATTTTTTTTACCCATGAAAAGGTCCATGTATCTGTTGTTATTTTCAGTCTTTGTTTCCTCTTTCAAATGTTCAAAGTGCTTTACTTCAATAGTTGGATCTCTGCTCAAAGATGGGAAGATTATATCCTGTTTTCGTGTCTCAGTAATTTGCTGTTTTTGTGCCTCAATAATTTCCTGTTTTTGTGCCTCAATAATTTCCCGTTTTTGTGCCTCAATAATTTCCTGTTTTTGTGCCTCAACAATTTCCTCGTTTAGTGCCTCAGAATCGCCTGACTGTTCAGAATTATTTTTTATCCCCATTTCATTTTTACACTTCTGATCACTGATAAAATTAGGTATTCGGTTCATATTCATGTAAATAAAATTCTTGGCAAATCCCGTGACATCCACAAGGCTACTCTCCCCATTACTGTTACTACCAATGTTATTGTTATTAGATGAAGACGTCTGAGGAGATGTAGTAGAATCGGTATATGTAGTTGCATGTGCCATAGGATCACTACTTAAAAAATCATTCTTTAAATTGCTTCCTTTATCCACATCAGTATTCTTCTTTTCCATTGATGATGAAAAGAAAGCTTTATTTTGGAGATTCCTTTTAAGTGTATTTTCATTTATATATTTAAATGTACTTTCTAAAAAAGTAGAAGAATTTCCAATAAATCCTTTTAGCTCATTCTTTAAATTATTTTCAAATGATGCTAACTTGGAGAAATGAAGAGTTAGCTTTGGAGGTACTACTATATTTTTAACTTCTTTTAATTCAATCTGTTTTTCTAAATTATGTATATTTTCCTTCAACGCTTTAATGCTATTTTGATAACCCACAATAGAATCCTGCAAATTCTTATTAATCAATTTATATTTGTTTAACTTATAATTCTTTTCGTTTATTAGTAAATTTTTGTCTTTTAATGTGTTTAAAAGATTTTGTACTTTATGCGTGGTTTCTTCCCTCTTTTTTTTTTCATTTTCTAGTTCTTCCTTCAGGAGGAGAGATTGTTTTATGAGGTCTACATGATCTCTTGTAAGAATTTGACCAGTTTTCTTTTCTCCGTGATCACAATTATCACTGTTCCTCAACTCTTGTTGTTGTAATCCGTCGTTAATATGTGTAGAAATATATGAGCACGTTTTTTTTCCTGCTATTTTAATGTTTTCAGACAAATTTTGGTATATTTCCAACCCCATTTGTTGTCCTTTCACATATTCATGATTCCTTAACTTCTTTTCAAGTGTATCTACTTTTTTGTCATAATTCCGCATAATGTTAATAAAAAATGAACATTTCATTTTGTACAGTTTTAAACAAATAGCTGAGTTATTAATTTCTGTTAAGAAAAGCTTTATTTTATTTTTCAATTCTTCTTTTTGATTTTTTTCAGATTCTAATTGTTCTATTAAATTTTTATTTTTTTCAAGGGTATTTTCTAAATAATTTTTCATTTCATATATATCATAGCTGTATTTTTCAATGCTTTTTAACTTTTCCTGTAGATATAATAAATCTTTTTTTAAAATATCATTTTCATTTTCCATTTTTCCTTTTTCATTTTTCAATAATTCGATCATTTTACAATTCTTATTATTTTCAGTTAATAAATTATCAATTCTGTTACTTTGTTCTTGTATTTTTTCATACTTTATAGAACTTTCTTTTTCATTCATTTGTAAATTCGATTTTAGCATGTGTATATTTTGTTCATTTTCTTCTTCTTTCATTTTTAAATATGTGCATTCTTCATTTAGTTCTTTATTTATATTTATAAGCTGTGTTTTTTCTCTTTCTTTATCATTTAATTCTTGTTGCAAGTGAACAATTTTATTTTCTAAACTTTCAATTTGCATTTTAAACATCAATTCCTCATTTCTCTTTTCTTGTTCCATAACATTTCGTATATTATTTTCCTTGTGTATAAAATTAAATTCAAATTCATCTATTTCTTTTTTGTATTGTTCGATTTTCTTTTCCAAATCTTGTATGATCATTTTTTTTTCCACTACATCTTTTTCTATCCTTTCCACGTATTCTTTCATTTCTTCTTCTTTTTGTTTCATAAAATTGTCTTTCTCTTCCAATACTTGGTTTAACTTTTCAAATTTTGTCTCATACTCATAGCATTTATTACTAATTTGTTTATATTGCGCTTTAGCTTGTTCATAATTTTCTTTGTTCTTTATATTCTCCTCTTTCATTTCATTGAAGGTTCTTTCGTATGTCTTCAGTTTTTTTTCAAGTTGTTCATTTTGACTTTTCAATCTATCTTGACAGATTATATGTTCTTTGTTCCTCTGTCCATACAAATCAAGTTTGTTTTTTAAATCCTCGCATTGATTCCTTAGCTGTATAATAATAGTCTTTTCCTCTTCATTTTTTTCCATTTTTAGCTCACTTTTCCACTTTTCTTCTGATGTTGCTGATTTTCCTTCTGGCGCTTCCCCATGATACATTGCTACTTCTTTCTCCATCTTTTCATCATTGCTATCTTTTGGCATTCCTGTGTAAAGATTTTCTTCACGTGGTAGGGTATCTTCCCTACTTTTATTCTTCTGTTCGACAACATGAACAGGTAGATAATATGATAAATCAGCTTTACTACTATCCTGTTTTATGTTTTTCACTAAATTCTCATTACCTGCACTGTTCAGGTGAATTGCATTTTTTTCACATAAATTTGGGTCGTTTTTCTGGTTAATATTTTTGTCTTCACTTTCCTCTGTACATTTCTGATATGCTTCATGAGAAGAATATTTCTTCTCCATAATATTCTGTCCATTTGGATTCCCATCTGGAATATTTAAAAACAAATTGTCTTTACTTATTTCTCTTCCTGACATTGTCAAAAATTGTTCACTATCCTGGGGACTACACTTATCGATAGATTCATAATCCATTTTTCCATAAACAAAATTGACCTCCTCATTGTCATGTGTTTCTCCAATACCATTTAATAATGGTATCTTATTTTGAATACCAATTTCTTCCTCCTTTCCTATTATATTAATGTCTTCATTGTAGTATTCCACATTTTTGTAAAGTTTCTGAAAACTTTCTTTTCGATTAGTGTGATTATTCTTGAATGAGAAATTTTCAATTCCCCCTAGAGAATTTTCTAAATTATGTTTGTAGTCTATTTCTTTGTCCTGTTCCTCCTTTCTTTTACCGTTCATGTGTATATCGTCTGCAAAGTTTGCAAACAGGTGAAATGTAAAATATATCAAGATCAAAAAAGGTGTGAATTCATTCACAAGCAGGTTGTGTTTACGCTAGTGTTTATGTTTGTGTATGTGTGTTTTTTTTTTTTTTTTTTTTGTTGCATGTACTTGGGTTTATGTTTCTCATATCAAACCTGAAATGTTGCCATTGTGTGATTTACTTCCCTCTTGGTCCCTTCCATTATCGCTTATTACATTGATCTCATCATCTATTATGTTTATATCAGTGTCCCAGACATTTTCTTTGTCGATGCTGACATGATCATCTGATGCACTATCTGGAAAATCGAGCTTAGGAGTGCATGGTTTGTTCTCTTCCTCTTTCTTTGCTTGATGCATTACTTGATTGTTGTACAGTTTTTTTTTTTTTTTTTTTTTTTTTTTTTTTTTTTTTTTGGATAAGGATGTGGGATCTAATTTACTAAGTTTAATTTTCCGATATAGCTTATATTGTCTTAGTGTGTTCATATATTTTTCCCCTCCCCACCCACACATACAACCTTTTTTTTTCACTTCCAGAGTTAACCCTCGGCTGGTGTGAAGGGTTCATGTGTGAGAGAGAATGAACAACATACGTACAAATGTAAACATGTGTTGGGAGATGATATGTGCAGATATGTGAAAACTCAACAAATGGGGTGAACTGTATTGTGGCATAAAACAGGGAATGTCTTCGAGTTAATATTAAACTTATGTGAAAATTATTAAGGGAAAATAAAATAATAGAATGAAATAAAGTAATAATAAATCAATCAATCAATGAAGGAATAAATAAATAAATGAATGAATAAATGCATCAATAAGTAAAATAATGTATAAATAAATAGAGAAAGCGTAAAATTAGAGGGGAGTGTGCTAATTGTACATGGCCACAATATAATCAACACAGTGGATATATACTGAGAACAATGAAATATGCTCGTTATATTATACTTTAACAAATAAAAAAAATAAGAAAAAAGTGTAATCTTTTTATCTCTGAATGTGGAAACAGGAGAAAAAACACAAAAAATTAAAAAAAAAAAAAAAATTAAATATATATATATTTAAAAAAAAAAAAAAAAAAAAAAAAAAAAAGCAGAAAACGAATAAAGGGGCCAAAGATGAAACAAAAGATGAAAAATTTCAGTTTTTCAAATAATGTACACATCTCCTGTTGTTGAGAAATTTCAAAAATTCAATTTATCAGATTATACCTCCCTTCCCCCACCAATTTAATGAGTTTTTCATGAGAAAATACTTAATTTTTATTATACCAAGGCATAGGCATAGTCAAGTGTATATTGTCCATGCAAAACACTAATAGTAGAGATATATAGTATTGTAATCCATTGCATTAGTTCTAAACTTTTTTTTTTTTTTGTGTTTGTGTTTTATAGGACATGTTCCATTTTTTCTTTTCTCTTTTCGATTTCCTCACTACTTCTTTCCAATTTTCAGTTCGCTTTTTTTTTTTTTTTTTTTTTTTTTTCATCCACTCTGTATTTTTAGAGGAACATAAGAAGAAAAAGTTTCCTCAGGAACAGTTCCTCTTGACAAACTCTTTGATCTAAAGAACAAGCAGCATAATCACATTGTGGATGCGGGGATATTGGGAGATGGGGAGGTACATATGTGCACGTTAATATATGTACGTTAATGTATGTACGTTAATGTATGTACGTTAATATGTGCACGTTGATATTTGCTTGTCAATATATGCATGTTCATATTTGTTTGTCAAAATATATGCATGTTCATACATTTATGTTGATGTATGCGTGAACATATGCAAAGCCTTTTTGCACACCAAGTTGGACACTTACAAGGTGACATAAAGAAAAATACCTATACTATTTTTCAACATGAGGATAAATACCTCCCTTTTTTTCTTCTCTTTCTTTTTTGTTTACACAGATATCAGATCCCTTCCCCCTCAGTCCATACCAACATTTCCGTTTGTGTGCACACAAATATGTGCAATGCGCCGTTACAACGTTAAAATAGCTACTTGGCTTTTTTTTTTTTTTTTTTTTCAAATTTTTAGCTACTTCCCTTTTGTATATTTTATAAATGAGGCAATTTCACGTTTTATGGACATTCTATGGTTTTTCACTGTGTTTCTTATGGGACATTTTTATGGTTTTAATGGATTTAGCTGGAAAAAGGGGAAACGGGAAAAAACAAAAAAAAAGGGAACAAAAGAACAAACGAACAAAAGAACAAACGAACAAAAGAACAAAAGAACGAACGAACAAAAGAACAAAGGAACGAACGAACAAAAGAACAAAGGAACGAACGAACAAAAGAACATAGGGACAAAATAACGAACGAACAAAAGAACAAAGGAACGAACGAACAAAAGAACAAAGGAACGAACGAACAAAAGAACATAGGGACAAATGAACAAACGAACAAAAGAACATAGGGGCAAAACTTTACGCGTTTGTAGTTCATACTTTTAACATGTGCAAATGCGGACGTGCCAAAAGATTTATACACACGAACGGGTGGCTTAATTCAACCAGTTTTTCGGCTTTTTTTGTGTCACTTTTTTCCTCCCTTTCGAATGCTTTTCCTCTTTATTTTTCCATAGCTCTGATCGTCAGTGCATTTTTTATCATTTCTCATATTCATTTTTTTGTGGTGTGCCCACAGTTCCGAATTCTTTGTTGTCTGCTCCGTATGATGCTGCGTCAGCGTCTCCGTTGGTTCCTTCGCATGGGGTGTTTTTTCCCCTCTGTTCCAATCCTTCTGAAAATATCTCATCAAATCCTCATAGGGAGAAAAAATAATCTCAACAAAGTCAAGTGCAGTGAGCATATAGGGTGGTATGTGATTAACAGATAAGTTCACGCTTGTGTCGTTAGTTGAAAGGGGATGGTTCCTAAGTGTTTTTTTTTTTAAAAAATTATTGTTCATGTCAAGGGGTAATGATAATTTTTTAAACCCATTAGGTGTACGTTTGTAATATAATTCATCGGGATCATATTTCATGAATGTGTCACTGTCAATGATTCTTGGTTCATTCAAGGAAAGGTTAAAAGTAACAATTTTATTTGGTGTGCTACCAATACAATGCTCATTTATATATTTTTTCAAAACAGTGTTGTAGTTTTCATCTGAATCATTCAATGATATGTCTAAAGCTAAGGATGATATATCCTTTGAGAAAAATGAATGAAATAATAAATTTGGAAAAAAAACTGATAAATTATCATTCAATGATGAAATTACAATTCCATCTTTTTCAACAATTGATTTAACTAATGGGTATTTTGTTAAAATATTCTGAATAATTTTTAAAATGGAAAAAGATATCATATAATCTGAATGTAAAGAAATATTATATAGTTCAAATACAATTCGGGATAATAGCTGATTATTACTGTTCTTGAAATTATTGTGATTGTTTGAGAAATTTTTTGTTCTTAACAATAAATCAATGCAGTATATCAGTTCAGAGCAAAAATTATATTTATCATTTGTTAATTCTGGCTCCTTTTGTATTTCTCCTGTTAAATATTTTTCTCCTGTATTATCTTCCTCCACACTCATACCATTTTGTTTGTATCTTGGATGAATCTCATTCTGTTCATACTTCCCACAGTCTGAAAAGTTCTTGTACACAAAATTTCCATGTTCAAATAGGAAATCAGTAGAACCCATATGAAAATAAGGAATAGATACATCTAGGAGTGACAACAAACAACTAGCTACCCAAGAACAGTCAACATAGAAGCTATCCTCTGGAACTTTATTTATAATTTCTAAAAAAATGCGTGTACAGGTAAGTCTAAGAGATGGGAATACACCATTTTCACATTCCCTGTTTCCGCTGTTAATCTTTTCACTACTACCATTATCCATCACATTGCCATTGCGAGAGGCACTGGAGCTACCCATAGCCAAAGCTTTTATTTCTTGAAACATATCATCCATCAGTAACTTATTCACGTAGAGCGCATAGTGAGCTATGCCATATAAGGAATATTTCACAAAGGGGATAGAATATTTATTGTATTCCCTTAATACACATAAGTAAACTAAAAAAAGTTGATCTAATATTTTTTCTGTATTTTTTTCTATTATTTTTAATTCTCCACATATATTTGTTTTCGACCTCAAGACATCATCCTTATATTCTGCATGTATACCAGTTGCTATATCATCACTGGAAAATAATTTTGCATTAATTTTCTTCTCTGTTATGCTAATTTTCGAAAATATTTTTAACAATTCTGGGCTTATATTCTGTCCTCTCTTAAACACAGAATTGGAAAAATAATCTATTAAATAAAGTGTAAAAGATAAATTGGAATCGTTATCAATAATTTCTTTCAATCTATTTAAACATTTCATACAAATAATATGCAAATTTGTTTTCCCTTTTTTCGTAAGTTTTTGTTTTTTAGAAATTATTCTGTTATATTTTTTTTTTGAATACGTATGTATATTTGCATATAATATAAGATATTCGAAAAGTTTTTCACTTCTTGATAGATATAAATTAACTGTTACTATTTCACACAGGAGATTTACATAAAGGGTTGTATTATCACGTATATTTTCTTTTAATATATTACAAAAGATTTTAAAATATTTCACTATGTTTTCTTCTATCCTATTTACATTTTGAATCACTTTTGAAAAGTTTTTTGAAACAATACCCCCATTCATTTTGTACTGTCTCTTCATGGTATTTCTTCTATGATAGTTATTCATATCTGTCTCATTGTAGCTGTTGGAATTTGTACCATTTTTATGGAGACTCCCACCATACTTTTTGTTATGCTTAACATTTTTTCCATCTGATACATCTTCACTTCCGATAATTTTATACGATGGTGTTATGCCCTTCAGTACTGTGCAAATAGATATAAGACTCAGTGTGTTTATCATTTCATAATATTTGATCTTTCTCTTAAATTCGTTCATTTGGGAAGTGCATGAATTGTCACTTTTAAGCTCTATGCTTATATTTCCATTAATGTCGTTTCTTCTGCGTAATAATTGCTTTCGTTTGACCTTACTTTCCTTAAAAACATAAAAGAGCACATCGAATTTCTCGATATGAAGTTCCTGATTGCTCATGATGCTATTGGAAATTATTGCAATTTCATTTCTCATGTCATGAAAATGTTTCATTTTGTTTTCAATTTTGATGATTTCTTCTTCTATAGGGCTTTTTATCTTTTTAATAATTTTTCTGTTCTTTATTTTCTCTAACATTTTCCTCAGCTTTTCTTGTCCCTTTTCGAATTTTTTGTTGTTCTTTTTTTTCTGTTTATTCTTTGGGCCACTTTTCCTGTCATCAACTTGATCATCATCGTCTTCCTCTTCTTCTTCTTCTTCTTCTTCTTCCTCCTCCTCATCGTCTTCATATGTTATGATTCCATTTCTCCTTACACGTGGTAGGTTAAAACTTTTTCTTCTAATATTGTTGCTGATTTCTTTGTTAAAGGTCCTGGACTCGAGCTCTTCGGTTCCCTTGTAAACATTTTTCTTCTTCACTATTATGTTTTTTTTTGCCATTCTTTTTTAGCCTTTTAAAAATCTTAACTATACATGTACATGCATCAAATGGATTAGGAGTGTGGATTAGGCATGTATATTACGCATGTGGATTAATCACATAGAATTGGCATGTATATTACGCACGTGGATTAGGCATGTATATTACGCACGTGGATTAGGCATGTATATTATGCATGTGGATTAATCACATGGAATTGGCATGTAGATTGGGCATGTAAATTACGCATGTGGAATAGTTACATATATACTAGCCAAATGGAAGTTTGTGCCTTTCTTTATAATACTTTTGAAAACAAACCTATAATAGTAAAATTATCTATGTTCTTGCTGAAGTTATATGGCCGTAATTTTTTCCCCCACATACGACATGTTTTATTTAAGGTGGGGAGTAGTTTTCTTAAGTAATTCAGTCTTTCATTATGGTAAAAGCTGGATTTATATGACATAAAATTATAATTATTTGTCAAGCGCGAAAAAATTATTTTTTACTGTTTTTTACTGTTTTTTTTTTTTTTTTTTTTTAAATTTTTACTATTCATTATTGTTATTTTTATTCCCGTTTTTTTTTTTTTTTTTTTTTTTTTTTTTTTTTTTTTTTTTTTTTTTTTTTTTAAATTTTTTCTTTTTATTTTTTTTTTTTTTTTTCCCGTTTTTTTTTTTTTTTTTTTTTTTTTTCTCCATATTTATGCATAAATATAAATGCTTTCTTGATAGTGTCGAATCGTAGGAGAAAAAACTAGGTTAAAATAAAGTTCAACAACTTGATTTCATTCTTTTTTGAAAAAGATCTTTTTTTTTTTTTTTTTTTTTTTTTTTTTTTTTTTTTTTTTTTTTTTAAAAAAAAAAAAAAAAAAAAACATTCCATTGGATTTTGCCACATTCGATGGTGATCTTTTTGTGAGGTGTCAGTAGGGAAATAATTACAAGAAATTATCATAAGTGTTAACCATTCGTAAGTATATACATATATATATGTGTATTTTATAAATGTAAATATATGCCCGCTTTAATTCTACAATCCTATTCAGGTGGAGCCTAACGAATTTATTTTACTTTATTTTACTTTATTTCATTTTACTTTATTTTACTTTATTTCATTTTACTTTATTTTACTTTATTTCATTTCTTTGCTGCCCTGTTGTATGCCCTTGGGAATGTACGTGACCAAAGGTCACCACATATATATATACATATAAACATATATGTGTTTTTTTTTTTTTTTTTTTTTTGGAAAAAAAATGATATATCTTGCTATATTTTAAAGTGGTAGAGAAAAAAAAAAAAAAATAATAAAATAAAGTTAACCGTTGGGTGAACTAGTAAAATGTATAATGTGTTTAACACAAGTTGAAATAATTGCCAGCTAAAAAACCCATAGCCCATATGCGTATAAGCAGAAGATATATATATGCTTCTACACATATATAAACATGAATTTGAAAAGTTGCATGCTACACACTAGTAGTCCTTCGTGTATCTGTGCACATTGAAGGTTTCTTGAATGTTTTGATATTCAAAATGAAAATGTAAAAAAAATCAAATACCGCAAAAAAAAAAAAAAAAAAAAATGAGATAAAAAAACAAACACAAAGAAAGGTGGTTGGAGATATCAATAGAGGGGGAGGAGGGTGTTGCTGGATGTCTTGTTTTGCGTGGAGTGGAAGATCTTAGCCGACTAACAAAACAGAACAAAGCAAAGAAAAAAAATAAGATAAAATAAAAACAACTTTACAAAGTGTATACATTAAGTAGATACAAAAGCATTATCACACACTTTTATATATGTACACAAAACTCCATCCCACGCACTCACCTTCCCACTTACCAAAGTACTAAAATTGCAAACACGAAAGATTGAAAAAAAAAAAAAAAAAAAAAAAAAAGGCACTCTTTTTTGCATGCTCCAAGTTTATTTCTAAATTGTCGTTTCACTCCTTAAGTATTCTCCTACATCGCCCTGCACAAAAAAAAAATAAAATAAAATAGCATATATATTGAAAAAGTTAAATATTAAGATACGTTCTTCATATTGAAATAGTGCGACAATATGGATGCACCCACTTATATGTTTGTTCCTACTTAAGCCCATAAACACAGATGAAAAAAAATTTTCACATTTGGATTTTTTTTTTTTTTTTTTTTTTTTCTGTGATAGTACAATGGGCAAATTAAAATAATAACAGCATGCATAAAATCATCCAATACCTGATGAATTAAGACAATATCAGTAACATTTAAGATTTTGATATCTTGAGTGTTCCTTATGGATATGCCAAATCCTATTGGGCTATCATTCATTGAGAGAACTATAATTCCATCTCCCTTTTTTATATTGTCACTAACTTTTAACAAATGACTCTGCAAAAAAGAGAAGTGCAATAGAACAGACGAGAAATGGAGCGAAAGGAAGAGAAATAAAAACGAGGAAAATGCCATAATGTATTCATTCCTGTTTTTGCACACACATATGTATGCAAACGGCGAGCTGTCTTTGTATGTGTATGTGCGCTGTTTCTGATTCATAATTGAGACATTTTTTGCATGATACACACACCTTGAGTACATTGTTCCCAAATAGAAAATTTTTTTCTCCCGATTCTTTTAACCATATTTTATGAATACAAAATTCATTTAAGAATGACAGTGACGTAATTTTTATGAAGAAATTATTTGCTTTTGTGAATTTCCCAAGGCATATTCCGAGGGACATCTGCGGGGAAAAAGGGGCATTTGAAAAGGGATTTGAAAAAGGATTTGAAAAGGGATTTGAAAAAGGATTTGAAAAGGAATTTGAAAAGGGATTTGAGAATGGCATTTTAAAAGGGATTTGAGAATGGCATTTTAAAAGGGATTTGAGAATGGCATTTTAAAAGGGATTTGAGAATGGCATTTAAAAAGCATCACAGTAGGATACTTCCAAAAAAAAAAAAAAAAAAAACCAATACATTAGAAAAAGACATAATAACAATATTGAAACTTCCTACAATCGTACATGTTTATATATCATTTAATGTGATCCAATGTGTTTATCTTACCAGTGAATTTTTATTTATTATTGATTCCACTTGTTTAGCAAGGTCTGCCCTAAAAATAGGGATGTGGTTATGAAGAAAATATAACTAACGTTGTTACAGTTATGCAAAAAAAAAAAAAAAAAAAAAAAAAAAAAAAAAAAAAATACTGGGGTTATATATGGCTATGCATGACCAAATGGTCTTGTACACTCGATTTCGCATATATCACATTCATGGCTATAAAAAGACACTAATTTCTCATGTGCCTATGCCAAAACATAAACACATTCACTCTTGAAGATTAATATAAATATATACTTGACGAAGTAGACGCTTGACCTATGTAACCTTAACACATACTCCTCGTTGTTGTAGGATAACATGCTTAGCAGGTTATTTCCAATACTGCCAAAAAAAAAAAAAAAAAAAAAAAAAAAAAATCTGCATTTACAACCCATGCGATATCACTGCACTGATAACAATTTCAAAAAGGAAAATCTCATGCGATGTAAATTATTCCCCTCCATTCATACAAATGGACATAGGGGGTGTACATGTAATTACGTGGATCCATTAATATGGACACATGGATGTGTTCTTAATATGTACAGGAGTGTTATATCACGTTTATCTTTTTTTCGTCTTACTATTTAGAAAGCTTCTTAAAAACTAGCATCGTTTCGTTATCATTGAGGGGCCTCATTTTGCTCAGACTGATTCGATTAATACTTAAAAAGGAGGGAAAGAAAGGAATTATCTCTTTTTTATTCTTTTTTTTTTGGGATGTGTGTGGGGGGTCAGGGTGAATCCTCTCCCCTTCAGGTTAATATCGGAGAGCCCAATGAATCCAAAAAATATATGCATACATACATACATATAAATAAATATATATATATATATATATATATATATATATACGTGCAAACTTTCTGAAACCCGTTTCCTCTCTTTAACACTTTATATTGTGCCAGGAGGAAATATTTTCTTTTTTTTTTTTTTTCTCTTTTTTCTCGGTTTAAAATTTACTCATCTAAGTACGCATAAATATGAAACTATTCATATTTATGTACAACCATATGCGTGTTGCATATTTTGCATTATGTACCAAACTAGGATTTACTTTTTTTATTTTAATTCTTTGCAAAAACAGGGCTAAAAATTTTCAACTATATCATACTGATGGGACGAACATGTTATAATTTTTTTTTTTTTTTTTTTTTCAAGAAAATAATAAATCACGTAATATACATTATTTTAATATAACGAATCAATAAGTATTTCTTTTTTTTTTTTTTTTTTTTTTTTCCTTTCTATGAAAATAATTAATCACGTAATACACTTTATTTTAATTTAAAGAATCCATGAATGTTTCTTTTTTTTTTTTTTCCATGCCATTACGTGTTGTAAAGCACCATTATTGTTTATCTAAATTGAGGAAGCAAATTTTGTGGACAAAAGATGTTCACGGCATGAAAATATATAACATGTCTATGTGATTTAACATCAGAAATTAAAGTAAAAAAAAAAAAATAGAGACGATTATACATATCCTCTATGTGTTACATATAAATATATCAGCAGTTAGAAATTGTTAATACATTGTAGATTATTTAAAATTGATAATAGTTACATTTGTAGAATTCCCAAAATATTACAACATTATATATACGTCACTCACGTGGATCAATTCCTAGCTATTTGGCTAATCATAAATGTTCTCATAAAAAATATCACAATGTTTTTAGTTGGTATGGGTAAAGGAATTCATTTTTAATACATTTCATCCTTTTTCTAAAAGAACAGAAAGGAAATATTCACTTAAATAACTGTGTGTATGCTTACCCACTTTGCGAATAGTCTTTTTTTTTTTTTTTTTTTTTTATCTTATTTCTTTTCAAAATGGAGAAAATGATGTCAATTTGGAATATGCGGGCTTATTAACAAACGGAGAGAGAGTTAAAAAATGTATATGCTTAGATATGAATTTCCAAGTCTCTTGACTAAATTTCGTATGGTTTATTTCGTTCGTTTTCTCCATACTTTTACTCATAGAGTAAAATACATCCATTATGTGTACATGTTATGTTAAGATATATTACGTCTACATGTGCGATAATCCATATATGCATGAATGTGTGTGTGTCATTTCTTATTCCCCGTGATTTCACGAATAAAGGTATCTAGTATGCGAACAATGTTCATAATTATTTTCCCCTATGCTCATATTGGAATGTTTCATTTATACTTTTACACTTTCTTTTTCTTTAATGTCCTTTTTTTTTTTTTTTTTTTTTCTCCTGAAAAATTTGAATTAAAAGGGAACAGATAATTTCCATATCTTTCCAGAGGAGTTATTTTTTTTTTTTTAGCATTTTTAGACAACCTGTTTGTACATTTAAGGGTGTTATATATGTGTATGCATAAATATGTTAAAAAAAAAAAAATAAGAAAAATATATTATACCTATATGTAAACGAGCAAAGATGCTTCTCACAGCATAGGTCGTAAAAAATAATGGAATGGAGAAATAACTGAAAAGAGATGTATAAAAAGAAATGGGGTTACCTCTCTACCCTCTTCGCCTCCTTTAATCCATTGCGAAAAAAAGAAGAAAAAAAAAAAAAAAAAAAAAAAAAAGACAAAAATTCTGTGGCATATCAAAAAAAGCGAAAGTTAGACTTTATGCAATTTCATGAAAAATTCAAAAATAAAATTATGAGATGCAAAAGATGAATGCTGGTGTATGTCATGAAAATTAAATATTATTTGCATAAAAAAGAGAAAAAAAAAAAAAAATAAAAAACACTTGTGTGGTTATAAATATACACATTTGTGTAAAGGACAAAATTATGCCTCCACCTTGTGTACACGCTGCCTTTTTCCCTATCTCTCTCTCTATCTCTCTATCTATCTTTCTTTCTTTTTTTTTTTTTTAAATAAAACAAAACAAAGCAAATCAAAATGGAAAATTATGAAACTCTATTCGAGAGCATGATATTAGAAGATGATAACGCATATGACATAATAAAAAAATGTGAAGAAAAAAAAATAAAAAAAATTTTGTACAAATCAATACATGACCCGAACATACTACCAAGTTATTCAACATTTAATTTAAGAGGAAAACGCTACAACATTTCTAACCTATCAGGAGAGTCTATTAAAAAAATAGAGAAACAGAAAAAAGTAAAAGAATTACAAATAAGCTATGAAAAAAAGTTGTTAAAAAAAGGAGAAAAAAATCAAATAATACCTTCTTTAAATGAAATAAAAAAAGTCAACCCAACCTTATTAACAGTTAAAAAAAAAAAAAAAAAATTTAAGGATGCATTACCAGATAGAAATGATGTACCGCTAATGAATATAACCGCAGATGTTGATTACATATATGATAATGCTGTTCAGATAATTAATTCAAAGCCTGTCCAAATAAAAAAGAAGGAAGGAAAAAAATTCTTATATGAAAACCCATTGACGAAAGAAGATTATGGAAAAGTTAGTGCATACCTTATAAATATAAAACATGAGTTAAAAGAAAAGGAAAATTTGAAAAAACAAGATATTATTGATGAAGAAAAAATAGCCGCTGAATTACAAGTTAAAAAGACAAAATTGTTAACTGAACTTAAAAATAAATATAATGAAATTAATAAGGAATACCTAAAAATATCCCATGTTGTTGATATTAATTCAATTAGGAAATTGAAAAAAAAAGACAATTATGAAAAACAGTTAAATCAGTTAGAAAAGGACATTCAAAAACTAGAAAAACAAATGTATTGAAAATGAGTTTTGTCCTTTCTATTGTTCCCCTTTTAAAGGAAAATATGTGATGGGTTTATTAAGTTTAAACCCTTGGTGGGAAACAAGAATAGTTTGAGCTTCAGGATCATTCCGTGTGTATTTTTTTTTTTTGATAATATGCGTGTTTCTTTAACAGGTTGCGTTTTTTTTTTTTTTTTTTTTTCACCGTGTGGATATTTTTAAACAGTTTTGTGTATTACAAGACGAAACTCCATTAATCGCATACACGAGCATGTGCAAGAACATATACATTACATCTACACACAAATATGAGAAAAAATTCATAAGATAATTTTGAATTCTCACAAATGGTTGTATATAAAGCCAACCAGCGGGTGCCAATAAATGGTTAAGGTGTGAAAAAAAAAAAAACTAAACAATGTACACGTGTGTGCAAAAACATATCATAATTTGTGACAAAAGAAATTGATTTTTTTTTTTTTTTTTTTTGTTATTTCTTTCAATTTTAAATTAACAATATTGGACCATTTATGTCAAAGGACTTGTTTATTTCATCTTGGAGATCTAAGAGGAAAAAATATAAGCTACATTTGAAACTTTTTTTAGAATAAAAAGTACGAGACACTCTTAATTATGTTAATAAAGCACATTTATAACAATTATACCCATTTCTGAGTTTTCGGGAGAAGGCACACTTTCTGTTTCTTTTTGGTGGGGTGAATCCCGAGATTCAGTATCATTCTGTTCATAAAAAAAAAAAAAGTAAAATAAAATAAATAAGTAAATAAATAAGTAAATATATAAGTACATAAATAAGTACATAAATAAGTAAATAAATAAGTAAATAAATAAGTACATAAATAAGTACATAAATAAGTACATAAATATGTACATAAATAAACAGAACGACGCGAATAAGTTCCTATGCAGATAAGTAGACACATGAATATATGTAAACATATAATATCCCCCTCATCATCCATCATTTAAGGATCCCTGAAGTGGTATATTTAAACGCTCGAAGAACATAAAATTTAGGTGAAGCCTCTGATCTAAATGCTAGGGTTCAAAGCACGTCTTTCCGTGTTACCTCATTCTCTTCATCTAATTGGAAAAATAAAATAAAATGAAATAATTTTTTACGTAATAGCGTCCTTATTAAAAAAAAAAAAAATTTCTATCGGTTTATATAAAAACTGAGGAAAACATACCTGATATATAAAATTCTTTATAATATTTTCGAAGTAGAAAAGAACCTTCTTTCTGAATTTCTTTAAGTTGTAAGAAAAAAAAAAAAAAATGTAAGATATGCAGTTTTATGGTCATTTTCATATTCGCTTAACAGACACATGAAAATACTTTCATTTTATAATATATTCGTTTTGATAAAGATTTTTTTTTTTTTTTCCAGTTGAACCTGATGCCACAAAAATTTTCAATTTTTCTTTCAATTTCACCAACTCCTTTGCTGATACCTTCCATCTGATACAAGGAAAGGATTACTAATCTTATTTGCTGTTCACATATACTTTGAGCACAGAATTATAAAGAATTTTCCATTTTTTTAAAACTGAAAAATAATTTTTGCTTGTCCTATTGGAAAATTATTTCTTGTCTTTTTTTTTTTTTTTTTTCGCATTGTTTTATATTTTTTCACATTGGTTTACTTATATTTATCTCGCCGTTGCTATTTTTTTTTTTTTTTTTTTTTTTTTTTTCAATATACATATGCATAAGCACATAAAAATATAAGCAACTTTTTCATTTTTCGAATGAAGTTTTAAATTGACTCCCGGATTTTGTACTACCTTTGCGAAGGTATCATTTGGTAATTAATCAAAGGGACATCCTTCGTTTTTTTGGATATAGCCATTTGCTTGAAAACGAAAGACAACAGAAGCAGCACGATTAGTTTAATCATCTTTTACCTGCTTAGTCCTTTATCCACTTATTTATTTAGTCACCTATTTGTTTAGCCGTTTTTTCGTCTATTTTTTCCTATTCTGTGAATTTTTTTAACACTTTTTCAGTTATTCTTAAAGTTATGTTCTACTAAAAGCACATTAAATTGTGATATATGCATTAAACATTTTATGTCACATTAGTATATTCGCATAAGATGAGTTGGAAAAACAATTTGAAATGTGCATCCCCAGATATTATGTCTCACTGCTATATACAACTTTGTCAGAAATATTTTGAGAAGAGTTTTCTACATTATTTTGCTTACTGTTCATATATTCCTACCTCTGAATACATGACAAAATGGTGTGTGCGAAAGCAATTTGCAAAAAATGAACTTTATAAAATAATTTTCATTCCATGTGTATATACAAAGAAAATATGAAGCAAAGTTACATATAACCCTAATCGACAGAATTTATGTTTTTCCCTTTTCCCATTCGTGAATAAACCGCATCATGTGTGTATGTGTTGATATGCACATGCGCATTTATGTATATGCATTTTTTTTTTCCATTTTACGTGTACCTCGGAAAAAAAAAAAAAAAAATGATTGATTGATTGATTGGTTGATTGAGAAATGTTTCACAACAAAATGACATTTCAAGTGATCCATATAAATGTTACAATGTTGCCTTTTCCTCAAAGCGTTAAAATGTAGTTGTGAAAAAAGGGTTTATCTCCTGGGTGTAATAAAGAAAAAGACATTTTTAACGCGTTGGAATGCGCCATAATATATAGCTAGCTACTTGCTAGCAAAAAAAAAAAAAAAAAAAATATATATATATATATTATTTTTTCCTGCGTAATCTGTAAAAATATAGTTGAAAAAAAAAAAAAAGAATATGAAAAAGCAATAAAAGAATGGACGCACGCACAGGACCCTTTAATTATTTTACCATATCAGTAACGATTCGAATAGGTGTGTAAATTTTCTTTTTTTTTTAGAAGGGGGGGGGGGGGGTTCCATTCTCCTCAATTCAAATACGAAAAGCATCTCTCAGTTGTGTTTCAAAAATGGCGAAAACTTATTAAACAATGAGCAGAGTTACAATAAATATATATATATATATTTTTACTATTTTTTTCACTTCTTTATAAATTGTCTCATTTAATGGTTATTTGGTAATCACACAAAAGAAGAAGGAAGTGACACTATTGCTTACAACAGAAAGGAGGTAACACATAAAGCAGTAGCACAAGACAACTTAGTAGCTCCAAAATAATTGCAAACCATAAAATTGATGCAAATTGGTTGATAATATACTCAAATGAGCTGTAAACTGGTTTGTGACAATGCTAAAAAAGCATTTTTTTTTTTTTTTTTTTTTTTTTTGTCCCTCCCTATAATACAGTTAAATTATGAAACATGGTTTTTGGATTCCTGTGGATAAATGACTTCTGCCAAACTACAGACTATGGGTGTAAATTTTTTTTTATATTTTGGTGATTTTATTTTATTTTTTTTTTATATTTATTTTCGTCTTTTTTTAAAGCGAAAAAGAATAAAAGTCTGATATCTTATTAAAAAAAAAAAAAAAAAAAAAGTAAGAAATGTGTTTTATATGTACCTTTTTCGGTAGTATAAGTCTAACAATTTGGAAAAAAACTTACAAAAACAAAAAAGTTTCACCTTTTAATATTTTTCTATGATCTTCTATATAAGCAAAATTTTCTACTAAATGAGTAACGATACACAAAAATCTTTTTTAAATTTGCCTTCATGTGTACGTAGTAGCAACTTCACCCATGGAAGAGGACTAAATTTTCTGTGTGGTAATGGGAACGAAATTTTTTTATTTTTTTAAAATTATTCTTTCAGAAAGGAAAAAATCTACATTTCACATACACACATGTATATATTTACGTACACACATGTCAATGTTTAAATTATTTTTTTTTTTGTAGAATTAAAGCCTAAGTTATAAGGATTTTGCGTTTTATCTATTTCAATCACTGTGTAATTGTGGCAGTACCACTTATAAGGCGTAAAAAAAAAAAAAAAAAGGGAAAGGTATTAACAAGGGCCCTTAAATAAAAAAATAAGAAACACTTTTATTAAATTTGTTAAAGGGTGAAAAAAAAAAAAGAAGCACATTATATATATATATATATACAAGTACTAACATAGTTACAAAAATTAGCTACTAATCCGTTATAGTGACATGGTTTAGTTAACCGTGTACAGGTGCGTGCGTCATATGTTATTTAGAAATTTCGTCCTTTTTTTTTTTTTTTTTTTTTTTTTTTTTTTTTTTTTTTTTTTTTTTTTTTTTTTTTTTTTTTTTTTTTGGTAAGAATATAAAATCTAGATGAGCGTTACATATATTTCTCCTTTTAAAAAGTAGAAAACATGCAAGAGCTAAAAATCATTAGGATTGTGCTTATTTTATACACAAAATGGCAATATGATAACATATTGAAGTTTTGCTTATTTTTATATTTCATTTGTTAATGCATAAATTTTTGTTTATTAACACCTTCCTAGTTTTATGGAATTAATTCCATTATGTAAAACGTGTAATTACTTAAGGATAAGTGAAAATAAAAAATAAAAAAAATATATTATTTTTTTTTTTGTATATCCACATGCATGTTTCATAAAATTCGCTTCATTGTTCGTTATCGAAATGGGTTATATGAAAAATGTAATGTGAAAGTATAGACGTGTAAATACGGATTCTTACTTCTTTTTTTTTTTTTTTTTATGTTGTATCCAAAATTTACACTTTTGAAAATGCACAGAAGATGCATATTTATCTTTGATTGTTTTTAATATTCTTTTTCTATGTTACATTTTGACCTTTCATATATTTACTTTCTCTTTGGTTACTAATGTAACACACAATAAGGGGGGGGGACCTCATTTTTCCGATTTAAATTTTTTTATTTATTTGCCTGTTGATTTGTATTACATTACTTATTGGCCGTGTCCACCTATTTTGAAAATATTTTTCAAGTAGGATTTTAATAAATTTTTTATTAAAAATAATCACAAAAAAATTACACAATTTTTTTTTTTTTTTTTTTTTTTACAATCAAAAAGTATGCATATTTTTTTTTAGCCGAAAACATGCACCGTTCTTCGATTGTAGATTTGGTAAATAATTGTAATTTTTAACAAGTATATTTGTGATGATTCTCTATTGAGATAATTTAAAAAAAGGGAACTTTGCTGTTTCCTTTATAGTATATGTATGAATTTTCATTAAGTGAAAAATGCATATGTGCATGTATATGTGTAAATATGAATGCATGTGTGTTTATATACATATATGTATGTACCTGCACACATGTATAAATAGAACGAAGTAATATGCCTTAAAATATAAGAATATTTCACGAACAAATATAATTATTTTATTTATATATATTTTTTTTTTTTATGTACAAGACAAAAGCTCGTTTCATGGCTAGTCTTACGTAAAAAAAAAAAAAAAAAAAATAAATAAAATAAAATAAAATAAAGATAAGAATAAAAATAAAAACATACTGTGCATAATAAGTACTAATGTAATTCCTTGTAGTCATATGCAGTTGTTGTTTAAATTTTGAAAGTAATATTATATTATACCCATCGCATGAATATATATTTATGTTTTTTTTTTTCTTCGACAAGGAACTATTGTAGTTTCATTTCCTTTTTTTAATTATGCGATTTTTACATACTTATGTGTGCGCATTATGTGTATTCATAATTTAGGAACATTTGAGGCATAATTTTTTATTTAAAAAAAAAAAAAAAAAGAAAAAAGTTTAAGAGGAAAAAATATTGGGAACTCATAAAAGTTATATGTTACCGAATTATTTTAAATTCGTACAGTGTTTATAATACATATACACATAGTCGTTTGCAGAGTTTAATTTTTTTCTTTTTTTTCTTTTTTTTTTTGTGCCTTATTTGTATTTCCATTATGAAACTAAGCTACTTATTTTTTATGCATGAACTTTCCCAAATTTCCTTTTTTTTATTCGTAGCTTCATTTTATGTTTTCTTCGAATGAATACAATTCTTATACAAATTTTTTCTCTCCTTAATTTTTTTTATCATTCCATGCTTAAGCAAAACAGAACTGTTCTTGTTTTTATTTAAATATGCAGTAGTAGTAAAAAATATTGTATCTCTATGTATGCTTTTATTTGCTTAAGCTGACATGAGTTTTATACATATGTGTATATATATACATCAGCACACAGTACTTTTTTTTTTTTTTCATATACATAAATTTTATATATTATTATGAATATATATATATATGTCACACCATCATCTTTCTACCTTTTTTAAAAACCCTTTTTTTTTTTTTTTTTTTTTTGTCTTCTTTTTTTCAATGCATACACAATATGAGTATACTTATGTACACAAATATGTTGTTATATATGCTTACTAAACAGGTATTTGTTTTTGCCAATTAGTATATATAATACATATATTGTAAAAATTACTAAGCACAATATAACACTTTTAAATTAGTATTTCCTTTTTGGAATATAAATTTCTTTTTTTGTTTTGTTTTTCAGTCACTTTTTTCCCCTAATGTAAGTTTTTACTTTTTCGTCATTTTTTTGCCGTTTTGTATTTTTTTTTTTTTTTTTTCTTCATTTTTTTGTTATATTTTAACTTTTTATACCTTTTTGTCAATTTTTGACATCTTGCAATTTGTTTACACCTTTTTTTCAATTATTTTTCGTTCGTATGTCTACTTAGCACCTTTTTTTTTTTTTTTTTTTTTTTTTTTTTTTAAACGAATTAAAGATCTTGCACCACAACATCTTAGGTAATCAAGATTTCATTTGTTGCGTGCATGATCCATGCAATATAAATAAATGTTAAAAGCACATAAAAGAACGTAGATAGCCGCAGATCATGTATAATTATGCATTTTCATATAAACATGTACATGTGAACCATACATCCATAAATAAATACATATTACATATAGATGAATATGCAGCATG